TTAATTTATATAATATACAGTTAGGTCCTATAAATATAAATATGTTTTATATATTTTACATACATAGTCTAAAAGAAAATTATAATACATTCATTTAAATTAATTATTTTTAAAAGCTTTAAAAAATAGGTATAATATCCAAAGAGGTTAATCATTTGATGTAATTGTAGTATAAAATCATTTTAAAATAAAAAAATATATACAGACAACTCGTTAAGGCTAAAACACTAATATTCTCGGAAACTTTTTAAATTTTGTAGAGAGTTAATTTTTTTTTTATCCATCTTACATTAGAAATCTGAAATTTTATACTTTATTTCTACAGAAAGCTTCTCATATGCGAAGCTACAACAATGATATCGAAGTTCCCATTGAGATATATTATTCCACTCTTATATAAGATATAAATATTTGATGAACAATAAAATAAAATAATATTTTTGTTAGAATCATTTAATAAAATAATGATAGGGTCAGGTGAGGTAATTGTAAATGATTCTATCAAAATTATTTTTAACTTGTGTTTATGACTGTTTACTTACATAAACATTTATTATATTATTATACATATATACTAGTGGACATAATAAATATAGTTTTAATGTAGTTTTAGTAAATTTTTAATTTCAAACCTAAAAAAAAGAGTAATTTACATTTACCCTAGACATTTACCATTACCCCTTGATTTGGGGTAAATGTAAATGAACAGTTTCAAGCTATAAGGTAATCATCAAATTATTTATGGGGCAAATGAAAATGAATATTTTTTCAGTGCACTTTTTCTAAATGATAATACAAATGACATAACCTCTAAAATGCTGTAATAAATATGATTCACGAGAGAAAAAATAATAAATAATAATTTTATCGAGTTCGATGGTTATAATTTATTTTTTTTAATAGAATACCAGCCTCATTTACAATTAATGTTTTTCTTTTGCTATTATACACATTACGCCTTATATCAAAAATATTTTTTGTATAAATTTCGGGAATTAATGAATTTAGTACAATAATTCTTAAAATTTTGGCTGATTTTTCGTATGGTGTTTTTTGAACATTTATTTTACATAATTGATTTCATATATAAATATGTAAATTTTTCTGGTTGTGATTTGTGTGTGAACCTTAATTACGAACGATAGTTAAAATTATAACCATAAGTAAACACTTTTGCTAAACATTTTCTGTGCGTGCATCGCCAGCGAATATGTTCGTATTTTTTTATTTTATATGCAAAATAAAATTAAAAATTGATACCCTTAAATATCTTCACCACGATTATTTATTATAATTTTGGTATCCATTTTGTAAAATATAAAAAATGTCCTACACGATATCTATTGCAATGTAACGGAAAGACTAAAATATTTTATCAAAATATAATAAGAAAAATATTAATAATAAGATCACAGCTGATGATCGACTGTACTTAATGTTATAATTACTAGATAAGACAACAGTTTATTAGATATCCCAAAAAATTTTATTATTTATTTAGTTTTGTCCTTGTCCTCTGAGTCTCTATATATATATATATATATTTAAGTATATATGGTGATATGGTCTTTAAAAATGTACCATTAATCATGCAAAAAAAAAAAATAGTACGTCCAATACAAGAATTGATACTAAGACTACTAGTTCAAATATAAAGTATTAAATAACTTTTTTTCTCTGCCATTGAAATCATACTGCCAAACAAACTCCTCTACATGTTAGATAACTAGACCATCGCCTATTTGTGATCGTGATCATGGTAAGTATTCAATTATATGAAGAGTCGACTAGCAAAAAATAATTGAATTACTAAACTATCGAAAGTATATTCGATTTGGTTCAAATTACAAACTCCAAGTATTTATTATATATATTTATAATTTATAAATTATAAACACGTTACGTACTCGCTATATGTATTAAGATATTTATAACTCAATAAGTACTTATCCTAAAATAGTTTTTGACTTATCCAAATTTTTTGTAAAAAAGCTCTAAAAATGTATAATTTTAGCATAGTCTAAGAAAGCATAAATTATTTAAAGATATATAACATAGAATATTTAGTAGAAAAAAAGTTTTTAGAATTATTAACATCAATCATATATTTAAGGGGCCTCCGAATTAAAAAAAAAATGTTAAATTATACTTTTATATAATTATAATTATGTAAAATTTTACTTTTTTGTGTTATAATTTTCTACTACAATTACTTTTTTTATTCAATTATCAATAACTATATTAGATCAAACTGTATTGTTATATAGTAAGGGAGGTAAATACCTCTCTTGAAACCACTATTTACAAAATAAAAATTAAGTATACTGATGTATACTATGTCCCCTTCTGACGTACTGGTTTGTTTTTTTTACTTGTCAGATGATAACTATGCATAGTGTATTCAATATAGATGCAAATAAGGAGGGGGTGCTTTCGTTCAACGTCATTTGTATGTAGCTATCCGAAAAAACTCCCAGATTTGTGAAAAACAATTCATGGTTTTTGCACTACGATAATGCACCTGTTTACACTTCATTGCTTGTTCATGAATTTTCGGCCAAAAACAATACTGTAACGATGCCTCCATGTTTGCCAGACATGATTTTGTGTAATTTTTTTCTATTTCCAAAAATAAAGAGAACCTCAAAGGCCGTCGTTTTACAAGCGTAGATGACATTAGAAGTACATTTTGTGCTGGTACAAAATCAGCACAGTGGGGTCGCGGCATAGTTAAGTTCAGTATAGATAATATCTAACAGTGATTAAAATCACTATCGTAAAAAACGCTTCGATGCAAATCTGTAGATAGTGTTTAATTTAAAAAAATTGATGGATTATACCAAAAGCAAAATGAATTCCTATTACCTTTATTATTCCTGATTAGTAGTTTTATGATTTATAAGTGTAATATATATATAATGTATAAATATATAATGAAATGGTTTTATTTAAAAAAAAAGTATGTCTAATGAAAGAGGTTTATAAATAGTATTTATCATAAAATATTTTATTGATCCATATATTTTTCAAAAAGTTATAGTAATTTAGAGTTGAAAAAATAAAATATGAAATCGTAAATTTTAACACCAAAATTGCATGTTTTTTATCTACGGCAATCATTTGCACATAGAAAATAAGTCGTTCAGACAAATTTTCTTCTTTGAACTTATAGTACATAACCTTAGCTTTATTTTAACATATATTTGAAGCTTGGAGTATTTCCGGAACATTTTAAAAACTTAATTTGAAAAAGTTAAATTTTTGTGCAGAAGTTGCTATTTTTAATCCCTCTCTAATTAATTTTCAAAAAAATTATATTAAATTAAAGGGAAATACTTAAGGTTTCAATATAAGAAAAAATTATTTTGATTTGTTTATTTTTCAATAAGTTATGGCAATTAAAAAAAAAAAATTTCGAAATTTACCGATTCTGAAAATAGTAATGTTTTGGGGATTTTCACTATATACGGGGAACAAGGGCAAAATTTTCAATTTTTGAGGGTAATGTCTACAATTAGAAACGATTTGTGATCTTTTGACGTATCGTTGAGAAAAATTGGTCCAGTGAGAGCTGAGAAAAAGTAGTGACAGGCACAAAAAAAATAAACACATCATAGTAAAATTAATACCTTCTCAGCTTCGCATCGAAACTAAAATCGTCTTCGAGATACATGGAATTTGTACCTCATAATACTCTTATAAGGTCATGAAACATTTAAAAAAATTATGTTGATTTTTTTAATAATGAAATTATATTAATTAAGCTATATAAAATTTACTTAAAGATTGTTTAATACAGTTTAGTTTTTAGTACTAAATAGTTATTATTATCTTGTATTTTATTCTTTAGTAAACTTTTGTCAAATTATGAGTAATATTTTATAATTTTTATTACTTTTGTTAAACAATGTTTTTGTTTTAAATACTCTATAATTTTGATTGTTAAATCTTATGGTTATAAACTGTAACACAATCGACATTTGTCAGTTAATTTATTAATAAAGTGTATATATTGGAATATATTTCATGAATAAAATAAGTAAATAACTTATAAATAAATTGAACAATCATTATTTAACTTGGTGTTCATTTCTTAATGATTAAGAAATTATCATATATGTTGTAAGTGAAGTTGTTGCAAAGAACATTGAAATAACCTATTTAGTAAATTTTATAATTAAGTATTATGATATATTTTTAGCTGGGCAATTTTAACAAATTAAGTAAAAGTTTCTGGAGAATACGAAGTTGTAAATACTTTGTAAAACTTTTCATATGACTTTAAAGACTATTAAGCACGAGGGGCCCTATAGGCCTTGCGTGAATGACTAATATTCGATGTTTTTACTGGTCGTAGTCGTGTGGTTCATTAGTTAAATTAACGATCAGTTTGACCTATTAGTTTATGATCAGGTCACATTGATAAACTCCTTTAAACGAATATACATCATTTTTAGCTAAATTTGAATAAAAAATAATTACAATTGTCAGTCATATTCAATTTAAAGTTCAATGCTACCTTTTAAGGTACTTACAAATAATAACCAGTTATATATATTTATTGACATTTATAAATTCAAATGTTGCACGTCATATTATCAAATATAACTTTTTAAATCAAAATTAAAATCTACGCTTTATGAGAAGTTTTTTGTTAATGTTAAATAATAAAAAAGCCATGTTAAAAAATATTTTTAAATTTGTTCTTTTTTTTTTTTTTGGCATCAATGTCTATCTTAAATATCAGCATTTTTATGTATTAAAATACAATTTTTTTTCGAATAAAAATGACTTATAAATCATCTTGTAACTCCTAGTGTACACAAAAAGATATTGAAAAAAGAAGATGTAATATATGTTGTACCTTTCTCATAAAGGCTGCTATTAAACTTTTTTGCTACTTGCAAATAATTACTAGTACAAATAAATTTATGTTATTACATTTGTATATATTTAAAAAATTAAAATTTGAAAATCAATGAGAATAAATTTATTTTCAGGCGAGGTTTAACTCCTCCTCACAGAGTAAAAAGCATATCCATGGCATCATTTAGTACTGAAGAGATAGAATTTGTCAAATCCAGAGGGAACGAGGTATTTAAATAGATTAAACTATAGTTTAATGTAAAATTAATTATTAGTAACATCAACACACGAAACTTAATAATTCCTAAATTTGAATAGATAAATTTTATTAAAGATAACTGTTTATTAATGATTTTTAGCCTCAAAATATTAATAATAATAGAACTAATTTTACAAGATATATGATATCTAATAGTGGACAAATATATGATAATATAATATTAGAACAATTTTATAATAATAGTTTTAATATGAGATTAAAAACTATATAATATCCTATTATCGATATCTTAGCAATAATTTCTAAAAAATTAGTTTCAATATAATTAAGTTTTAAAATTAAAATTCTCAATAAACTTTCTATCAAAAGTCTAATGATTTTGTTTTCCTAAAAGTTTGAAAAATCAAGTTATTTTTTCATTAAACTTTCTGATTTATTACTTAATATATTTTCTTTAAACTATTTTGACTATTGATATACAATATAGTTTCATTATAGAAAATGGTTCATAATGAATTAACATATCTTATAACTTTTTATCTTCTAAATATTTTGTGTTACTATTTTTTTAAATAATTTATGCATTCTTAGATTACGTTAAAATCATATTTTAACTTTGACTTGTATCTAAGAAGCTTTTGGTTTTACTTTGCCATATTTTATATTTTTTGCATGTGTCTTATAAACTTTAACTACTGTTCCTAATAATTGTAGCCCCATAATTTTGAAAAAATTCCCCTTATTTCCGGTCATAAAGAGAAATGTCCCTAAAAATTACAATAGTCATACAATAGAGAATGTCACTATATTTAGTTTTCATTTTATGTTAAAAGAACCTTTTAAAAAATGGAAAAATCTTTGCCAAATTTTTATTGATAATATTTCAAACATATGCCTCTATAGTCAATAATCATGTAATTTTTTATATGATATTATAGTATATTTAAATTACTCAAACTATTTAAATTATACATGAATTAAAATAAAATTTTCAGTAGTAATATTTAAAATAAATATCTTACATTCAATATAGTTTATATAGTACCTTACTGCCTTTCATATCAACTTTATGTATTAGAATGCTTTTAACTAAATAAGTACTCATTTTAAATTTGTTATTGATTCATTAAAATTTTTATAAGAAGAGCTCTAAAAACGGTTATTTTAAAATGTTGGAAAAATAAAATATATATATATATATATTTATATTTTAAAGGTAACAAAAATTATTTAATAGATTAAAAGTTATTAGATTTATCAAAACATTATGAGGTCAACTTTTATTTATTTTATTGACATACTTATTAAACTTACTTTTATAAATTAAATAATTTTAATATTGAAAAAAAAATTGTCTTACGTTTTAGAACTGTCAAAGAATTTGGTTGGGAACATATGACATAGAACAATCTACTAAAGATGAAAAACAAATAAAGGATTTCATGATAGCAAAATATGAAAAGAAAATTTACTACTCAGATCCAATTTCTCAAAAGCCTAGAAATGGCTTTCAATCAAAAGTTAATGTAGCACAAAGCAATATCCTAAACAACCAAGTAATATTTTGTTATTTTTTCAATAATTAATTATACAATGTTTAAATTTTATTTAAATTTACTTTGGAAGAATCTTAATGGTGTAGCTTCTACCATAACTACATCAACACCAACCAAATTTGATATATTTAAAGAAGAACTTGCTGTGCAATCGTCTCCATCTTTTGCAAATTTTGATAACAACCCAGTGTTTTTAAATTCTTTTGATAGTTCAAAAAGTATTGGTAAGTATTAGTTAATTACTCTATGTTATAAGGATCCATAAAATATATCATTTTATATCTAAGAGAACTCTTATATTTTATTAAAATTCAAACTCAACTGATTACAAATGTTTACCAATAGAGGTGACTACTTCTAATATTCTATCAATATTGTTATTATTCTAAAATTTCATAAATAATTTTCATTTATTAAAGTCTATATTAGAAAAAAACTATTTTTTTAAACTTTAGTATTATTAGATAGATAAATTGACTAAAAAATTTAATTAATTTTAAAAAGTAAATTTAATTAAATTTCTTCCTCTTCAAAAAAAAAAAAACTAGTTAAATTAACTTTCCATCATGTTATTCATTTTTATTATAAATTATTAAATAAAATATATTATTAATTGCAGTAAAAACATTTTTTTTGTTAGACTTAAATTTAAAGTTTATGCAACCTAGTAAAACTGGATACTTTGATTATTTAACATCAAATCCTATACATTTTTCACCGTCTAGGAAACCAAACCATATTAACAACAGATGGAGTGAGTTGAAATTTATGAAGAAACAAATATAATTAGTTGTGTGATATAGCTTATAGATTTGTTTTATTGTGGTTAATTTATTTCAATGCATTTTTATTCTTTAGAGTGAAGAAATTCCATACTATATTATTTTCTAATAACTTATTTATGTCAATTTAAAAAAAATATTTGTTGTAATTATTGGCATATGCATAAACATAGAAGTTAATAGCTAAAATTTCTGAAAATGCTGAGTGAAATTTTCTTGCTATATAAATATAATTAAAACTCAAAAATAATTTGTAGGGATTAATTGTTTAAAATAGAAAAGTATTGGTTGTTGCATTTTCCATTAAATAAAAAAATTAAAAGTCCCTCCATATCCTACTTAAATTATTTTATTGTTTTTAATTTTTTTTTCTATATATTATTTTTATCACTTTACTATTTGTAAGTTCAGATAATTATGTTGTATAATTTTGGTTAGTAAACAAAAAAATAAGCCACAGAAAAAAAATCTATGGAATAAAATGCTATGATAAAATAGGCCATAGTAAAAAATTAAACTTATATTACAAATTATTAATATTAAGTTACCTTTTTCTATATATATTTTTACAATACATATACATATTGTATTGTAAAATACAATACATAATATGTATTATAATTGTAATAGTAATATTATTACTATACTGTTGGTAGATAATACTTATAAACATTATATTTTTAATTTAAGATAACATGTAACTTTTTTTTTTTTTTATTGTATCCTTCTTTAGTATTTGTAAAGTGCAAAATCTACAACCAAAAAAGTAATTATAAAATGTTAATTAAGTTTCAGAAGTAATTAAATTTTTATAATCAATAGTTATTGATTATAAAAATTGATAAAAAAAATATTTTTTCAGTTATGAAGTTTTAGCTATTATAACTTATTAGTATTACATATTAAAATAACTTTTAGCTGATTGTTTTGTTTATTTGAAAATCAAATTTTCCAGTGTAGAGTATATTTAATTAATTGAAATATTAGTGTTAAAGATTTTAATTTTTAACATAATAATTTTGAACTGACACTCATTTTGAATAGTTAGTTTTTAACTAACAAACATAACTAATACATCATAAGTTTTTAAAATATGCATGAATTTTTAATAGATAAGCTTGTAATTATTATAAGTATTATTTATTTATTTTGTATTTTATTAAAAATATTTTATTTTAAAGCTAGAATTTGTTAATTTATGAGTTTAAATATAAAAGTTAATATAAATAGTTATACTTTATTTTTACTAATGGTTTAATTAGGTGTTGCTGTTGAAAGTTCAAGTCCATGCCCTAGTTGGAAATCTAATGGTTCACAAGCTCCATCTGAAGACCGTTATGCTGCATTGAAAGATCTTGATTGCTTAATGAAATCACAAAATCAACAAGATATTCCTCCTCCTCCTATGAATACTAGTAACAGTTCTGCATGGAGTAAGATATATTTAAAAATAATTTTTTTAGAACAACCTAAAATTAAATTGAAAACTGTTGCTAAATTTTTAAGTAATTTTAAAACTTATTGGATTATATTAAATTAAAATCTAAGAATAAAATTTGTTAAATTTTTATAAATTGTTTATACTATTAATATTATATTGTTACCAAATAATAGTCAGATGATTTTATTTTTTTGAAAAAATCCAAAAACTCTAAGTATTTAAAAGAAGTAAGATAAACCATATTTCCATATTGTTCAATAATTCAATCATGCAGAGAAGGTTTGCTGGTGAAGGAAGTAACTCCATATTTTTTTATTTTGTTAGAATCATTAATAAAGTTTTATATTTCCATGTAATTCAATATCATTTGTAATTTCTTGAAAACAAATTCATATGGTTTATTTTTCCTGCATTAAAACAATTTTTTTTTTTTATGTATCCTATTTAAAATCTATTAAATTATGTATTGTTAAATTCCTTTAATATTTATTAAATGTTAGGTTCTGATTCATCTCTAAATGGTACATGGAGTAGTCAAGTTTCAGAAAATAATTCATCACAAAATCCATTTAAAGGTAAAACACAAATATTTTTAGTATTTTTTTTATTTAATAGTTTTCATAAAAGTAGAATTTTTCAATTTGTCTGTCCAAATTATATAGATAATATGATACAAGAAAGTTGGATATCATCAAACAATGTAGTTAACCCATTTGTGAATTGTAAAGAAGGTATGCTAAAGTAGAAAAAACTTGTTTTATATACCTTTGGCAATATTTTGGTATCAATAGATTTTATATTTAATAACTATAAATTATTTTTTAAATACTAATGTAAATAAATTAATAACACAATTTTCTTTAAACTAAATACAAAACTAATTTTAATGTCTCATTACTTTAATACTATGCACTTAAGTTGTACAATATAGTGAACTAAAAAAATTCCTATTTAAATTTTGCTTATTTGCTATACTATAATATAATAAAGTTTGATGGTTGTACTATTACAAAAATTTAGATCAAATTTGTAAATTAGTATTTTTCCAGCTATGATGTATGGTTCAGGTTATGGGCGGTTAATAAGAAAGTAGAGTAATGAAGAAGTGTAGTTGAGATGAGAGTGCTTAAAGAAGATAGGATAATGAATGAAGATATAAAAAGGAGTATAAGTATAGTGTCAATCATAGATAAGATAAGGGGAAGTAGACTTAGATGTTTTGGTCATGCTATAAGGAGAAAGGAATCAGAAGTTGTAAGAACAGTTATAGAAATGAATGTTGAAAGAAGAAGAGATAGGTAAAAAAGAGATTGAGGGATGTTATTGAATGCAATATGAGGACGGCTAATGTATGTGTAGATGATGTGGGAGATTGTGTCAATTGGAAATTTAGGATTAGGGTAGCGACCCCAAGTAATTGTAATTAAAGCAAGGAAAAATAAGGAGTGTTGTATTTTTTCAGAATTTACTAATAATTTCTAATGAATTTTTACCTGAAATATTTCTATTTTAGATGATTGGCAAAATAATTTACAATGGACAAATGGTATATCAACTAGCCAATCAATGGGATTTAATGATTTTAAACCCTGGAACCCAGATTTCTCTAATCCTTTTAAGGTGAATTTAGAGGTTTTTCTATTGTTATGTTGAATTACTAAATTATGTTTGAAAAGCTTACTTAAGTTATTTATTTTGTTTAGATTGGTGAATCGGATATTAATAAACATTCTAGCAATCCATTTTTGTAAAGCACCTTTAGAATTTTGTATACAAAATTGTAATAAAAAAGTTATCAACATTGATTCTTACATTAAAATTAATGTTATATATAGTTTAAAAAATTACTTAATTTATGTATGTCTAAATTATTTTCACGAGGAATCAAAATCATTGCTATTTTTTTAAATAAGCTATTAATATTGATAAATATTTTAAACTTGGAAACATTGATGGATTTTCATGGGTTTTTAAACTTGCTATAAATAATTATTTTTCCTAAATTAATGTTAATGCAATTGTCTAGTCTTGCAAATATTTGTATGATTTGCTTTTTTATACATAACTCCATTGTATTATTTTTATCATAATTGTTTATTTATTGTTTAACTCTTATTTATTCATGCATATACCTTTATATATAAATATATTTTAAATAGGTGTTTTATAAACGACACATAAGTGTTATTTAATGCATAAATAAAAATGTGATATTCCTTTATAAAATATGAATGTTAAAATTTATTTCTACTCAATTGTGCTTGTATAGTTTTATGTTGTAACAATGTGTATTATAAAAATCATATTTAGTTTCGATACTTATTTTTTATTTAATGTCTAAGTACTCATATTTAATTTTTTTTTCAAATTTGTTAACAATATTATTTTAGTATTTTGATCATGAACAAGTTTTTCTATAATTATAAATTTATAAAAAAATTAATTTAATAACTTAATTAACTTTTTGAATCTCTTAGAACTATTTTGTCTGAACTAAATCTTAATTGTTAAAAAAAATTGTACATATTATCTATATTATATATTGTATTTGATTGCTTTAGTATACCTATATATCAATACATATTTGTGTGTGTATGTATAATATACATATTAATGGTAGTAATCATACCAATTAAGAAATGCTGAATATAAATTTTATTGTCAATAACATATCTTGTTTGGCGTAAAGACAATTCAAACATGCATTTCCCTGATAACTATGTGAGCTTTTCTTTCTCTCTTTAACTAGAATTGTCTTACAAAAGATGACATTATAAAATACATTTATTGTATAAATTATGAAGTACATATTATTATAAACTGTGATAATACATATAAAATAATTTTTATTTTCCTTAATTTAACTTTCGTTGAATAAATTGTGGGCCATTTATTTATCATTGTTTATTTTTATTGTATATTTCCAATTAACAGTAACATCATTTTTAATAAATTTTTAATTATTTTTAATAAATCATTAACTTTCTTATAAGATCATGTAGTATACATATCCATATTTATTTTTCATTATTTAAAAAAAAAAATATTGGTATAGTTCTTAGTTTTATCTTAAGCTAACAAAACAAAATAATTACTGTAAAATTAAAATCAAATTTTTAATTTATCTCAATTTTAAAATAAAATACAGAATACGATTGACTTTAAAAGTTTATTACTTAGATTTAAACTCTAATGAGATGCTAAAATTGTTCAATTCAGTGAAAATCACAGGGTTATATAATATATGATTAACCTTATTTTCTTAAAAATTGTTTTAATAATACTAATTATTTTGACTAAATCATGTATGTTACAAAAAATTAGAGATAATTCCCTCTTAAATAAATAAATATATATTTATGGTTAACTAATTTTTTAATTTAAGTTGTATTTTAATTATTAAATCTTTAAATTGTGTAAATTTATAGTTTAATTAATTATAGTATCAATATGCTGTTTTAAACTTTTTTTTCTCTGAAATATTGTTAACAATTATTATGTAGGGGGGTGGATAAAAAAATATTATTATGGGGTGCAAATATTCAATTGTGGCCCCATGTTTTATATTCAAACAGTAAATAAGTGCTAATATATCTCTGATTAAACAAAGTTATAGGTGTAATAAAATTATTCAGCTACTAAAGTTAGTAATTTTTCAAAAATAAGCTATAAGCTTTATGGTGCTTAGCTGCATCCCGTTCCACCTGTTGTAATTGCATCATTTATCTAGTACATTTCACATTCATTATAAGCAAAGAAGAATAATTGTCCACTTTGTAATTGTTTTTATCCATACCTAGGAGCACATAGACAAAATTTTATTTCAGTAAAAAGATATAAACGAAACTTTTATTTTCGGTGTAATACTATCAGGTTACCTCATAATTACAGTGTATTTATGAAAACTTCGGAAGGGTGTTCAGACCCCATGGACCCGTCCCTGAATATATGTATACTTGTAGCAAATAGAATTTACCATCTTGTTTGTACAAAAACTGTTTTTTTATTAAAGCTAATGAGATGTAACGTTTTTTTTTTCCATCAAATTTTTTTTTTAATTTATTTCGAAGAAAAGATTATTTAATATAATATAGAATTAAAAAATGTTCTGATGAATTGTTCCATACGAGTAATCAAAACACCCCAAAAAAAAAGCCATTTTTAGTAGATATGATAATATTTTTTTAACTTTTTTTCAAATACACATTGAAGTATTTAACGGCAGTGATTTTAAGCAACACCATAGTATTGAAGCATCGATACTTTTTGTTAGTTGACTTGTGGAGTTGAAACATGATTCAACTCCACTATACTGGTTCCTTACTTTTAAACATATATATTATTTAAAACAAATATTTCTTTTTGGCACATTTATAAATATTTTAATATGTAGTAATGTGGAGGGTTCTCCCATGGCATCAGGTTGGTCCAAGAAGCAAGTGTGTGAAGCCTCGTATTATGTTGGAACCTTTTTTTTTACCTGTAGGATCCATAAAATATAGCCCTCGATGTCCCGAGTCACACTGTTTCACTCCAAAGACTGTGTGTGTGAACATTTCACAATTTTATCACCTCAAATATTTTTGTTATTATAATGCTACTAAATTTAAAAAACCCAGCACAGGGGGGTCGCGGCACAGTGGTGACGTGGCATAGTTGGATCAAGTATAATGATATCTGACAGTGATTAAAATCACTATCAAAAAAAAAAAAAACGCTCTTCGATGCAAATCTTTAGATAGTGTTTAATTTTAAAAAATTGGTGTATTATTCCAAAAGCTTCATGATCTGCTAGTTCCTTATTAATATCCCGATTAAGATAAAGTATGTCGAATGAAAAAGGGATATAAATATTATTTTTATAAAAAAATTGTGTTGATTCATACACTTTTTAATAAGTTATAGCATTATAAAGTTAAAAATGTAAAAAATAAAATTTTCACACAAAAATAGCACTCGGTAGCCATTTTCACCACGAAGACAAGTCCAGAGGTCAAATTTTTTTTTTCCGTAATAAAGTACATTACATTAGCTTTAATTTAAGATATATATATAAAAGTGTCAGACCTTCCGAAACATTTTCAAAAGTTAATTTTTTATGAAAAAGTTGTCATTTTAAATCCCCCCCTGTGGGTAGGTTAAGAGTCAAATTTACAAAAAGAATATACTATCATTTGGTATATTCTTAAAGACATCAAGCATCTATAAAAAAAAAATTATATTGATATGTTCATTTTTGAAAAAGTTACGGCAGTTTTTAGGAAAAAAAATAGAAAAAATTTCGAAAATTAGCGATTTTTAAATTTGTAATTTTTTTGGAGGTTCCCCAATTTACGGGGAACGAGGGAAATTTTTTCAATTTTTGAGGGTAATGTTTCGACTAGATATGATTTGTGATCTTTTCACGTATCGTTGAAAGAAATCCGTTCGGTGAGAGCTGAGAAAAAGTGGTAATAGACACACAAAAAAAAAAAAACAGAAAAATCAATACCTTCTCAGCTTCGCATCGAAGCTAAAAACAGGACAAGTCACTAAAATTTCAAAATTGTTTTTTTTAATAAGATGATATTCTATAAGATCAAGAAAACTATATCTTAAAAAAGACATTTCAAGTTAAAGTATTTCAAAATTTCAACCTTCCATAAGATTTACATTATGTGTTACTATGTAGCATTTATAATAAATTAGAGTTAAATAATTATAATTAATTAGTTTATTTTATAATCCTTTGTACGATACCATGTAATTTTTGGGTACAATTCTGTTTTGTTCAACTGTACTTGAATCATTGGTAGTCGATACATTCTGTATGGATGTTTTGATAACCATTAACGCAATTAGAAAATAGTTTTTGAGGTTAAATTAAGTTAAATCATTATTCTCCCAATCAAAATTAATTTTCAAAAATATTTCTGAATCTTATACTTACGTCAGTAAAAACTATTACTACTACTAAAAATTGTGAAATATTTTTAGGAGCTTTCCTACAAGTGTAGTAAAAGACTTATAAATAATTTCATTTTTATCAATATATAGTTAGATGAATTAAAGGCTGAAAGTAATGGTGTAACGGTATCGTTTGCTTTAGTTCAGTATTATTTAGTAAAAATGAATTTTCGAAAAACAATTATGAACTTAATCATATATCAAATTTTTTTTAAATGGTATCTCAATGATTTTAAAAACATATATATAACATGGACGGAGTGCATATACACTAGTATAAACTATACCTAATTGTGCTACATTCCCACACTATTAAAATACTTGTAACTCTGCTAGTAAGTACTTATCCTAAAGTTCTTATCGACCCATTAAAATTTCTTGTAGAAGTAGAGCTAAAAAATGGCTACGTTAAAATTTCAAAACAATTTAATTAATTTTTTCTTATTAGTTACAAATAACAATAAATATGTTTTTAATTTAGTCCAAAACTAAAAATTATTTAAAAATAAACTAAGATATTTAGTAGATCAAGTTATTAGATTTGTCAAAACATCGCGAACCATTCTTTATACATACATTTTTTCTTATACTGTAGTATTTTAACTATAATTATTGAAATCAAAATATACTACTGCGTTTGAAGTAAAATACAATTTCTACATCGATAACACTTCTTCTTCTTCTTCTTCCTCGTCTTAATCCAAATTACTTTGGTCGGCCACCCATATCCTAAACTTCCACTTAACACGATCTCTCACATCAGCTGTACTTATATCGCATTTAATAACATCTCTCCATCTCTTTTTTGGTCTTCCTCTACCTCTTCTTCCTTAAACATTAATTTCTACAACTGTTCTTACGGCTTCCGATTCTTCTCTTCTCATAACATGACCAAACCATCTAAGTCTATTTTCTCTCGTCTTATCCACGATTGACTCTTATATGTTCATTCCTTAACCTATCTTCTCTAATCACTCCACTCATCCATCTAAACATTCTTATCTCTGCTACACTCATTCTCTGCTCCACATTCTTATCAACCACCCAACACTCTGAACCATACATCATAGCTGGCCTCACTACAGTTTTGTGAAATTCACCTTTCAGTCTCATTGGAAATCTTTAATCACATAAGACGCCAGACGCTTCTCTCCACTTCAACCACCCGCACTTAATTCTGTGTCTTACATCCTCGTCAATACCACCATTCTTTTGCACAACTGACACTAAATACTTAAAACTTTCCACCTCTCCAATCTGTCAAACTCTTACTCTGTATACTCCTACTTATTCTTAAATCTTTTTCTTCAAGAGCTGATCTCCACACCTCTGGCCTTTGATTAATTTTCTCCTATTAACACTATATCGTCAGCAAACAACATGTTCCACGGCACCTCTCCTTGTATTTCTCTAGTAATTTCATCCATCACTATAGAGAATAAATAAGGGCTTAAAGCAGAACCTTGGTGCCCCTTTTATGGGCATTAATGAGATAATATTTATGCTAAATATCGGCACCACAATACTATTCCTCCATTTATTTGGATTTTTCTCTTCTAATAAAATTTTATTTAAAAGTTCCTTCAACCACCTTATGCCAACACCGCCTAATATTTTTTATACTTCTACTGGCACTTCATCTGGTCTCACTGCTTTATTCTTTTTCATTGATACCACATCCTCCGATACCTCTTTCTCACTAATTAAATCTACCAGTCCCTCATTCCACGAGATATCCTCTACGTCTCTTTTGGATACTCCTCATCCCGCAATTTTTCAAAATACTCTTTCCACCTTTTTTTCACATCATCATCGCTGGAGAGTACTTTATTATCAATACCTTATATAATCATAATCTTTAGACCTTTTTTCTCTTACTTTTACAAGTCTATAAATTTCTTTCTCGCCTTCTTTCCTAGCGTATCATACAACTCATCATACCTCTTAAACTTCGCCTTACTTACTGCACACTTGGCTTCTTTGCACAAGCGTTTATACTCCATCCAATCTTCTCTCCTTATGCTCTTCTGCCATACACAACTAGTAAATCTATTCCACACATAATTTATGTCTCCCTCGACATTGCACTCCAACCTCTATTTTACCGTCTTTACAAACTCTTTTTCATTTTCCACTTTCAATTTTCACCACTCACTTTTCACAGCTCCTATGATAGCAATTTCTAATTTTATCAGTCGTCCAGCTTTCTACTTGTGATGTCAATTTGAAACTTAAAATGAAAGTATAGTAAATAAATGTATGTAAATAGATGTAAGTATCTTTTTTTATGCATTGAATAATTAGAGAAACCAATCAGATTTGTCATATACTGTAGCGGATTCAAGGAGTAAAGTATTGTACCCCATCCCCATCAAATGTGTCTAAATTTAAAAATAATATTATAAATAAAATACATGTACAAAATTTTAAATATAAAATTAAAAAAAAAAAATAGTTTCTGAACTAAGAGTTCGATTATAATTTTTATGGAATGAAATCTATTTCCGGCAATAAAAATTTCTCACAATAGCCATATTGATGAGATTAAATTATCGGTTAGCGATCGTCACTAGACGTCAAAAATATAACATTCAAATATAATATAAATAAAGTTTTAAAACATCAAAATGAAAAAAAGAATAAAATTTATTTAAAAATATTTTAACTTCTTTTTTTTTCTATAATCAGAAATTAAAATTTGTAAAAAGTAATACAAGTATGGTACAACAGTAATAGTTTATAATTAGGTAAGTATTCAAAATTAAAAACAATTTAATGTTATATATTCTTAACTCTCTTCTCCTTAATAAAATTCTGGTTACGCTACTGGGCATATGCCCAGTAAATTATGACTGAATAATATTTCAGCTATACTCTCTAAAAATAAAAGTTTGTTAATTACACCTCTAGTTTCAAGAGATGTGATATGAATATTTAGAAGCATCAACAGTTAATATTCAGAGATTAAACTATATATTTATATCGTTCACGTGTTATTCAATCGACTTATAAAATCAAATCGACAATGTTAAAATGTTTAAGAACAAGAATTTTTTTTAATATAAATACAGTAAACTCTTGACTAGACAATGAAAAAGTTAGAAGCGGAGGGAGGACTGTGGGCGTCAACGTATTAGAGCTGTATAAATAATTTAATAATAAAATAATCAATGAATACGACATCGAAGTATCGATAGCAGTCGATGGAAATGGGCAATATCGTCAATTCGGTAGCGTCATTGCCTTGCGGCGCAGGCTGTACCCGGCCGGCAGCATTGCTCAGTTGTTATCTTTGGCCAATGAGGATCCGATATAAAATGCACTGAGAGAAACAAAAAATGTGTACGACTGAATGAGACGCCGGAATTGCAATTCCGCACAATTGACAGCACTGACACAAATCAATTAATGTCGTATACGCCAATCGCCATCACTTAGTACTGTTTTAAAAACTATGTATGAAATGTAACAATAGCAATAACTACATGATATTTTAAACATAAACTTTTGATGCTACACTTAGTTGCGGTCGGTAATAACCGCTTTTCGGGTAATAATAAACCAACCTCTATCGCTAATTTCATAGTAAACAATAACATTAAAAAAATACGAAAATAAATAGTAAGCTTAAGATCAGACGAAAATTATACAAGAATCAATGTTTTAGGGAAATTGTAATTTGAAAGGAATATAATATTTGGTGGTTGTCTGTATAGATGATAGTTCTCCAAAACTCGAGTATTATAATCACACTATTGCCATTGATAAATTGTGGCAGTAATGACAGACGCCGTAGGTATAAACACAATTGTGGTCAGTTACAACGTTATTTGGTATAGTATTATTTTATGTGTTATTGGTCAAATGATTGTTCGAGGTTCATCGAATGTAACGTCGTTGGCGGTTGGCTAGTATAGACGGAACAACACTGTTTACACCGGTGAACGCCGACCAATCAAGAAGCCTGTTACGGATGCTCGTAACGCCGTCCGAGATACAATGTCTGTGTGTGTGTATGTACGTGTAAATACACTGTTCCCCTCTAGAAGCGTATCACACCGCTGATCATACCCCGTCTAGGTTTACGCGAACGGAACCGAGTGGCAGTAAACGCGACCGGTACACGCGCGTGCGGGCAACCTTACGATCACGACGGACGCTACGACGACGACGAACCGTGCCGATAGCGTATACGTGTGAGTGTGTGTATGTATTTATATGTGTGGACAACAAGCATGTGCGTGCGTGTGTGTGCATTGCCCTGAGAAACGAGAAATTAATAAATATTAATAAAATTGGAAATAGTACATGGATTTAAATGATATATACGATCGTTCCAACAGTACCGTGAACGTGTGAGAACCTAAAATTTGAGAAAAATTGAAATAATAATAAAAACAATATAAACCATCGTCATTCAGTGTTATTATATTCGCTTCCCTTGTCTATCTTTCTCTTTTTCTCTCGTTCACTCTCTCTCTCACACACGCACACCCTTGCATTTGCTCACTCGCTCTGGCCCGTCACCGCCGCCACAGTCGTCGTCGTCGTCGTGCAGCACCGCGGTTACAAGTCTGAAGTAGATACCGCCGCCTCCGCCGACGTACCGATTTTCCGTTCGTTTACACTGAAACCGCCGTGTAGAATTCTGTGCGCGACTACGTCCGCGTATATTATGTACGTGAGTGTGTGTGTGTGTGCGTGAATGTGAACGCGCCGCTGTAACCGAAGATTGCAAGGAAAAAGTAACGTCAAATCCGTATATTAAACTTATCACACGCATATATAACAAAAGGAAGCAGTAACGCCGAACCGATATATTATTATCATATTCGCGAAAATAGTAATCATAACATAGAATTACATGATAATATTATAGTTGTAAAACAGAACAGTATTCACGGGAGATATTGTGTTTGATATTTTATCAAAATAATATGACGTATCGTTTTACCCCATGCAACAGTAGCAGCAGTAGCTTTGGTCGTCGCCGTTATAAAAGTGTCGTGGCCGCCGCGTTTACGTGAACCGCATACTTTGTTGTAGTTATTAAGTGTATGATACATTATTGTATGTGGTCATCATCCAGCAACGGTCGCCTAGCCAAAAGAGCTGGACTAACATCGACAATCATATCATTTTTATCATAAGCACACCAATTATGACGTGATCGCAAATATAGAGGATGCCGGTAAGCCAGCCAATAGTTTTGTTTTTTAGACATTTCGTGGTTGATTCCGTATAAAATCGTAATGAATATATCAAGACAATTCCTGTGGAAGTGCTAAATTTTACGAGTTTTCTTCAGTGGCCGTCCCCCCGCGTGATTCCATTAATTGCAATTAAATATGTTTTTTATTATTTCCTAGTATGTTTATTTATCGTTTTATTGTTAAATTATCGAAAATATCATTTGAGGTAACTCCTGGGTATTAAGTGATAACAAAATTACTTCTCGGAAGCTTATGATGTATCAAAGGCTTTTCCATTCACTAAAATTTTAGTGGTGGCATGGTGATTGCTTAAGCGTGTTTTACTTGTATTTTATTCATCAACATACATTAACAAATTTACTTATACATTTTGAATTTTAATCTGAATCAACTATAGTTGAACAGCAATACTTTACTATTTTCTCATAATGGCTTATTAATTCGTTCAAAGACCCCTTCCACCTCTTATCCATTTATATTTAAGAATTTAATATTGCCTTTTTTTGGGGGAGTAATAGTGTTTAGGTAAATGATAAATTATTAATATTTATATAAATCTTTGGGACGATAGATTTTTTTGTGAATTTCACATTATAACCTACTTTATGTATACTTAAATGAAATAAAATAAAACAAAACGAAGAGGGAATATTTTTGTTAATTCAAAGGAATTCAGTTTAATTTGAGTTTGAAGTTTTTTTTTGGGAAATATTGTCAATAAGATTTTTGATTACTTCAAAATTATCCTAATTTGAGCCTTGGTTACTAATTTTTTGATCTATGATATATGTTATTAAGATTTGAAAATATTTATTGTTTGGTATAATTTTATGATGTATCATAATTTTGTTTTTGAGCATTTCAAAAAGTTTCGAGTTCTTATAATATTTTTAAGATAAAACACTTTATCTAAATGATCGAATTGATCCAGTCTTAATCATAAACATATACTATGACTTTATGTTTCCTATAATTATTATTCTTTCATTATCATCAAATAATTATTACTAAGAATGTGAAATAAATTACCAAAACATATTGAAAGCACCAAATGAAACATTGCTTTGTCGTAGTATTTCTATCACTCTATATAGGATTTACTAGTGATTTCACCAGTAAATAAACAGTTTTTCTGCAAAGTTTTTTATTAATTTATATTTTGAATTTACACTAATAAATATTTATTTCCTGGAAAATTCTCCATAATAATAATGTAAAAATATTCATAATTAACTAATAAAAAATTTTTAATTTATTATTTTATGTTGAAAATTGTAATTTTCCATTGAGTAAACAGTTGATGGTATTGAATTAAAAATGTTGATATTGCAGTAGAACTTAATTTCGTTTTTTTTGTTTTAAAAACTATTATTAACAATTTCAGAGTTGTCAAAAAAAATTTTAATTGGTTAAAAATAAATTTCAGTTGCCCCCTTGCCTTTATGGCCAGTTCCCCTTGGTGTAGTGAATTTTAGTATATTATATTTTAGTATGCCATATTTATAGATGGATTTTATACTAATTAAACATTGATGTATTATAATTTAATGACATAGAATAGGTGAAATTTTATCGTTTTTGTAATAACACTATTATTTTCATGGATACACTTATTCATTTTTTGTGCTTTATTTGTAGGAATAAGTATATTATGTTTTTCTATTAGTATTAACAGTATTTAATTGCATTATTAGGTAGGGGTTTATTTAAGAACCTTTTTTTTATTGTGTTGCCTCCCTCCTGAAAAATATTTGGAAAGTTTGATATTTCTATGCCATTCAGTACCAAATTAAGTTTTATACTCCTATTATTTTTAGAGATATTTTATCTAAAAAAATAATTTATCATTGCTATAAATGTAATTTTATTTATTAAATTGTTTCTCCTGAAAATTTAAAAAAAATATATACATGTTTTGTTGTTGTTCTAAGGTCCTTCAATTAATCAAAACTTAAATTATAAGATTCATATTTTTCAAAAATTAATCTAAATGAATATGTTATTTATATATTTCTGTTTGTCAGAGTTAAATTTAGTTATTGTTTATTTATAATATAATTTAGAATGTTAATCAAAAGTTAAAAAAAAATAAAATAACAGATTATTTGTATGAGAGATTGTATTTTAAATTAAATTAAAATTTATTTAAATAGATTAAGATGTGTATAATAATGACACTTTATAAAACATTAGTGTTTTAATGTTAAAACATAAATAGATGAATATATTAATTATGTGTTCTTTAATTTTTTTCTAGGTGTTATAAAATCAAATGTTATCTTATTTAATTCAAACAATGTCAGACGGTGACACTAATGAAGATCTGCTAAAAAGCAGTATTTAGTCAGTTTTGTTGACTATGGATTCCTATGAGTTATTTGGAGAGGATGTGGGTGGAAACATGTTGGAAGGCTTGTCTGAACTGGGAGGAGATAATTTCACTGATGTTGCAGGACGTGGTAATCAACCCCCTCCAAATGCTGGTTATGCCCAATCTCAACCTTATCAAATGCCTGGTGAAATGCATGGCCATCAAGTCGAATCTCCACTGCAAAAACTTGCATCTTTTGGACCACCAGGAAGTGCTGCACCTGGTGCACCTGATTACAACCCTGGTAATCATATGGATCATTTCCATTCCAATCACTCTGGGACAACATATGGCTCCAATAGGGTTTCATCAGGTTTAAGGCCTAATTTAGGACAAACTGGACCACAACAGTATTCACCTTATTCTGATGCAGGAGCAGGAATGTACGGTACAAATGATCAGGCTGCTTTGCAAGCATGGTCTAATTATTCAGCTCCTGGTATGAATAGACATTATCCTCACATAGCTCAACCATCATATAGACAACATATAGGCTATCAGCAACAACCTAATCAAGAGAACCAACCTAAGCCTAGCCAGTATGTCCCTATGATGACTTCACATCAAGCTCAATCAAGTGCTTATTCTAGAAGTCAACAACAGTCAATGGCTCCTTATCAAAATATGATGTATCCAAATAGTACCCCCGGGTATTCTGGATATGGCCATCAGCAAAATACTTCTACAGTGTCTTCAAGAATACCTCCACATCACATGCAACAATATCCTCAACAACAAATGCAGATGCCTGAGATTCCTAATTCTCAAGGATCTTCTAACTACAACCATTTACAGTCTCAAATATCTACTCATCCAGGTTTTTCTCAACAGCCACAACCACCTCCTCAGCAACAGCAATCTCAACAACAACCTCAACCTAATCAACAAATGCCACAAAGAGCATTAGGTATTGACGTTGCTAATAATTCACCTTATGGGCCATCTAGTGGTAATAGTAAATCTCATACTTCTCAAGGGGGAAGTCCTCAGCCACAATATAGAGCACAATTCCCTCAACTCTCTCCACAGATGTCACCACGACCACAAATGTCTCCTAGGCCACAAATGTCACCTAGACCTGTAATGTCACCAGCAAAGCCATCTACTCATTCTCCACATACACATTCTGTCCAAAGTAACATATCACCAAGACCAGCTACATCTTTAATTCCTAAAGCTGTAGCTACATCGAGTCCATCTCCATATGCTCAACAGAGTACTCTTCAACAACTTGAACAAATGGTCATGCCAAATGTTAGTACTAATCCATCTACAGATTATCCATCTTATAGAGGTGGTTTACCAACAAATACTTCTCCCCACTGGCAATCCACTCCAAGAACTCCCCATAATGGACCTATGGCTCCTCCCAATATTAGTGATCCAAGTATGTCAGGATATTCCAATATGTCAGCTACTGAAGATAATCAAAATGTTGATTCATCTAAAACGCAAAACAATCCAAATTCAAGCGGCAATATGAACATAAACAATATGTCAAATATGGGTATGTTTTTTTTTCATCTTTTATAATAATCATAATAAATCTTATGATTATTATTACTATTCTATTAATTTAAAAATTATTGTATAAATTTCAACTCTATGATTTTTTTTTTTTATATAAAAATTTATTGAAGTGTACAATGAGGTGACTGTAGTAACCTCTTATTGATTGACTTAAAATATTTTATAAATTATAAAATAAAAAAGCGATTTTTTTTTCATGAGCCCTCAAAATAACCTTAATCTAATAGCATGACATTTATCAGGTAAAAATAATTATTGAAAATTTTAATTGTGAAAAATATCTATTTTAAATTTAGCATTAATAATTATTATTTATTAGTTTAAATAAAATAATTTAGTGTTTTTGTATTATTTCTATAGACTTACCTCCAACTTTAGAACCACAAACAAATATACCTCCAGTTCAACAACAAATGCAAAATAGTCAAAACTCTGGCCCTATTGATCATATGAGTTCTAATAGTATTATGTTACCCAACACCAATATTGGATATAATGATTCAATGTCACAGTATCAAAATGGTAATAAAATGGAAGATATGATTAATAGCCATCCTCCTGAGGTATCTCAACAAATGCAACACTCTCAATCTTCAATGTATGATCCAAGGGGGCCTCCACCTCCAAACATGTACCATTCCTCTCCAATAAGTCATCAACAAGAAATGGCTGCATTACAACAACAACTACAAGAGTTATATTGTATGCCTCCAGCAGGACCAGATCATCAAATGAGGGTAGGTATTTCAATAATTTTTTATTGGCTAGAATTGATACAAACTTAAGCATTAATTAAAGAGTTACAAAATTAATATTATTAAATGTTTATAATTAAAAAAGGCAAGATATTATTGATTTTTAAACTTGGATAAATTTGTTAAGGCGTTTTTCTTAATTTACATCTATGCACAATTAATTAATAAGGGAAATGAAAGAATATTTTTTGAATGTTTTATAGCTTTTAAATATTTTTTTCTTGTTCTTATTTAATTATTTTAAAGGCTGATTACTATAATATTAATAATTGGTTATTTTTCTTTAAAAACTGTAATTATTTTGGTGTATTACCAATGTTAATTAACATTAATATTAATAAGATTGAAATTTTCCTATGAATTCTATATGTCGTATGAGAAATACATTAATAATAGTTAAAAATTAATTTATAACTAATGATTTAAGATCATGCATGAATCAGCTTACCTATATTTTTTATATTTTTATCCAAATATATTTATTGTGATTACTTATTTTTTCTATTAGTGCAACTGTACAAATATTTTATGTACACGACTTTTTTTTATATATTAACTATTCAAATATTTTTTATAAGATTACAAATAAATTGAAAATAACATGATATAGTGTAGTAAAAGCATACATAAGTAGAATATAATTACACGTAAAATGTAAAGAAAAAGTTCTGGTAATGCGTTACTATTTAGTAAAATTATATTAATCATTTGGATTTTTGCTTGGCTATAGTAAATTAGTTATTTGATTAATTAATATTCTTATAAGTAATCTTTACTAAAATATTGGACACTTGCAAAGAAAAATTTGATCACAATATTCAAATTTAATCTTATTAAATAAAAGATCATTATTTAAATTTTTGTATAAGTGTTAATGTTACCTCATATATCACAATTTTAATTAAAAACGGAATTTAAATGTTAAGCCCAGATTACTTTGATCTATAATATACAGGCATATTGATTGAATTAATAATCTTCATGTAATATTTGCAAAAGTATAAAATAAAATATAAATATTTTTTATTATAAGTTCTAACACATTTGACATGCAATGATTTTTTTAAAAACTTTTAGGTTTCCAGTTACCCTCTAAACTTTATTTACTGGAACTTTTTTATATGACAACATGCATATTTATCTACCTTTAAATTTATAAAATATCTAAATAAGAAATGAAAGTTGATAATAATTTGTTCTTCTCCTTCAGTACTATTTTGAAATCTTCTGAAATGTGGGTTTAATAGATGTTATTAACAAATCATTTTCTTATTAAAATAAAGATTTTATAATTTTTGAGATTAATAAACATAAATAATATCATATAAAATACTTAAGCTAATACAGTTTTTCTGGATTGAGAGAGAGGGGTGGACTTAAGTGTTAATGGAAAATTATTTTTTAATAAGATATGAATTTTTGAAGAAAAAAAAACATCCTTTATTTAATATATTTTGATGATATTTGTTAGATACAATTTTCAAAAATCTAGTATTATTTATAAAAGACGTTATCTATTTAAAATTTACAATGCATTCTAATTAATTTAATGAAACAGTAAAATATATATTAACTTAAGTAATAAATGGTATAATATATTATTTTTGTTTACTATACAATATTTCCCAATATAAAATTTAAAAAAAATTTCAATATTCACCCTTAAAGTTTAATAAAATAACTTTCTTTACTATCTTAGAATTAAGATTATTTTTGGATGTAATTTCATTGAATTGTGATTTTATTAAAAAATACTATCTAAGTAATTTGTTTACAAAAAAAAATCCTTTTTAAAGGATAATTTTATTAGCATTTATATATTTTTAATAAGTTTTAATATTTTAAATAAAAAAAACATGATAATAGTTTCTGAAATAGGCGTCTGGAGTTATTTGAGCTCATCACAGTGTATGCCAAACCAATTTCTAACAATGCATGTGTAATTTAAAATAAATTTAATTAATTAATTTAATAAATAAATCTCTCAGTTTTCAAACTTGCTTATCTCGGTTTCTACTTAGCTTTTGAAGTTTTAAGTATAGATTAAGCTCTAGATAATGAGAACGCTGTAAAAAAAATGATTTTTTAAGTCTTTTAAAAATAGAAGCTTTTTAAAATATCCTCTTTTGTTACTTACTGACTCATCTTCAAAATTATACAATACCTACTGTATAGGTAAATTTGACACTAAGGTAGGACTTACAGTATAAGTTAATTTTATTATTTATATAATATATATAAGCTGTTTAAATTCTCAATTAGTAAAGTTGAAAATGTACTCAATTATTTATACTTTGCTAAAGGGTTTTATAAAAACCCTTAATTGTATATAAATAAGTTAAGAGAAAAACTAAAAATTGCAATTTTCTTTAATTTAAAGAAAAATTATTTTCTCCCTGAATTCATTGAACATTGAGACTAAGTCTATTTGAGCTATCAAAGAGCCAATTTGCCGAGTATTAAGTGATACAAATAAAAAGGTAGTGTTGCTTATAGAATTATATATGAAGTGATTTTATAAATGAAAAGAAGAACAGACTTGATTAGATTATAGATATCGCTACTTTCATTTTTTTTTTTTTAATGGAACTAGAACTTGGCTCTTCTTTATAGTTTTTGAAGATAGTATAACATTTTAATTCTTTAAAACTCACAGCTTAATTTAAAATTATTATCTTTAAATTCTATATATTTTTTAAATTTAAATTAAATTCTTCATAATTTAAAATCACTGTTTTATTAAGTTTGTAGTATTTAATATTTGTAAATTTTTAATATTTAAGTTACTCTTATTATATATACTTTTACTTAGTACTTTTTTCTGTGTTTAGATAAGTCATATTCAAGAAAGAATATCAATTTTACAACAACATGAAGCAAATGATCAATGTATGGGTGGTGTTCATTGTCCAGTTGTTAATCCAATGTATCAACCTCCAGTAATGGAACCAGCTGCTCCTGTGGTATGATTCATTTACAAATATAAATTTTTATTTATAACTTCAAAAATATTATTTTAACTGTTTTTATTATATTTTATTAGGTAACATCAGGGCGTGGTAGAGGTAGAGGGCGGGGGAGAGGCAGAGGTAGTGCTGCAGGCGAAGGCCGAGGAACTCCTAGACCAAGAAAAAGTAGAAAAAAAGCACAAGAACCTGAACAAATACCTTTTTCACCACCTTTATTACAGCCAGAACTACCAACTCATTCAATGGTACCACAAGAAATGATACCAATGCATATGAATATGAATCCAAATATTGCTCATATGATGAGCTCCAATATGCCACATATGGGGATGCCACCAAACCCTATGCATCATGAACAACATATACCTCAGCCATCTATGTACAATAATTCAGACCCTTCATATCATCATCATATGCAAACTATGGGATGTCCACCACCTCAACATGTATCTCAACCTCCATCTCAACAACTTCAACAAATACCAATGCAACAGCCTGTAGTGCCATCTGAGTCACAGTTATCCAACTCTGTACCCTATTCCGCAGATTCTATGATGCCTTCTATTCATCTTGACCAACCTATGCAAGTACAATCTGATCAACATCAGCATCATCAGTTGCACCAAGAACAACATTTACAGCAAGAGCAGCAACATCAGCAGCAACAACAGCAATTACAGCAAGAACATGCACAACAGGAACAGTTACAACAACAGCATCTCCAACAACAACAACAACAGCAGCAGCAGCAGCACCATCAACTACAACAGCATCAACATCATCACGAGGAAGGCGGACAACAAGAGGAACATCAACAACAATTATCTATTACAGCACAGTCACCAGCTGTATCAGAACCTCATAGACGATGTGAATCACCCTTGATAGAACAACATAACACATCTCCACCAACACAGTATAATGTACCATCTCCTTTGGCTCATAATGAAGAGAATAAAAAACTCAATATAGATAGTCAATCACAAATAGAGAACATTGAAAAACCAGCTACATCTGAAAATGAAAACATGTCTGTTGGGTCACATCACTCAAGATCATTATCACCTGCAGAATTAAAAGAGCCACAGTCACCTGAACGCGATTGTTGGTCTGGTAGTGATCATGATCCACCACCTCCAACTTTAACTGCAGAAGTTTCACCACCAGCTCTATCTAAAGTTCAAGAAGAAACTTCTATAGAATCAAATGTGTTTAATTTTACTGAAGATGAAGATCCTCCTCCACCCCTTCACTCTCTTAATGATTTATCTCCAAGAAAGCTAAAAGAAATCAGGTATTTAAATTTGTTTTTTTATTAATCAGAGTTTATATAGTATTTCAAAGCCAATAATCTTTAAAGTTAGAAAATATTTGTTAATACCCATTTTATTAATTATAATAGAATCGCTAAAAAATCACAGTCTACAAAAGTAAAAAAACCTAAAGCTGTAAAAGTTCCTAAACCAAAAGTTGTTAAAGAAAAAAAGAAGAAAGAAACTAATACTGATACAGAATTAACTGAAACACCTCCTAAGCCCAAAAGGTAGTAATTTTTATTTGTTGTTATTTTTTAATATTAACTGTTTTGTCAAGGGGGTAGTAATTAAGGTTATAATATGTATTATACTTTGAGGTATTCTAGTTAAATACTAAAAAACACATTGATTTGGTTATATTTTTATAATCATATTTATTAACTTGAAAACATATTTTCCAATGATTATAGTCATAATGTACATTATTGTAATATATTATCATCATTTATAGTTGCAGATTTAAATCCCACTATCTATATCTTATGTTTTTAATACATTTCCTTAATTTATTTTATTTTTCCGGTAGTTTAAAAACTCTTATATATTTTTTATCTAGAAATATATACTTGATGTTGATTATCATAAGTTTACTTTTTTTTATGTGAAATAAACCCTTTTTAATAATGTATTTTTGATGAACATTTGAAATATTTTCTAGCCTCATTTAAAAAAAAAAGATATTTATAATGATAAATTGATTATGATATTTGAAGTGAAAAATTTTTATTCAATTTTATTTTAACAATTGTACTATTATATTATTTTATTTGGGAATTGTAGACAATCTAAAAAAAAGAAGTCTGAAATTAAAAATGCTTTGACTGAAGATGGTAATTTGTTTGATAAATTAAAGAATGATACTACAATAGAAGTTGAAGAGGAATGTAACTTAAATGACAGTGAATTAGAAACTAAACTTGAGAATGAACCTGAAAAAACATTGGATGATTCTGAAGTAGATTCTAATTTTCCTAAAAGTGATAAAGAGAATACAGTTGATGAGACAATGGCAGATGTTGAATCATTACCTGAAAGTAATCAATCTGAGACGCCAGCAAAATCATCTAAGTCTTCTAAACGCAGTACTGATCGCAAATCAAAAAGTCGGAGCAGTCGTCCTTCAAAGTAAATTTATATTATTTTTAAAAAAATTGTATAAATTTAGTAATTTTATAGTTTTATAATTCATATATTTTAAAATAGAAGAAAAAAGCCCAAACCTATTCCAACTAATGAATCTGATAATGAGGAACCTAATATTACACCACCACCTTCTCCAGAAGGGGATGATAATGTATGTATAATATCTTGAAAAATTTCATATCAGTAATAGTTTTCATTTTTAAATATACTAAATTTCTTTTTTTTTTTTTTTAGTAAATATATTGCTTTATAATAAATTTTAATTTTAGAAACGTCGGTCAGGACGTCATACACAAAGAAAAAAATATGTAGACGACATCATGTTAGCTATGTCTGATGATGACTCTCGTAAATCTTCATCTCCTCAGAGAAAATCGTCTACATCCGGTTCAGGGATAATCAGTGAAGGTAAAAAGTCTGCTCAAGACAAAAATTCTAACTCGAATTCAGTCAAACCTAATATGGTTTACATAGTGAGTTTTTCAATTTTCAATTAATTTAATAATTATAACTAAAAATTAATTAAATTTATAATCTACTTAAAATATTTTATTAGAATGTCACTGATGAAGATTCTATGGTAGTACAACATATTCTTGCTGTTCGAAAAGGAACACGAGAAATTTCTCTAATAAATAAAGAAGAAAAGTCTTCTGTAAGTGATAGTGAAAGTGAAGTTAATAAAGAAATTGAAGGAAATAAAGTAGAAAATTATTCAAAGGAAAAAGTTGATAAATTTGAAGAAGATTCTTTGGAAAAAAATATAAAAACTGAAAATGAAAAATCTGATGAAATACTTGAAAAAGTTAAAAATGATGATTCTATTAAAAAAGAAAATGATGATAATAAAAACAAAGATTCTAAATCTGTTAAAGTAGATGATTCTAAAAAAATTATTGAAGTAGATGAATATTATGTAAAGTACAGAAATTTTTCTTATCTCCACTGTGATTGGAAAACTGAAGAAGAGTTATTAAAAGGTGACAAAAGAATTGCTGCTAAATTAAAAAGATTTAAACAGAAGATGGCGAATAACACTAATATCTTTGAAAATGTAGGTTTTTTAATTTTTATATTTATATATTTATAAAGAAATTATTTATGGCTTATTCATAATTTTTTTGTTTTAGCTTGAAGAAGAACCTTTTAATCCTGACTATGTTGAAGTGGATCGTGTTCTAGATGTATCTGAACAGTTTGAAGAACCAAATTCAGAAAGTCCAACTAATTACTATCTAATAAAATGGCGAGCTTTGCAGTATGAAGATAGTACATGGGAGTTGGAACAGGATGTTGATCCTGTAAAGATAGAGGCTTTTGAAAAAATAAGATATACACCTCCCAAAGACCAATGGAAGGTAATTTTATTTTTTAATTATTTTTCAAATGTAAAATTTTTAATTATATTTAACATGATGACTGTAGCCATGCTAATATGAATGTTCAAATAGAAATAAATAAGTAATAAATTTTAATCTTGAACAATCTGATAAAACAATACGTCTGATTTAATTTATATTTTTTTTATATACTTTTTATTTTACAAACTACATTTTTTGATGTAAGTATAAATATTTCAGAAAAAAATTTTTTTTTCTTTTATACAGAGTGAGTCATGAAGATATGACAAATATAGTTATCATTTTTTGAATTTTTTTCTTTTATAATTGTTGCCTTTTTAGACTATGTTTAAAGAATATTTTTTTAATGTTAATCGCTAATAAGAAAAAATTTGTAAGAAAAAGGCTAAAAATCATTATTTTAAAATGTTAAAAACAATAAAAAAGTTTTATTTGGCTTTTTTGTTATTAAGTCTATTTTAAATATTGAACTTATTTTAGAATAATACTCCGTTTATTTTATTATGCTCAATAACTTACCATCTAGTAAATGTCCAAAATATAAAATATTTATAATGAAAGCATTACAAAAGTATCAAAAAGAGTATGTTAATGACTATTGAGATTAAACTCTTAATCTCCTCCCATTGATTTTTATTATAAGGTTCTGTACAACTTACGTAGTCCAATAAATATTAACAATTAAAAATATTGTTGAATATATTTTTACAAATTCATTAACTGCTGCTATATCTTGCATTTTAAATATAATAAACATGTGTTTAACATTAAAATAGCTTTAAATGTTCTATAAATATTAATTCTATCCTTTTTTTTTGAAAATGTAACATGTTAAATGTTATAAATAACTTAACAACTATTATGATTAATTAAGATAATTTTTATTTTAATTTAAGTGGTTAATACAACAATAAATATCTATATGATAATATAGTTATTTTTGGCTTATTTTTTATTTATGTTGAAGTATTTTATTTTTAAATTAAATTGTTATGTATTTATTTTTATAGCCTAAAAAGAGACCCTCCCCTAGTGAATGGATGAAATTAGAAAAATCACCTGTTTATAAAGGTAATAATACTCTTAGAGAATATCAGCTAGAGGGTCTTAATTGGTTACTTTTCTCATGGTATAATGGGTAAGTAAAAAATGTTAAATGGACTTTAAAGTTTTAATTAATTAAATTAATAATTTCTATAATTGTTTAGGCGTAATTGTATTTTGGCTGATGAAATGGGTCTTGGTAAAACTATTCAGTCTTTAACTTTCATAAATGCTGTCTATGAGTATGGTATTAAAGGTCCTTTCTTAGTTATTGCGCCATTATCAACAATTCCTAATTGGCAAAGAGAATTTGAAGGATGGACTGAATTGAATGTTATTGTTTATCATGGATCGTAAGTATAAAAAAAATGGTACTAAAAATGGTATATAATTAATAATTATTATTAATTTTTTATCAGATCTCATAGCAGAAATATGTTACAACAATATGAAATGTATTATCGTAATGATAAAGGGGCTATTATTAAAGAAATTACCAAGTTTGATGTACTCATAACAACATTTGAAACTATTATATCTGACTGCATGGACCTTAAAGACATACACTGGAGACTTTGTGTTATTGATGAAGCACATAGGCTCAAAAACAGAAATTGTAAACTGCTTGAAGGCTTGCGTGCATTAAATCTTGTAAGACGTGCATTACTAATTCAATTTAATGACTGAGTGTTATTGTTTCATTATATATTTATGTTTTGTTTTTTTTTCTCTAGGAACATAGGGTTCTATTATCAGGTACACCACTGCAGAACAATGTTAATGAATTATTTTCTTTGTTAAATTTCCTTGAACCTACTCAATTTTCAAGTTGTGATGAATTTCTTCAAGAGTTTGGTTCTCTGAAATCTGAAACTGAAGTACAGAAGCTTCAACTATTATTAAAACCAATGATGTTGAGACGTCTAAAAGAAGATGTAGAAAAATCAATTGCTCCTAAAGAAGAAACTGTTGTTGAGGTATTATTTTGCAAAAAAAAAAAAAATATATATATATATATAAAATTATTAATTTTTAACCGTTTAAATTTTTAATTATTATATTTTTTTAATGCAAAATATAGGTTGAATTGACTAATATTCAAAAAAAGTACTACAGAGGAATCTTAGAGAAAAATTTTTCATTTCTATCTAAAGGTACAACTTCTGCTAATGTACCAAATTTAATGAACACAATGATGGAGTTAAGAAAATGTTGTATTCATCCTTATTTATTAAATGGTAAAAATTAATAAATCAATAGTTTAGCTTATATTATAACATAAATCTTACTCGTGCAGGAGCTGAAGACCAAATTCAATACGATTATCGTAATATAAATGGTGATGATCCAGATGTTTATTATAAAGCTCTAATTCATTCTTCTGGTAAAATGGTTTTAATTGATAAACTGCTTCCTAAACTTAAAGATAATGGTCATAGGGTATTAATATTTAGTCAGATGGTTCGCTGTTTAGACATTATTGAAGATTACCTTGTATACAGAAAGTAAGTAATTTGTCAAATTTTTTTTTTTTTTTTTCTAATAAATGTTGTACTTTTGTTAGATATCCTTTTGAAAGATTAGATGGTAGGATTCGAGGAAACTTGCGTCAAGCTGCTATAGATAGATTTAGTAAACCTGATTCTGATAGATTTGTATTTTTACTTTGTACTAAAGCTGGTGGTTTAGGTATTAATTTGACAGCAGCTGACACTGTAATAATCTATGATAGTGACTGGAATCCTCAAAATGACCTTCAGGTTTGTTCAATGCACAGTATATTAAAAAAATATTAAATAAAGTTCCGTTATTTGTTATACTATCTTGATATATTTAAGCAATGATTTATCATTATTATTAATTAATATATAATAAAAAACATTAGCTAATATTTCTTCCTTTGCCTCTCCGTAATCCCAACTACTTAGGGTTGGCCACTTCCACTTCCACTTGACACAATCTCCCACATCAGCTGTCCTCATATCGCATTTAATAACATCTCTCTACCTCTTTTTTGGTGTTCCTCTACCTCTTCTTCCTTTAACATTAATTTCTACAACTGTTCTTACGGCTTCCGATTCTTCTCTTCTCATAACATGACCAAACCATCTAAGTCTATTTTCTCTCATCTTATCCACAATTGACGTTACACCTATACTCCCTCTTATATGTTCATTCCTTAACCTATCTTCTCTAGTCATTCCACTCATCCATCTAAGCATTCTTATCTCTGCTACACTCATTCTCTGCTCTACATTCTTATCAACTACCCAATCATAGCTGGCCCACTACAGTTTTGTAGAATTTACCTTTCAGCCTCATTGAAATTCTTTTATCACATAAATCGCCAGACGCTTCTCTCCACTTAAACCACCCGCATTTAATCCTGTGTCTTACATCCTCGTCAATACCACTGCTCTATTGATCAACTGATCCTAAATACTTAAAACTTTCCACCTCTCCAATCTGTCAAACTCTTACTCTTTATACTCTGTATACTCTGTTTTACTCCTACTTATTCTTAAACCCTTTTCTTCGAGAGCTGATTTCTACACCTCTAGCCTTTGATTAATTTCCTCCCTATTTTCTCGTATTAACGCTATATCGTCAGCAAACAACATGCACCACGGCATCTCTCCTTGTATTTCTCTAGTAATTTCATCCATCACTTTAGAGAATAAGTAAGAGCTTAAAGCAGAACCTTGGTGCACTATTGCTCTTACCCGAAAACCTTCTGTTACTCCTCCTACGCTTTTTACCCTGGTACAAGTGCCATCATACATATCTTCTATTATATTAATGTACCTCTTCGGGTCTCTAAAATATTAGCTAATATTTATTTATAAAAAGGATACTTAACTCATAAGTGTTTTTGTATATTAAGCAAAATATTGTTATAGGCCCAAGCGCGTTGTCATAGAATTGGACAGCAAAAAATGGTGAAAGTTTATAGACTATTGTGCCGAAATACATATGAAAGAGAAATGTTTAACAAAGCATCTTTGAAATTGGGATTAGACAAAGCTCTTCTACAAAGCATGAACACATCACAAGGAAAAGATATAAATAATAAACAACTTTCAAAAAAAGAAATAGAAGACTTATTAAAAAAAGGTATATTGTTAATTGTTACTACTGCTAATCACTTTTGTCTCCCTCTTAACTAGATTTAATTGTTTGCTTCTGCATAGCAAGATTTACTATTATACTGGAGTTAAACCTTTAATTGTGTTAGGTGCTTATGGTGCAGTCATGGAGGAAGATAATGCTGGTGATAAATTTTGTGAAGAAGATATTGATCAAATTCTTTCAAGAAGAACTCAAGTTATTACATTGGAAAGTGAAAAAGGATCAACATTTTCTAAAGCAAGTTTTGCATCAAGTGGTATACGTCAAGATATTGATATTGATGATCCTGATTTTTGGAAAAAATGGGCCAGAAAAGCTGATATTGACACTTCTGATAGAGGAGATCAAGTAAATTTGTAAAATTCAATTATGTCTATATATTTTTTAAATATTGAAATTTTATTTTAGAATGAATTAGTAATATCAGAACCAAGACGGCGAACTCAAATTAAGCGATATGGACATGATGAAGCTGTTATGGATATGTCAGATCTCGAAACTTCTGGATCTGCAGACAGTGATGTTGACAATAGTCTTGGTTTGGGACGTGGACGAGGTAAAAATAATTAACTTATGTTTAATTTAGTTAAGTTGGCTTAATTTTTAGTTACTAATACAGATTTTGTATAATGTTAATAAGTATGTTAATAAGCTTTCAAAATACCTTTCTTCTTCCAAAATATTTGCTAATTTTATTATGGGCCTGTAGATTTCTTTTAAAATAATAATTTTGAAAAATTTCATGTTTTTGGGCTTATTGAAGAAGTATTTTTTCACTTGTCCCTAATAAAGGTACCAACTTTATATTTTTAAACAAAAACATATATATTTAACTAGTTCATATAATAGAAAATTATCCAACTAAAAAATAACTTATTGATAACAACTCTTCGATAACATGATTTAGTGATCAACAATAAATCAATCACTCTGTGTATTATCATAATTTTATATTACATAATTGAGAAATAGATTCTGGTATAATTCTGATTTTCTATTAAACACTTATTATGTGAGCAAGATATTGTTTCTGCATTTTTATAACATTGCCTCTGTAATGTAATTCATTTTTGTATATCTTGTTAATTATTGTGTAATTATCCATGTTATCAACTTTTGGCTTGATTAAAATTTACAGGACGAAGAACTAGAAAAAGTAAAAATTTAAGAAATAAATTTTTACCTCCTGATTATATTCCTAAAGAAGGTGAAGTTCTTTATGGTTGTTGGACTAGAAGTGAATGTTTTAAAGTTGAACGAGGAGTTTTGACATATGGGTTAGTATATTTTATAATATAAATGTGTGTTCAATTCATTTATAAATATATATCTTCATTTATTTTTTAAAGCTGGAGTCGTTGGTCAGAAATAATTGAACATAATGACTTTCGTGATGGATGGAAAGAAAATGATGTAGAAGACTTGGCACGTATTATTGTGAGTGTTGTTAAAAATAACAAATTAAACCTTTTTATTTATAAACTTATATATCAAGTTAATTTAAACTTTATTTGTTAATGTTATTAGATTTTGTACTGTTTGAGATTTTATAGAGGGGATGAAAAAATACGGTCCTTTATATGGGATCTAATAACACCGGACAATACATCAGTTGAAGACTCTCCTACACATAGTGGTAAGGATTAAACATTCAGATGTAATTTATAATCTCTGTCTAAATTTAACAATATTTAGTTATAAATTATTTATTGACCTCAATTATTACTAGAACTATTTTTTATTGAAACTAAAAATAAACTTGTTAAATTGTGTCTTAGTTTTGAAAATAAAAATTTATATATATATATATATATTTTAAAATTTGAATATCATCAATTTCTTTAGATTTTGATAATTCGTTGATTATGTGTTATTAATAATTTACATTCTCTAAACTAAAAAAATATTTCAATTATAGGACAAAGTTTTCGAGGATCAAAAAAGAAGAAACCTAAGCAGAAAGATTTAAACACGCCTCAATTAATTGATGAAGAGCATTGGAGTAGAAATTCTAAATACGATGGAGATATATTTTTAGATAGCAATTATCGTAAACATCTGAGTCGCCATGCTAATAAGTATATACTTTTTTAAAGTATAAATGATAAATTTATAATGATATTTATTTACTATATTTACAGAGTACTAATAAGAATTCGTATGCTATACTATATTAAAAGTGATATAGTTGGTGATTTAGCTCATCAAGTTATTGAAGGTATTCATATTAGGTTAGTATTTAAATCATTATCAATTTCCTATTATGTAATAAGTTTTCTATAATTATGGTTAAAAACTAATGTCTTTTATTTCAAATTTTTAGTAAATTACCAATAAACACACCTATATGTGATTTACCTCCAGCTCCTTGGTGGGATAGAGATGCTGATCGTTCATTATTAATTGGTATTTATAAGCATGGATTTGAAAACTATAATCAAATGAGAAATGATCCAGCTTTAAGTTTTCTTTCTAAATGTGGATCATCAACTACACTGTGAGTATTACAAAACTTAGAGTAATTTTTACAATTAAGTAAAAATCCTATATTATAATGTAGTAACTGCAGTCAACTAATTATTAATAATTTTTTAATAGTTCTCTTTTATTCATATTGACATATATAATTTTAAACAGTTAAAATATTTAATTGTACTTTTTTATTTTAAGTATAAGCATTGAACATTTTTTTACGAACCCCCTCTATATATCATATACAATTATTTTTATTTAAGAAGGTTCTATCTCCAATATTCAACATGAAAATAATCATAATAAGTAGAATTTATAAAATCTGATTGTTAAATATATATTAATATAGTTTTCATAATCAAAATACTTAGTTTAATATTTGTTTAAAATATAACAGAAAAATATACTTTTATTCAATGAAACAAGAAACTTAAATTATAAATATTTTTCATGGAAATAAAAGTTTTAACAAATTAAAAACCATAATAATTTTAGAGATCTCTAATTTTTGTGCTAAATCATAATTTATTTATCTATCTGAATAAAATTTGTAATACTTTTAGTTTAATTTTTTTTTTCAATTATTAATTTTAGCGAAGAGAAAGAAGCAAATATAACAAAAATAAATGAACAAGATGTTTCTGAACAACCTCTAAATTCTGATGATGTAACATCTGAACCTTCCACGCCTTTAGCTACTGAAGAAAATACTAATAATATTACAGCAACATCAACTCTTGCACCTCCTACAGAAGAAAATATTTGGCCTTCAATTGGTGATCTAAATAATAGAGTAAGACGTCTCATATCGACATGCCAGAGAAACTTCAAAAAAGAAGAATTAAAAATGGTTCAAAAAGCTAAGGTAAGTGTTACTTAATGAAATTAAATATTTTTGAGTGACAATTTTATATATTATGATTATATTTTGACATTATGTATTATTTTACATAGTAATACATCATTTGGATCTAGGCACTATTCTATCCTATTTAAAATTTCTAATATTTACTACAAACAGAATAATTATTAATTAATATTTACCATACTAGTTCTATAACAATTTATTCTATGTTTAATTATTCATAAATTATCTAATGCTTTTAATGTGAACTATTAAAATTCTATAAATCTAATGCATTTTAATATAAAATAAATAAATCATCTATACATAGGTTAGAATAGGTATGATATATTTTGTAATTTATATTTGAACTCTGGAACTCCAAAATTGGTATTTGTTTCTATGCAGGATGTGACCATGTTTAAATATGATCTCGGATCACCGAGATCTTATATGGATTCCATCAATTCATCACAGTTATTGCCGGTAATTTTTTTATGTGTGTCTTATGAATATATCCAATATCATTTGTTTTTGTTTTCATTATTATTTTAAACCAATCATTTAAGCATGACGCATAGATTAATATTATTAAATCATTTTTTGCAATATTCCATGGATTGAATTGTTCTTTCACCAATTATCCCAAATTATTTACTTGTTTAGTATGCATCATTTTATTTATTTTATTCGTTCAGTTTTCATTATTATTTATTATTATTTTTTGGTATATTATTTATATTTTTTTGTTGATAGAAAGTAGATCCACTGTAGTTCCCTTACATGATTATTTTTTTAAATAAATATTTAGTTTTTTAGGTCTTTTAACGTTTTCTATAATAAGTACAATTTTCTGATTAGTTCCTTCTACTTTGTCACTTTATCTTTGATTCCTCCCAAAACTTTTCATTGTAATTTATTTTTACTCTTTTCATTATTAAAAATATAGCTTTGTTTGGTAAAATATACATATGACAAGTATACCTTATATGTTAATCAATTTTACAATAAACAAAGTAATCAATTATTTATATTATTTCCTAGTATTTTTATAATATTTAAAGTTTGAATTAACATTTTTCAAAAATCAGTTATCTTTATCAAACTTAAATTTTTAATTATTTTTTGTCTGAAGAATACTTTTCTGTATTCGTATGTTACTATTGTTTGTATTATAATGTATTGTCAACAGTACTAGTGCTAGATATTGTGAGGGTCCAATGGAAAAATATTTTTGCAAGAACTTTTTTATTTCTTTGTAATAAAAAAACCTATCTGTTTTTACATTTTATCTATGTTTGTGAGCTCTAAGCAAGTGTATTAATTACATTGCCAAGATTTATTGATAATAATTTGTTATTATCATCATCAATGTGTAATTATGCCAAATACTTTATTTTTTAATTTAACATTTCTACTGTGAAAAATAATAGAAGTAAAATATATAGTTCAGTGTATTTTTCAAAATGATAGTTTTATTATATTGTTCATTTAAAGATGTGCATAATTATGCTAAGGTTCATAAAATGCCAATGAAATATTTTGTTATATCACAGAATAAATAACTATCTATTGATATCCCTTTAAAAGTGATCAGATTACACAATGTTGTTTTTGTTAAAAGTCTAATTTTGTCATATATTTGATTATATTTATTTATTTTCATTCACATTTTACATAGTATAGAAATATTTTCAAAGTATTAAATTGTAGAAGTATTTTTATGGTAAAAATTCATAATAGTTATTACTATGAATCTAAAGAGTAACATATTTATAATATTTTATGTTTATTTACAAGTCTAGGTGTACTATTATAATTTTAATTAAAAATTAATTTTTTTAATTTTTCATTTTGGTTAATATGTAAATTTAAACTTTTTAAGTGATGCTGTTTGATCTAGTTTAAAATATTCTGACTGAAATTTATATTTGACATAAATAGTGTATCAGCATAACTATAAACATAAAGTAATATTATAGATCAATGAACCAAGAATTTGAATTATTCACTTTTAAAAAGACAAAGTAATAGCAGTGTTTAAAATAAATATTACATTTTGGCTAAATTATCGAACTATTTAGAGAGAATAATTTTAATAACTAATTTTAAATACTTCAAATTATTTGGGTTTTATTCTAATAATCCAAATTGTAGCTAAATAGTTAAAATTTAAACTTAAAAAAACATATAGAGTTGTTATTAATATTTGATATTTTAATTTAAATTGTCCGATATTTTTCTAAATGTATAAATTATTCATTAGTTCTTTTAAAAAATATTCCTATTATGACTAAAGCATTGCTTAGCTATAGTTTGTTAGAAATATATTTATTAATTTATTGTAAAGTTTTGTTTTAATTAATTCACTAGAATGAATATATACCAAGTATTTTGATGTCTCTAAAATCTTATCTTTTTATTTCCATATAATTCAGATTAGATTATATATTATAACAACATCTTATAAATAAATTAAATCAAACCAATTAATGTACAGTGTACATACCACTAGCTTTTCTTAGCTTTGAAATTTAAGGAGAAGTTTTTTATGTGTTTACAGTAGATGTAATTTTGAAATTAGTAGTTATATAGTTGTGAATTGATTATTCCTACACTGTAAATACTTATTTAAAATGTTGGCATATTTATATATAGCTTTTACACACATCGTAGGCAGCTGCTAAACACTATTATTATTTAAACAATTTTTACATCAGTATTAGTTACTAAATAATGAATGAAATTTTTTAATATATGGATTTTCTGTGTAGTTGTTTTTGAATATTTGCTATAAATAATATTATTTTTTATGTTAAATTTAGTCATAAAAATATAATATTATTGTAGTTTTGTTGATGTAGATTATGTTTAGTTGCATGGATGTTTGTGTGTTTGTAGCTAGGAGAATCAACGTGCGCGGCAACGTCAGGTACAACCCAGTTATCAGGAGACGTTGCCAGCCTCCTTGGTACGGGACAGCCCGGATGGGACTGGCAACAACTTGCCATGTATCTTTGGGTTCGTATGAGAGTTAAACAAAATTATTTGGTCAAAGTAAATGATGGATTGCACTAACATTAGCAAATTTAATAAGAAATGATCTTAAATACAACTCTTGCTTATAACTGATTATCAAATTTTTAAAATAACTTGGTAATATACAAAATGAATACATATATTTTTTTTAAATTAAATAGAAGAAATCTTTATAAATAACCCATTATATCTAACTGTTATTAATGGTTTATTAACAAAAAAAAAAGAAAATTTATTGAATAGCTTTTGAATTTATCATTTTTATTAGTTTTAAAATATTGAATCATTATTAAAATATATTATATAAAAAATACTTAATAAAAAACAATGACTTTATATTTATTATCTAATGCTTATTATATAGCAAGGTTCTCTTATAGAATGTTATTTTAATAGATTTTAGACTTCTTATTTGAATTGCTTATTTTTAATTGCATGAAGCTTGTGTTTTTTTTTTTAAGTAATTATTGAGCTATGATGGGTTTTAGAAATAAATGCTTTTTTTAACACCTATTTTAATATAAAATCTAACCAATATGAATAATAAATATTTATCTCAATAAAATATAAAATTATAAAATACCTCAAATATTTTGTAAATTAATTTTTGTTTTGATTGTTTATGTTATGTATGTTTAAAAAATTAAACAAGTTAGGAATATGAATTAATGTTATATATCATGCTTATAAAATTAATGCTATTAGAATAAAACTACCAAAAACTAGTTATTTATCAAATGATAATTTTATATAGATTTTAAAATTTACTTTATTATTATATTAATCGATGATCTCATAAAAAAATTTATTTGATAAAGCTATCCATTTTAAGAAAACCTTTTTTTCCGAATTTTAATTTGACATAGTAATTTTAATAATATAAAGTATATAGAACTTACTTTATCATAGAATTGTGTTGAAAATATCATATTGATGCTTACATATATTTATATTACAGAAAAGTTAATTAATTTTTATAGACCTATAAAAATTGACTAAAAATGTTCATAAAGAGTTAATAATAATTTAATATCAAAATTATAACTTAAGTGTTGCATTTCAATGCTTTTTTATGATGATTAAGTAAAAAAATAAATGTGCGTCATGGGTTATATGTATAAAGCAAAGCAACATAGACACATGCTTTTAACAATTCTAAGAATTATTAAAGAATTTAATGAACATGAATTATATTTTACAATATAATTATATTATATACAATTACAAAAAAATTAAAAATCTGTCTTTTAATTTTTATCATACAATACAATATTTTTACATATTTCATTATTTTATAAAAGATAAGTATTCATATTTTCCAAAATTAGTTTAACAATTTAACTTTCTTTTTTTCACCTTAATCCCAACTACTTTGGGGTCAGCCTTTAACTTAACTAAATAATTTAATAAATAACTATGGTTTAATAAGTTAAACTAGTGTTTAGTAATTGTGGTTAATAAATTATTTAGTTTAGTACTGAAGTAAAATAAAACATTTTCCTGAGGAATTTAAAATAACAAAAAAAAATACAGTAAATTTTTTATGAATTCTCATATTTTCATTAATTTTTTTTTTTTTTTTTTTTTTTCATAAAAATTTACAATTTAAAATTTGATTTATTTTTATAAACCATATCAAATATTAATTTGTGAGAAAAAATGATTTTTAAGAGTAGATAATAGAAGTAACTCTTGAAAATGAAATGGGGTTCAATTATTTATCATTATAATTTTTAAGTTAATGTAGTTTTTAGTTATAGAGTTGATAGGTATTTGCAACATTGTAGAATTCCTATCTGTATATCATAGTAATATAAAAGCAATGCTAAAAACTACCACCCTGCTCGTTTCTAAATCTTTCAATGCTAATATCTCTAAAAGTAATACTACAAAACTGTTTATCGACCAATTCAAAATTTTGTTTAAATCATTCTTATGAATTGTATATGAACTTAATCCGCTTTATGATATTGGTCCGTTTGTGCATGAATAGCAATAACAGAGTTATGTGGTATTTATGTTTTTTAGTAATATAAAATATTAAAAATAGATTTTTTTTTTTGTAATTTATGATAGATAGTCCGAATTTATTCTTCCTTTTGACTAAAAAAAAAACCTTTTATATAGATAGCAAAAATTTATAATTAAAATAACTAATTAAGTAATAATTTCATGCTTAAAATAAAAAAAAAGTTTTCTTGAAAATTTGAAAATTTGTGTTTTAATTGTTTTATAAAACATTTTTATTAAATTTGAGACTGCTCAACAAGTCAAACCTAAACATTTAAACTTGATTATATCACTTATTAATCAAATAATTAATTTGAACTTTTCACTTTTTTTTGTGCAACTTCCAGTTATGAATTTATATCCAATAGGCAATTTTATAAGTATTTTAATACTATTATTGTTTGTCTTAATAGGTAATTAAAAACTAACATAATTGCTGTTAATTGAAAAAACATGTATAATTATCGAAAATTTTGTATTATTATAACATAATTTTGTAATAATTGTTATAATTATTTTTCCATCATAGTTATATTTAAATTAATAAAAATAAGTTAATCTGTTTCACGAATTGACATTAATTTTTTACATTAAACATGGTGATTTAATTAAATTTTATTTATTTACATTCATTATTTGTTAAAATTATTTAACTAATTTAAAGAGAGGATTACTACAAAATAGGAATTCATAATAATAATCATGTTGACAATTTTGTGAAAAAATTTCTACAACTTTTCGATGTAACATATCATTTGGTTTATATCCTGATAAAATCTTTCCTCTTGTTTTCATTAACGTTATCAAAATTAACTAAGTATTTATCCAAATGGAAATATAGATAATACAGTTAAATATTACAACCCAAAGTACGATAGTTTTTAGTAGACAGTTAACAATGGCTGCTTAATTTTTACTATTATTGTTTCCTAAAAAAATATTAATTACATTCTTAAATAAAACCCAAGCTCTTTTTAATATTTGTGGTGCAATTAAAAATTATTATCCTTTATGGAAATTTTTTCATTGGACATAAGTGTTTTGATAAGCAGATTGATATGATATAGTAAGATGATTTTTTGTCTCATGCAACTTATGTCTGGTCACAGCTGCTTTAACAAGTATCTTCACAGAATTCGTAAATTAGATGTACCAATGTGTGGCTAATGACTGTTTAACTGCCTAAGAGAGTTAGACAATGCTTTGCACACCTTTTTCCAATGCAAGACATGGACCAAAAACGGGATTCTTTGGAGTTCCAACTAGGGTTTTACCACGTTCTAAGCCTGGTCCATAGTGGACTTGATATTTACTGGGAGCCATTAGGTGTAGAGTCTTATTCAGACGTTTTCTAAAATAGTTATAATCTATAAAGAATCGGCCAAACTCTTGCAACAGAGGCAGACACAAATTAAAATTTGAATATTTTGTCACCAAGTAGAACACACTTTTTAAACAATAAAATTTAAAATAATTTTTTTTAATATACATATCACAAATGTATATATGATTCATATCAAATTACTATGTTTTCAAATAAATTAATATCTACTATATTATTTGTCTGCTACATTTTCACTTGCTATATATTGAATTCATAATTCATAATTAATTATTAACCTGAAGCACGAGAGCATGAAATAATTTTCTATTTTGTACTAGAATTTGTAAATATATTTCAGTGGTCTTAATTTAAGAGAGCTATATATTTTATTAAATTATTATTTGTAATTTTTCTCACTTTAAGTTATCATTTTACTAATATTTATGATTAATTTAATAAATCAACTGTAATTTGACTTTATGTTCAATAGAAAGTGGAAAGAAGAGAAAAATATGAACAGTTTGTTAGAGAGCGAGAACGCCAACGTTTAGAAATCAGTCAGAAAAAATGGACCCGAAAGGAAGAGCAAGAATTTTATAGAGCTGTAACTACTTATGGTGTAGATTATGATAGGTGACATTAATATTTTTATTTATTTATTTAAAGTACATAAGTATTATTATTAATATATTATTTTTTTTTTCTAGAGTATCAAAAAGTTATAATTGGACCAAATTTAAAAATGTTGCAAAACTTGAAAAAAAATATGATGATACGTTAACTGAGTATTTTCGTTCATTTTATGCTATGTGTAAGCGGTTGTGTGGCCAACCACTAACAAAAGAAGAGGGTAAGTTTATATATTTTTTTTCTTAATAATTTTTCTGAATAATTCAACTTTGATTACTTTTCAGAACTGTGTGATTTTCCAATGGAATTAATTAATGAAGAAAGAGCTCGTCGAGCTCTTGAACGTATAAATCTAATTGTAAAGATACGTGAAGAAACATTAAATCATCCTCATTTAGATGAACGCCTAAAATCTTGTCAAGTTTCTGCTGATGTACCAGATTGGTGGCAACCAGGGAAACATGATAAAGATTTATTGGTTGGAGTTGCCAAGTAAACCCTTATTTTCTACTTTATATCAATGATTTTTTATAACAACGTCCTTATGTACAATATATTTTTTAGGCATGGTCTTGGAAGAACAGATTTTTATATCCTTAATGATCCAGAGTTATCTTTCAGAGAAATTGTTCAGAAAAACTTACTTTCTGCAGTTACTGGATCATTTAATACTGAAATAATACAAACAAATAAATCTATTAAATCTGAGACAAACAAGTTAGATAATGCCAAAACAGATTTAAGTGTACCTAAATTACCTAAAGAAGAGTCTATTGAATTAGAAGTTAAAATAGAATTATCTGAAGAACAATTAATTAAAGACAAAGCTACAAAGAAGAATGCACTTGAATCAGATATCTCTAAAGAAGAAACTCTCAAATTAGATATTAACGATAAAGTGACTCCTCAACCTGCTGAATCTATAACAGTTGAAAACGAAACAAAAATAGAAGTTGAAAATACTAAGGTTGAGAATAATACTGATTCATTAAACAATGACGTGACTATTGTTAATATTGAAGACCAATGTACAAATATTAGTATTATAAAAGAAACCGAAAATAAAGTTGAAAATCATGATGAACCTATGAATGTTGATATAGAACTAGAAAAAAATTTTGGTTCAGGTGACATCAAGTCAGATACAGTCAATAGTATTGAAGAAATAAAAGAAAAAGAAACAATTTCTATGTCATTTAATGAAGATGATAATAAAAAGGCAAAAGATGAATTATTAGAAGAAGATAATAAAGTTGTCCAAGAAAATGATGCAGTTCAAACTGATACAGATTTTAGCAGTGCAGTTCAAAATGATGTTCAAAGTAATGTTGAAGAAAAAGAATTAAAGGGAGAAACTTCAACAGATGAATTAAACCTGAGTTCAACAAAAACTTTAGAACCCAAAGAAGAAACAATTACTCCTGAAACTGAAGAAAAAGAAATAGATAACACATTCATTCAAGCTAACAGTACATCTAGTATTACACCTAATGATGATTCAATTAAATCTAAGGACGTTTCAGCATCAGTAGAAAGTGTAGACAGGCTTAAAGCTATGTTTCCAGAACTAGAAGTCATGCACAAAGATATTTCAGCTATAGACAAATTACCAGTTCACAAACCTTTGCAACAAATTGATCAAACTATTGCTCATCTTCTAGCAACTAGTTATCAAAACCCCATTAAATGGCCTAAAGTAATTAATTGGAATTATTTAATTATGCTCAATATTATTATATTGTATAATTAACACTTGCTGAAAAAGAGCTTTAAATGGATGTGTAATTTAAGCACTTTGAGTATTTAGAATGACCCTACTTATAATTTTTTTTGAATTCAAACTTGTCTTTATATTTCCACTAAAAACAATTATTGTTAGATTAATAAAATATTAATGAAAGTAAGCTTTTAGTAATATCTTTATCAAATTTTGCCATTATAGAAATTTAATTAAACTAAATTATTTACTTTTTAAAAATTATTCTAAGATTGAGTTAATAGTAAAGGTTCTTTATTTTTTAAACTTTTACACACTTTTTAAGAGTTAAGAACATCTTATGGTATGATTATAATTTTAACCGATTAACTTTTATATAAGGTAACTACTTTTTTTATCTTATTCTCGTTTAATATATTCTTCTTTAAATAATATTAAGATTTAAATTTTCTCCTTCTCAATAATTGCTGTATCATTTTTAAAAAATGCTTATAAAAAAATGGAAATAAAAGATTATTATCAAGTTTTAATCATACTATGTATTGCAAACTTTAAAAAAATATAATATTTCAGGGTATATTTAATTTTTAATTAGGGGTATAAAAAAATTAATTATGTTTGTTCTTTTTATACCCTTATAATTTATTATAATATATATATATAATTTTATTACAGGAACATGCTTTAGTTGTTCGTTTGCAACACATAGTTGAGTGTGTTGAAACAGGAGAGTGGCCTGTAAGTAAAAAGTTTTCAGCATATGCCCAAAATCCTAGTGGTATTTGTGGAATGGGAATCGATGATTCTGACAATGGAACTAATAAAAGAGAATTAGGGCAAGTAAATGACCATTTAGGCATTTCTGAAATTCATAATGATCATTCTTCACTAAGAAGTAATATTATGATAGCCCATTCAAATGTTAACTTAAAAAGAAAAAGACATATTGCTATTGATGTGGAAACAGAGAGAGGTTTGAAAATTCAATTTTTAATAGAATAAAATTATAAAGAATATTAACATTTTTTTTTTTTTATTGCAGCTAAACTTCATGCATTACTCAATACAAATTCAATTCCTGCACATCCAACTAAACACTCTGCTCCTATGTGGGACCAAACTGATGAATCTCTTTCTGAAGACTCAAGGTATATTATGGAAAAATAATACACCTAATTTTATAAGTTTTTAAAAATAATTTATGTCATTAGGCGATCAACTCCAGTCCCTTCACATATTCAACCTCCACCTGCTCATCAACAGTCACATAACTCATCATCAAGATTATTAAGCATGGCGTATGATCTTAAATTTTCAAATGCTCCAAAAACACCTACTACTGTTGCTTCTGCTGCTACTCCACCCCAATCTACAGGACCTATTGATTTATCTTCTGGGTAAAAACAATATTAAATAATAGTTTAAATCAAAGTAGCTTTAATGTACAGTTAAAATAAGAAACTAATGATTTTTTTTTTATTATTATTATTAATTTAATTTATTTGAAAAAATACATTTTAGTGTCTAGTATTTTAATATATTAATTATTATCATGACTTAAACTAACTATGAAAATTTGTGATCTTTATAATTTTTCAATAAATATATATTTTTTAATTTTTTAGAAGTATACCTCAAATAGGATGTATGGATTTAAGTTCTGGACCTAGAATTTCTTCTGTTAATGAAGTTCAGGATTTTTCTATGCCATTTAAAAATAAATCTTCTCAAAATGTTACTCAGTCCTCTAACTTAAGTACACCCCCAAAAAGTAAATTAGATGACATGTTGAATAAATTAATGCAAAAGAAAAACTGTGTGCGAAGCTCATCATCTAAAGTAAGCTATTGATAAAATCAATAATTTTACTAATATTTGTGCTTAACAAATTTAATTGTTTTTTAGACTTCGGAAGAACAGCCGGTTGTTGGAAAGGAAATGAAACGACGTAAGTTGGATGAAATTGTTTTTGGTTTATCTGCTGCTAAAGAACAACAATCATCATCAACAGAGCAAAAGAAACATTCAACATCATCACCTTCACATAATTATTCCACATCATCAAGTAAAACACAACAAAGCTTATCTCAACAATTAGGTTCTGCTCATAGACAGTCTAGCAAGTTAGATCCACTTGCAGCATTTTTGTCATCACAAGTACATGAACAACAATCCAACTTATTGAAACAACATACAACTTTACAACAACAACTTGCTCAACAACAACAAGTAGGATCAACATATATGTATTCAAGAAATGTTTATTTATAAATATATATTATCGATATTCCAGGTTTTGAAAATGTCCCAATCTTCAGGAGCTTCTTCAGTTTCGCAAAGCCAAAGAAAAATGTATGAAGCTATGATGGATAGTATGGCTAAAAGTACTGCAGAGTATTCCGGAAAATTAAATGCATCTACATTTTCCCAAGAAGCTAAAGTGAACAAGTGGCTTGCTGAACAAAATGCATTAATGACAGATCAGCAAATGTCTGCAGATTTTTTATCAGCGCCTAGAAGACGAAGACCACGAGTAGATCCAACATTATTAGATTGGAAAAAATTAACTGGAGAAGAAAATGTATCGGTTATTAATAGAACAACTGGAAAAAAGGTAATAAAATTATCAGTATTATTGTAATTTTGAAAAAGTGAAAATGGAGCATATACAAAGGATGTCAAAAAAGAATGAGATTTAGTTTTAATTGAATATTATCTTTTGTTTGAGTGATTATATTAGGTTATAAAATATCAAAAACAAGTCTACAAGCAGTTTAATATCATATTCAATACGTTTTTGAGAAACACAATGAAACATATTTAGTATACCTCTCGGCGTTTTTAAAATATTCTATTTGAATAACAAAATCGCCGTACTAAATTATTAGTTATTATTTTTTATATGACTATTATGTGGCTTATTACAACTTATTAGTAAGTAATACTTCTACTAGTTATGAAGTAACACTTGATTACTTTACTTTAAAATGTTGATCACATTATATCACATGCAATGTTCCCTTTATTTTATCAATCTCACTACTGTAGTTTAAATAAATAAAAATAAAAAGTATATTTAAATAAAAAAATATATATTTAACTATACCCTATTTCAACTATTCTGTGACTCAGTAAATTTGTTCAACAAACTAATTTTAAACTGTAGTATCATATGACATAACACAACTTCTAGAAGTACACCTTAAACAGTTCCCATGAAAATTCTTAATAGTATTAAAAGTAGAAAATGAGGAGAGTGATGCAATTTATCCAATTGATTTTACTTTTAAATGTAATTATATTTATTTTTTCTTGGATTAAAAAAAAATTTTGTTAAGAAATTTAATCTCATTCTTTTTAGAACAATCGATGTAACAACAAAAAATGCAATTTATCATAAAAGTGTGTCTTTTTTATAATTAAACATTAGATATTATTAATTTAGATCTAATTGAATTTGATAATTTAATTTTTGTGCTACATCAATAAAATATAAATTAAAGGATAAAAATAATTATATTGAAATGAGTTTATTTTTGTTAGAATTATGAAATAGAAAACTAAACTAATCTCTCGAATAATTAAATTTATTAACTGGGCTAAACAAATAAAATTTTAGTAATTCATATAATTAATAAATTAATTAATTATAATTTGTTTATTTGATAATTGTTAACTGATTAAATAAAAATTAAATCTAATTTATAAAATGTTTAAGGTACTTTTAAAAAATTATCCTGATAATTTAGTTTAATAACTAAAATTTATTAGAAATCTGAGATATACACATTTGTCTCAGATTTCTATTATTAATATTTTTTTTACCTAAAAAAAAATTAAAATAAATTGGAACTACTGAAACGTATAAATATATTTTTTTCAATTGTTTGAACAGTTAACAGGAACAAAAGCTCCTCAATTAAAAAGAATAGGTCAGTGGCTGCTGGAAAATCCCTCTTATGATGTTGACCCTAAGTGGGCTGATTTAGTTAAAGAGCGAGGAAATTTAACACATGATTTACAAAAAAGATTACCACAAGCAGATCGCAAAAAAGGACCTGGAAGGCCACCTATGCAAACCGGAGAACACACTAGTGCTTCAGGTCAATCCATCTCTAACAATTCACCTTCTACATCTATGGCTCCTAATTTGTCTTTTCCATCATTAGCATCTGCTGGACTTAGTGGAATAAATCCATCAACCCTCCTATCTAGTTTATCAATGGGAAATTTCGATCCTAAAAATAATCCCTTATTGATGCCATTTAGTGGTCTTTCAAATATTGGTGCTTTAGGAGGTATGGGAGGCTTAGGTAATATGAATTTGACAAATTCATTGTTTGCAAATCTTGCTGGCTTAGGTTTGCCTGGACTTGCAGGTTTAGATCCATCTAATATGAATGATGGTTCTCTCTCATCCCAAAGCCAACAAACAAACTCTAAAAATTCAAAGTCTAGAAAATCTGAATCAAACGCCAAAAATACCCCTTCATCATCATCATCATCAACTAATGTACCATCTAGCTTATCAGGATCATTACCATTTTTCTTTCCTAATCCTAGTATGTTGTATTCACCATTAGGATTAGGTGGATTAAATCCATTTACACTGCAACCGGGAGCTATGTCTTCTGCTTATGATAGTCTGTCATTATTAAATGGTAGTTTAAATGTTTCATCACCAAACACTTCTCAAGGACTATCGCGACATAAAACTTCAAGTAGTCGTAGTCAAAATCTAAATGCCAGTACTGTAACTTCTTCTAGCCAAAGACAACCAAGGACTAGCACGCACCATCTGCCCTCATCAACTCCTAGTCCAGCTGATTTACTGGAAAATTTAACCAGGGCTAGTCGCAATTTAGCTCACACTGACATGTCAAAAAATCGAAATTCTCGAGATGTTGATAATTTACGATCACTTATGTCAAGTATGCCTCCTTTTAATATGTTAGCAGCTGGAGCATTAGCTAGTAGTAGTGATTCTAAAAAAACTAGAGAACAAGAAATGAGAGAAGCTCTAGAAAATCTAACTAAAGCTTCGCCAGAATTATTTGCTCGTTCATTACCTGATGATAAAAAGTTTAGTTTTCCATCTATGGAAGTGATTGAAAAATCATTAAAAAGACCTGCTGAACAAAGTTCATCTTTAGAAAGACCCAGTAAACGTACTAAAGATATGATATCTCCTATTACAATACCAGTTCCACACACGGTAACAACAAAATCTACAGGAAATAAAGAAAGTTCTTCGGAGCCAGGCATTGATTTGTCAAATATGGCAAAAGCTAAATCTCCAGAAAAACACAAAGAAAAAGTTGAAAATTTAGCTGCATCTCAATTCAAATCTGAATTAGAATGTGATTCTCAAGTGGATAAAATTGATGACAGTATTGATATGACCAACCAAAAATCTAATACACCTGATGATAATGACGAGAAAAATGAAAATAACAAAAAAAGCAAAAAAAGTAGAGTTAAAAAGTCTTTGAATGATGAGAATGTAGAACGCAAAAATCTCCGTAGTAATACTGGTAAATATTCTGGAAGATCAAAATCTCATTCTCGATCACCATCTCCTTCAGTTTCATAAGTCTTATCTATTTTATTGTGAATACCATTTGTAATATTATATATAAATTATAAAACCATTCCTAGTATGTAATGTGCTAGTTTAGCATTTTTAACATATATTTTTTTTTATTGTTTATTTTTTACAAAAATTTGTTCTTAAAGTATTATTAATAATATAGAATTTTAAGAAAATTTTCTTTACTAGATTGATGTTTAAGTTTTTAAATAGATTTTCATTTTATCTTAATATTTATGACTAAAGCTCAAATTTAATATTTGAAACATTTTTATAGAAAATAATAATTTTTTTTACAGTAATCTATTTATTTAAAAATGAATAATGCAGCTATTGTATAATTATAAACATAAATATGAGATATTTAGTATTATTGTAAATAACCTTCATTGCTCTCTAAAAACGTGTTATTTTTATTACTATTATAAATTATTATTAAAAAAAAAAAAAATTGTTTTAAGAAAATTATCTTTGGTTTTTATTTTTTATTTTGTTTAAGTGATTTTTTTTTTACACAACTGTGATAGTGTATTTTCATTTAAATTGACTTAAAATTATTATTAAGGTGTATTATAATCATTTTGTATGCTTATTTTACAAAATTTGTGTTAAAACTAAAGAAAAAAATTGATTTGATATTCCAATCTAATCAACAAACATAATTTCCTTCTCAATTAAATGAAAATTTTAATAACTTATTTTTAAATTTTGCTCATTTATAAAGCATCTTTTGCAAGTAAATAAATACGCACATGAAATGTAACAAGTTTTTATTCATACGTGTATACTGTTTATTTATTGATTACCTGATCCTTGTTAGTAATTTTTAGTCATTATGTGACTCCTATTTCATTGAGTCACTTTTGTTTTTTTATTTTATTGTATAGTCCATACTCTCAATATCTAATGATGTATTTTTACATGTAACCTATGTTTGTATATATATTGTATATTGCTCTATAAATATTGTGCATACATTAAATTAATAAATTTTAATAGGTAAAAATGTAGTTTATAGTAATATTATTTTAAAATAATAATTCATTTTTTGTATCTTTGTACATAAGCTATAATATTTTTTGATAGTTTATCCGTTTTCTTTGGATGAGTGTGGATGAATATTATACCTGAACAAAATCAGTTTGTATAAAATACAATTTTAGTTAAATGAATATACTTTAATAGTATTATTTTATAGGTGTAATTGCAAATTTATTTGCAACACATGTAACTGTTTGTGAAATGTATATATATTTATTAAAATGGTAAAATGGAATATAGTAATAAACATCACAAATATTTATAAACATATTAATCGGCTTTAAGGTACTTATATTGTATTATAAATATATTTTTGTTTAACAGATTTCATTTTTGGATTAATAACAAATATTTTTTAAATTAATATTCTTATTAAAATGTTAAAATTCGATATTCTTCCTTAGAAATGTTTTGTTTATAACTGATACAAGAAGTAAAGGTAAGAATTATAGTTATTTGTCATGTTTTATTATTTTTAGAATCATCAGTTTTTTTAGACGTATATATTTATGTAATTATCATTACAATTCAAATTCATAGTTCCAGATAAAAACTGTTATTTTAATCCAAAAATAATAATCCATTGACATAATTTCAAATGACTTGCATTAAACAAAAATTAATTAATTTTTTTTTTAGTGCATCTAAAATTAATTATTTGTTTAGCATTTGCATCTTAAGTAAATTTAAACATTACATCCAAAAAGATTAAGTAACTTTACTTAAATTACTATTGTTTTCTTCAATAATCTCTATTAATTAAATAAATTTAGTTTATTAAAATTAATAAATAAAATACTTGCCTTTACTTTTAAAGTTGTTGTATTATATAAATTAATATGTCCATATTTAAGGCTGATATAAGTACCTAGATACTATAAACTGTTTACAGTCGATTTCTTTGTAACGTTTTTTTACTTGTACAAAATAAAAATTGTTTTTCAAAATTGTTTTTTATTTATTATTTCCATTTTTATATAAATAACCACCGAGGAACATATAATCACTCTTTATTACATATTACAATTTACATACAGGGTAGGATTGTTATTAGTAGTTTGTATATTCCAGTGGACAGACCTTGAGTTGAAGGGAAGTGGAGTGATTTAAAAGGGGTATGTGACGGACGAGGGACTACGATCGAAAACAATTGAAGTCAGATGGCTGGATGTTATCAATCGCATAAGAAACTCTTAAGTTGGACGGAAAGTATAACCACCTGGTTGCTTAGTGGAAATCCTCGAAACTGTGGTTTGATTACCGTCCGCTGACAAATATCCGAATTTCTAACAACTGATATACATCCTAATTATCAACTATTTTTAGTTAAAATTTTGCTATCGGTGTCGGTCTGGTCCACTATATTTACTGGTGATCGTTGAGAACACTATTGTATTTTCCAATATCGGATCCCGCAGAGATCTTACGGCAGCTTACGCTTCCTATCTAGTGGAGAGAACTCTAAGACACGTCCAATCTATTTAAAGTCGTCAAACAAAAGGTTGGGTTATTTATAACGTTCAAACCGTCACATGAAACAGTAAATCGAAAGTTTTCAATAGGATTTTGTGAATGCATTAAGTTAGGATCATTTTTCCCGTCGGCTCTAGTGGCTGACTGGAGTCCTCGCGAAACTCAAAAAATCAAGGCTTAATAGCGCATCTATGCGAAATATTGACTACTACAAAGTATGGTATCAAAATTTCTATTGCTATATTTATATATTTGATTAAAAACCAGTATTTTAAAATCTTGGGATCTAAAGCTTAAAATTTTTAAAACTAGGTAATACTCTTACAAATTCAGCACTAGATGGATAAATATAACCCGTAGATCTACATATTGCCTGTTAATCCACATATTTATTTAAAAAATAATAATCTACAACTATATAACATAATGATATACTTATTCAGTTTTTACATTCTTTATCCACTCACTATCTAAAATATGTTTTTTACCGTCCCACATAAATTGGGTTGGAATTAATAGATCTTCATCGGCATACACAAATCTTTTACTTAAATCTATTGCAGCTTTAGATGATACTAAGCCAATTGAACCAAATTGTTCACTTGCTGGATGATAAACTCTACCATTTTCAACATCCATCCAAATTTTTCTAGGTTCAAATGGAATAATCAATTTTTGACCAGCATGGTTGTGACTAAAAAAAAAGCCAACTTCATTTTTGATTATGTGGGTAAACACAATTGGGAGATCATCGCATCGGATATAATTGCGCTCTCTTCCACATAAAGATATCCAGGGAAATTGTTCGGTAAATCGGTTGGTTGTATTTTTTTTAAGACGTTTAAAAAAAAAAACCAAAAAATCAATTTCTAAAAAAAAAATTTAATTAATATAACTATAAAAATCTTAAATAACATAAATTATTTATTTTATTAGTTATACCTTTATACGCTGACGTGAAATTTTTCATTTTACTATCATCCAAAAAGAGCTAAAATTATAAAATTTCACATTAAAAATAAATTAAAAAAAAAAGGATTGCAAAAAAAAAATGATTATTTATGTATTACTATTTTTATGATTTATTTATACGATGAGTACTATGTACAACACATATACTGTGAATTAAAACTAATGTCAGGTTTAAAATTTCAAGTACCATATCAAAAATAATGAATTGCATATTTAATCATATTTTTGTAAATTTGAAATTATTTTAGAAATTTTATTTTAATATATAAAAAAATATCTTAAAAACCTCAAATAGTCTTTTACTCGAATTTTATAATGTAGATCAGAAAGATTTGTAATATCATTACATATGCTTAAATTTCTTATTTGTATCTATTCGAAATTCAAAAAATAATAATTATAAATAAAAAAGTATTGTTTTTGATAATAATTTAAAGATAATTTAAAAATGTTTAAATGGGTGATAAAACCACATATTAAGATGGAAATTTATTTTTTCTAGATTAAGTCCGAATATTTACTTAACTCATTGTACAGTTCAGGAATTCAGCAAAGTGGCACTTAAGATGAAATATGATTGGAAAACCTAATGTTATGAGATTATAATAAAATTAAAAATAATAGTTACATAAAATATTGTTGAAATTATTCCTTGTGGATTAAACAACTTCCTAAAAAATGTTATCTATAGAAAAACACAATTACATAAAAGTAAAGTATTTAAAAAGGACATTTTTTAACCACAAAGTTTTATTTTATCAATTACTCAATCACAATTTCTAGAATTTTCAAACTTTCAACATATTAAAAGTCAAAATTAATTTGTAGATTCAATATAAGATTGTATTTTTTAAATTAAAAAAAAAAATTGAGCTTTATGATTTAAACATTGGTGTAACTCATACACAACTTTTGAGTCAAAAGATTTTGTAGTATTTATTCAACGATTATTGTATTTATAACACTATGGATTTATCTATGATATACTAATAAGGGTTTGAGGTACTAAATTTTATTTCCTATCTCTTAAAAAATAGTTTTTAAATTGTTGAGCACCTAATTCTTCAGCAAGGTTAAGCTCTTTTAGTTGCACCTATAGTTTTAAGTCAAACTTGATCAAATAATTACATTTTTTTACTTAAATAAAATAGTGGCTTATTTCTTATTAGACTCCAATATGTAACCCATTATCTCTGAATTTGACATACTGAAACTGATTTCAGTTATGATTATAATTTTTTTTTATTGAACGTATACGATTTTTTAAGTTAACTAAGTTATTATTATACATGCCATAATAAATAGACCTGATTAAGATATTTCAGTCTGGAATCTAATGCATTAAATTCCAGGTTTTGCAATTTCTTAATTTTAATTTTTCATTATAAGGATGATAGTGCCAAAACAAACTTTAATGATTATTTTTTGGTTTTTTTACCTAAAACATTAATATAGAACAGCCATTGTGGAGCTAGCTTCTTGTATAATATAACATATTATGTTATTGCTGGAATCTAATATTTAAACATTTAATGTTTAAAAAACTTGTGAAAACAAACATCATTAAATTTATACATTTTATGCTATACTATAGCACAAAATTTGAAATCTCTAAACTTTTAGGCCCATGGTGCTTCTTAATCGTGGTTTGGTTACATATACATCTAAATATATATGAATCTACACACATAATGAAATTTAAGAAATAATCTATCAATCCTCAGCATCTTCTAGATATATGAGATTATTTAAATACTTCATAAACATTAAAATTCATTTAATCAGTAATACAAACCCCACATCATCATATCAAACCCTTTTAAAGAATAAAAATCTAAATGATACATAAAAAAAAATTACCATTCCTTGGTGGTCTATAAAATAAAAATATTCTCTGATATTTTTCTCAGGTGACTGCCCTTGTACATATTTGATTGTATGGCAATAATTTTTTGATTGCACCCAAAGAAAACCATTTTGTATATAATTAAGTTTAGAAAGTATACTGATCATACTTTAATAATAAATTATCACAATTAGTTATTCAACATATTAAATTATACTAGAATACATTTTTCAGTATTAACTGAAAAATACAAAATATATATAGACAATAATTTAAAGAGTGAAGAGAAAAAAAGTTGATTATTTTAGTAATTGAAAGATATAGATGCGAGCAATTGATTTATTAAAAATTGTTCTACGCATAAGACTACAGAAATATTGTAATTATATGTTCTATTTTATAAATCAATATAAAAGAATGTAATAGCAAGGTAGATTTTCTAGCGAATTAAGTTTCACTAATTATACTTGTTCTCCTGCTTATCAACCTTGTTATACCATAGTAAAATGAATAAGATCGTAGTCCGCATTTGCGTCGTAGTACGCGCATGTGCATCGCCTTGTGTTTTTGTGCAATTGTGTACGATTGGCGAAATGACCGCTGCCAAATGCGTTTTAAAATCGTGCAATTTTTGAATTGGTAATTCTGATATGACATCAATGCTCGGCATAATTTTTAAGTAATAATTATATTATTTACTTTACACGATGCTTTGTTATATTATTTTATAATAAGTTTAATTGTGGATATTTATTTTAGATTCTATGTTTTTTATTTTTATTACTTATATTTTAATGAAAACTACGATTATATGCCTTATAATTAAACGTGAGTTATATTAACTAGTGTTTAGACTTATTTTTTCATGTTCTAACATTGAATTAACACCACTTTAACTTGCTAATAAAATTTCTTAATATTTGCATGAAATTGTTGTATTTTCTTTTCTGTGTGTCCCATGGTAGAGATTTGTAACTTTTTCACATCGATTTTATGTGTAGTGATAAAAAACAGACATAATTGACACTTATTTTTAATTTTTCAAAAATGCCTATTTGCCAGTTTATAAGTGCTACGGTTCTGATAGTAAGATTTATTTTCAGCAAGTGTCAATTCATAACAAATTAATCTGCTGTATTTCTATATATTATTATATTAAAAAAAATTAAGGTTAGATAGATTTATCAAAGAGTTAAATCTTGGTTGATAAACTACTACTGTATATTAGTATAATATAATAAAGATGTATTACAACAGTTAATGTCGGGAGAACACCTTTGCCACGAACTCATGATGCTCCGACATTTACATACTTCGACATTTGACAAAGTAGTAATTGTTACGAACATCTGGTACTCCGACCATCTGATTCATAGGTTACCAAAATTATGACGGATTTTACTCCGACATTAAATTTAAAAAATGAGATAGTAAAAACTCCGACATTATCGATAGTTTGATTATGCATCGAAAGTTATATTATATTTCGATTGCATTGTTAGTAATAGGGCGCATTGATCGTATATGTTGCAACGTCAGGGTCACGTGGCTACAGAAACACTACATTATTAAATTAATTATATTATTATTAATAATATTGTAAAATTTAAATTAAAATGTTCTATTCAATTAGCATTTATTTGCTACTATAGTTATTATACAATAATATACATTTTGCTTATTATTTTCTGGTACAATTTCTCACATTTGACATATGTTATTAATACTCGAATGATAATAGTCATTCATTAAGTAACATAAAATTAATAGTGTTTAATACAAATGTACATTTTTGAAAAAGTTTTCTCTATTGTTAGAATATATATTTATCTTTGAGAATTTTATTTTTTAATTATCCAATAATTACAAAATATTTTCATCAAATCAAAAAACTGTTAGTTAACTGTTTTTTCAGTCGATCCACAAAATTTTATCTAACAGTAACTTATTTTTTAACATCTATAAGATCCATTTGAAAACTAATTTTTCTATAACAAATATGTGCTGTAAAAATTGTCTTGTGCAATTTTATTAGTGATTAATTCCTAAGTGTGTAATATTATAAAATTATAACTAATATAACACATAAAATTGTTTGTACAATATAAAATCATTCTTGGGGATGTCTGGATTTTTTCCTGTGCTGCATTAGGATATCTAAGTATAAAATAACACAGTATATCCAACTTCAATGCAGTAATTGTTGAACACATTTTTTTTAGTCTTATTACTTTCTGGAAGTTTCTTCCAATAGGTTTTTATAGACTCAGAAGAGTATGATTAATTTTTCTTTCAGCAATTTTAATTGAAAATTAATTACTAAAATTATTTTTAACTTATATTAAAAAAAATTAAAATAGTATTAAACTGTGTAAGTTTTGCTACAAGTCTAATATGAGTTATGCTAAGAATTAGTAAGTTTTGGTTATATATAAGTAGAATTAATTTTTTCTTATTTAAAAATTCTGTGTGTCATCTAAAATTAAAAATATATTAACTCATCGTTAAACAATTTTCATATTGTGACATGAGTTTTATAATCAATGTTAAATTATAAGTAAAACCATTATAATCTCCAGTGGTGCTCACAGAAAAGTTAAAAATATTAAGGAGTAAAAAATTATTAATTTAAAGTTCTTTTTCTTTAAAATCTTATATACATTATACATTTATTGAAATCAGTTTGATATTTCCTTGAAAAAAATATCTAAATAGCCTTTCCTTTTTTTAATAATAATTAAATTTGTTGGACAATTTTCTCAGTGATCCAGTGAGAAAAAAAATCTTAAATTTAATGAGGGCCTTCTGAGCCAGGCCGACACTGCGAAAAGAGGATTATTTTGCCAATGTTTTCATCTCGTTAGCTTAACGCGTATCCTGCAAATACAAATGTATTGTTTTATAAATACAAAATGAAGTTTTTTTAAAAATTTGAATTAATTTTATATGTACTTTTTAGAATATGAAAGCATATTCCAAAAAAAATAAAAATTAATTTTCAAAATAAAATCACGTAATGTAATGTATTATGTTTTGTAAAAATGTATATATATATATATATATGTCCTATAAAAAAAGTTGTACAGTTTCAATATTACATTATTATATTTGATTTCCATTTAATGAGAAAAAATGAATAATTGTTTGATTATCAATCATGATTATAAATTAAAATATTTAACTCTATACGTATATTTGACAAAACTTCAAATAATCATAATGCAAATGAAAAAAAACTGAACCATTATTTAATGAATTGACTGCATATTTTTAATCGAGTTAGTTAAGTTTAAAACCAATTTACTTAGCAGAAGATTTTTGTAAGTTTATGATAAATCATAAACTATTGTCCACTGTTAACTTATAACTGCCTTGTGTTTACTTAATTTGACTAGAGCGTAGGAGTATTGCAACAAAATATTTGGGAACTCTAATTACATAATTTTTTACCTAATCTAAAAAAATATTTCTATACAACAAGAAATACAAATTAATTCATTTTCGGTATAGTCTATGGCAGAATTTTAGGAGACAAAGCCCCCTCAAGTCTCTCCAGATTGCGGTCAAATCCAAACTGGACTGAATTAATTTCGTTGCCCAACTTTGAACAATGAAATGATATTAAATCATATTTTTGTTTGATTTCATATGAAACTAATTGTAATGACAGTTTTAGAGAATGGGATACCGAATATCTTTATAAACGCATCTGTTTAATAACGAATACTATCATCATAAAAACGTACCTCAATATTTTTTAACTAAACTAATTGAATGTTATAATATTAATGTGCTTACAATGTTATAATAAGGAGAGGTAAAAAAGATTTTACGTCTGAAAATTGGAATCGCTCTTCTTTCCCCTCCAAAAAAAAAAATTTAAGGGCTCACACCAGTTATGTTACCTTTATGTACCTATTTTATCAAAAGTCGGATACATTTCGGGGATCTTTATTGTAATAATTATTCGTTAATAGACAGTAATCAATTATAACGCTATTTTATTATATTAATTAATATTTATTAATTAAAGATAAGGGTTATATTTTTCCGTCAGATAATATATTGCTACGATATTCATCTACTCCGAAATTTGATAATTTTTTAATCGATTTCGCGAATAATCGATATTCGGAGCTAATTTCATTCGGAGCAATCAATTAATAGTCGTCTTATTCGGAGTATTCGTCGTCGTAGCAACATCCAAATTTTTGTAACCAGGTATTCGTAGTAATTGTTGTCGGAGTAAATGTATTCGGAGGATTTTTTTACAGTGTCGGAGTAAATGAATGTCGGGGCATCATATCAGTTCGTGGCAATCTCCGGAACCCGTTAATGTCAATAATGATAATAATAATAATTATTTTTCTATTATAATAGAAAAATTATAAATGAAATTTAAAAAGAAATCAACTGAAAAAATTCATAAAAATATTTGGCTAATCGGGATGGTGCTTCTTAATAGAGTCATTCCATGTGCAATTACCTAGTGTGTGTACTGTTATAGTTCAGAAATTTTTATCATAGACTTCTTAAAGATCATTGACAACAAAAATCATTTTTATTTTTTTTTATATTGTTTTTTTACCAAATAGCACATTTTTTGTAATTAAAAACATGAAAAAACACCTTATGTTCTATAGCTTATAACTTCACATCCAAATAAGCTATCACTATGGAACTAGCACTGTTTTACTTATATTAAATAGTACTTCTATTTCATTCTTAAGTTTATGAATTTTGAATTTTTTTTTAAATCAAAATTTTGATTTAACTTTTAGTTATTTTCTTTTAACCCATAACATACTTTAATCTATTTATAATTTATTTTGTATCGTTTTACGGTCTTGAACACGCATTGTTTGCTGAAAATAGCCAACTTTATCATCTCATTACACAAAACTAACAAAACAATTTTTTTTCAAATTTACATAGTACTTACCTTTAGCCAAATAAAACGCCTGGTGAAAATTTGATGATGGAGAAATAATTTTAACGTTACTTATAGAATTTTCAAAATTTACAATTTGCGTATTATTGAAAATACACAAACTACGTAATATTCAACAATTAATTTTTTATTTATTCTGTGTTTTGTACTAGATCAAGTTATTGGCACTCATAACAAAATCCTAGGATCAATTGTGGCGGACCTGTAAGGCTCGCCTGAGGGAATTTTAATATTTATTTGTTGTTCGGGTTACCGTCTGGATTCCCTATTGAGCTATCCACATAGAGTCCTCCAAGATGTATATAGGATATAGTGATTATTTATAAAGAAATAAATTTAACACTTTCGATAGAAATACTGGTTGTAAATATTATAATGTATTTTAAGATATATATGTATAGCACAATTTCAATATAACACGGCAAGTATTAGTAAATGGTTTACAATTAGTGCTTATTCGACAATATTGGACACTAAACTGACTATTGCTGCAAAATAGTCATACAAAGAAATCAAGGGAACATCCGCATGCGGATGTCCCTATCAATTATAAACATGTATATTCGCAAAGATAAATATTTAATAAAGTGGTGGTGACACAACACAATGACTAAGTTCGGAAAAGCTCTATTACTTTTCTTTATAAAGTTAATTACATCAATAGATATTGTTAATTCTTCAACTACGTTTTGACAAATTAAGAATTTTTCAAATAAATCATACGCACAAATATCTTTTTCATCTTTAGATTGTAGATTGTAATACCAAGTTCATAGAATTAGATTAAGTTGAAAAAGTTCTACTTTTTACTCGTATTTTAAAAAATTTAAACCCTTGTAATATTCTCCTTTGGATATTACTAAAATCAATACCTCTTGTATTTCTAAGACCACAGAAAGGAATATGCTAACACGATTACACATATGGTATTAACTTTTGGGCAACTATAAAATAGATGTGAATCATTGTTTTTCATGCCGTCTTCCAGGCACCACTAAAGTACTAAAAAAAGGAAATTAAAATATAATAATTCTTTTGTGTTTATTGAAATATGGAATGATGACTGAATGTGCCTATAAAAAGTATGACACATTCAAGATGCCCAATCCCCGTTTATGACTTTTGTGGTACATTATATAAACGCTGAAGACACTGTTTTCCAGTCTGTCACTCGCTCATTTTTCTCTTACTTAATAATCGCTTTTATCGAATTAAACCTTTAAGATTATTTCCTACGTATTTTAGCATATTATTTATACTGTGAGTCTATAATATTAACTTTTAACACTAAACTTAAAATATACATTTGTGAAAATAATTAACATTTACTACAATAATAAATACGCTTCTGTTAACCAAGTGCGATTCTCGTTTATTAACACACCTCTATAGTTTTGGGTATATCCTTAGCAATCATAAATCTACACTCAGGATTCATTCATCATCGGTGAATATCAGGTAAGAGTAGTTTTAATACACTAACTACATTTATTAATTAATAACCGTTAGATCTTAATATTATCCTTTATGTATACTCCCCCTTTACTACTACGACTTTCTCTATCTTTCTTTTGGTTATTACACCCTCCTCCTGTATAAAGGGAAATGGTCCGATTTACAAAAAAAGTATGTCGAATGAAATATATATATACATATTTATAATTTATTTAGAAACAAAAATGTGTATTGATCCATACATTTTTCAAAGAGTTATAGTAGTTCAAAGTAGCTTAACCAGTTTTTTCCATACAAACAATTAAAATCATTCATTTCTAATATTTTTGAAGTATTTATTGTCGAATTAGATTTGATATGATGAAACTATTCAACTACAAAAGTAAATAATTTTACTTTGTAATTTATTAATTTTTGAACTCTATTTGTGTGTGCTACTACCAGTCTATAATATTCCAAATTTTTTTGTAACATGTTGCTATATAAATCATAAATTAAAAAAAAAAAAATGATATTTAGTTTCATTTGAATTTAATGATGGATTTTTACAATTATAATCAAATTTTATAATACGCTCAATTGAGTAAATCTTATTAACAACTTTTTTTTTATTGGTTCTTTTAGTTAAAGTAAATCATTAAAATTAATTAAGTTCTGAATATTTCCATTGAAGAATCTTTTTAAATACCAAAAGTTACTAGGAAATGATTACTATTACTTCTATTTAAGTTATCATGATAAAAATACAAAAAAATATTGAGCTACTCTGATAAATTTACTATAAATAGTAATTATAAAACTTCCTGACTGCATATTAATCTTAACAATACAATTTTTTTAATTCTCATAAAATTTTCTATTTAATGATGCCAATTTCAAACTTGCCAATGGAGCTTATAATAAAAAATTATGGTAAAATAAATAATTTTTTTTTATTATAAACATTACAAAAATCAACTTTAAAGGATTAAAAAATAGGTTAAATGTGTTATTTTCCTTATGTTTAACATATTAATAATCAAAATCAGTTCTAATTTTAAACAATTTTTTTTTTCTTAATGATTTTTTAATAATAAGTAATAATATTAAAACTTAGATGTGATAGGAAAAGTCTAATTGCACATTTGAAAACATCGCGTTTCTTGTAGTCCAGTGTAAAAAATTATAACTTTGTTAACTGTTATAACTTTATCAAAAATGACCAAATCAGTATAATTTTTTTTTATATAGATGCATGTCTTTATTTATCATTTGGTATGAAAATTTGGACAGATTATTTTTAACATATTAAAAATCAAAATCAGTAATAATCTGAAAACAATTTTTTTTTTTTTTAATTATTATTTTATTTATTAATAATTAGTAATTAGTAATAATATAAAAAATTAGAAGTAATAGAAAAAGTCTAATTGCAGATTTGAAAACAACGCAAAAAGTTAATCTATACTAAAGTATCATCTATACTCATTCCAATTATGCCTCGTCTACACTGTTTTTTAATTACTAATATGACCGATTATTTAGTAACAGTAAAAATTAAATAAAAACACTTAATCAGTTTAAATTTCTGAAATAAACACTACAATTCTCTTTAATTATAGTAGATGTCTATAATAAAAATTAAATTTTTATTATATTTTATTTTATAAAACATAGAAAATTCATTTTTTTTTTGTAAATTTTAGCAGCAGTAATGAAATTCATATTTTAATATGAAACACGTAAATTAAACAATAATTTATTAAAATATAAAATATTTCATTTTAACATTTTAAAATTCAACTTCACTGTTATTAGTTCTAGAAGTTTTAAGCTTTACTAGTCTTTGAATAGTTTCTTCGATACTAAATTCGCCATGAACAATATTATCTCTAGTACGAACATTAACAGTACTGCCAGACCGTTCTTTTTCACCAACCACTAAAACCCAAAGATAATTAAAATTAAGTTTAATTGTTAAATCAATACAGTTATTCACTTTACTATTTGTACCAACCTAGAATAAAATTATATTGAGCCAATTGTGCATTGCGAATTTTCTTATTTAAGGTATCCCCATGATCAACGTCAACATCACACATAAAACCAGACTCATAAATTTCTTTTTTAACCTAAAAATTATTTTACTCATACAATATTACTAAAAATAAAAATATATTAATACTCATTTTTATATTCATACTTTTTCAGCATACTCATCAAATTGAGGTCCAACTGGTATTACAATTGCTTGTCTAGGTGATAACCAAAATGGCCATTTACCAGCGAAGGATTCAGTTAAGATAGCTATCATTCTTTCAACAGAACCAAATATAGCACGATGTATAATAACAGGACGAATCTTTTCACCAGTTTCACTGTGTAAAAAATTATAGAAAATAATTGAGTGCGCATTATTAATAATTTCAACTTAAGTTTATTTATAAATTCTTAAGTTTTGTAAAATTAATTTTTATAATAAAAATTATTTTATTGAAATAATTTAATTTTAATGTTTGGAAATTGTGTGGCAAAATGAAAATTTCACTTAAAAAAATATCCAATTGTAATTATAAATTCAAACTGTGTTAAATATGTTTGATTATATGTAGTCATAATAATTAATTTGATTATTTTGCAATTTATTAAATAAATTTTTAAATTAAAAAAAACTGTAAGTTGAAAAAAACATAATTTATTATTAAGTTAATTAAAAAATATAGAATTTAGTCAATTAATCTACATAAGATTATTTATTAAATGGTGTTAATCTAACTCTCTAACTCTATTATATAGTTAGTTATTTAAATCTTAAGGTTTCCTTTTCCCTCACATTTCCCCTATTTTTAGATAAAATATTAAACTAAAAAAAATATGATTAAATATTTATCACATTACATACACTTATTTTACTAATAAATCATATTTTATTATTTTTTAAAAGTTTTATTTTTAATGTAGTGGAAAGTTACTAGAATGAATTCAAATATTAATAAATAAATATAAAAGTTATTTGTTTTAAAATTAAAAATAAATAAATTATATAAATTACAGCAATGATAGGCAAATTAATCAAAATAATTAACTCAAGTTAAATTATTATTAAAAAAATATTTGATAAATTAACAGCTAAAAGGTACCAAATTATAATAAATATATCTAACTAAGTTAAAAGATAAGTTGAAATTTTTTTTAACCTAACTTGTTAAAAAAAAGTTTGTATTATTTAAAACTAATTTTTCAGCTAAAATCTCTTAAAATTATTTTTTATTGGTTGGCGATGAAAAGGAAAGCAAAGAATGGATTTTCAATTGAATTGGAAGAAAATATTAATGAAAACAAAAAATTGATTTATTCATTTTTGTAAATTTTGGTGTTGGTTGCACTTTTTTTTATCTTTAAAACTAGTTATTAAAAAAATCAGAAAATTAATTTTATTGTTATATGAATAAAATATTTGGGATATGGAAAAATGTTAATTTTTTTGTAATTAAACCACATACACAGTTTATCAAGTCATTAGACAAGTTTATTAGAAAAATAACAAACTAATTAAGTTCAAAAGTTTTTAAAAAATTAACTATTTAACTAGTTAATGCTCACCATTGAAGGTACAGTATATCATTTTTTATTAATTAAATAAAAGAAAATTAAGATCTCATAGTTTATGAAATTTAAAAATTTTAATTGATTAATTTACAATATTAAATTCTGGTTTACATTGTTAAAAAAGGGATTAAAGTTATAAGCAGTCTTTTCATTTTAAATATTTTTTATTAGTTATTATTATAATATTTTATTCAGTTACTTTTAAAATAAATAAATATATTAACCAGTAAAAATAATTACCTAACATATGATAGATTAAATCGAATAGGAAGTTGAAAATCTAGTTGAATAGTAGCACATTGATGTTGTCGTTTAAGAGCATCTGAAATCGTAATATCAATCTTTGGACCATAAAAAGCACCATCACCTGGATTTAATTTCCAAGGTTCACCAAATAAGTTTAAACTTTCTTCAAGTTGCTATAATAATATTTCAATAGACTTTTTAAGAAAAAGTATAAATAAGTGTAATAAAAGTTTACCTTTTCAGCATTATTCCACATTTCCAATTCACCCAAATATTTTTCTGGTCTAGTAGATAGTCTTAAATTAAATGTAAATCCAAAAATTGTATAAACATGACGCAAAAAATCTAAAGCGTTCACAATTTCTACACCAATCTAATAAAAAGAACTTTCAAAAAATTATATTTTATTTTAAAAAACTATTAAAGAATATAAAAAAATTACTTGAGCAGTAGTACAAAATATGTGAGCATCATCTTGTTGGAAACGTCTCACTCGAGTTAATCCAGTTAAAGCTCCTGATAATTCATTACGATGTAATACACCAAAATCAGCCATTCTGAGCGGTAATTCTCTCCATGATCTGTTTCGATGATCAAACATCAAACTGTAAAATTATTATAAGTAAAATAAAAAATTATTTATTATTATGATTAGTTTGAAAATATGGGTAGTAACATACCAATGGCCAGGACAATTCATGGGTTTTAAAGCATAAGTTTCTTTTTCAACATCAAATGAAAACATATTTTCCTAAATTAAAAAGTGAAAGTTTTAAAATCAACTGATTAATAACACAAACTTAGTCTGTCTAACCTATTGAGAAAAAATTCTAAATATTTATCACTTGGCTTCATAAAAAATGAAGGATTTACATTTACTAATGTAATTTTTATTTAAGACTTAAATTTTTATTTATTTTTTGGATTACTTCTCACATAAAATAAAATTGTATACATCATATTATAATTTATAATTATAACAGTTACATGTTATTATATTTACCCTAATTAATAATTATTCAAATTCCTTTAGTGAGAGTATATTATGTTAATATATTTATAAATTAATTCATAAGTACTATAAATACATTTTTCTAATAATAAGTAATATTTTTCAACTTATATTTGTTCAATAATATAAATAAATTACACACAAGAATAAATATCAAGTTATAATATTCAATTTAATATACCCTACTTTTAAAATTAATTTTTAAAGATTTATTAATTTTGATTTTTTCTACCAGTTCTCATTAATACTCACTGCATAATGGGCCCAATGACCAGATGTTTGCCATAATTTAGTGTTATATATATTTGGTGAAACTACTTCTTGGAATCCACGTTTACGGTATTCACTTTTAATAAATTCAATTAATGTATTATAAATATATGCACCTTTTGGTTGAAAAAAACAGGAACCAGGACTTAATTCATGGAAGAAAAATAACTCTTGCTCCTATGTAATGTATAAGAAATAATAATAATCTAGTTTTAAAATAATAACTAGAATTGTAAATTAATACTAACTCTTCCAATTTTACGGTGATCTCTTTTAGCAGCTTCTTCTTGAAATTTTTCCCATTCTTTCATTAGTTTGTTATCTGGAAATGAAATTCCATAAATACGTTGTAAAGATTCTGCTTTAGAATCACCTTCCCAATATGTAGCAGAATTCTAAACACAATAACAAAAATATTAAGTTTAATAAATTAGCACTATCTTATTTGCTCTAACAATTTCATTATTTAGATTTTAAACAGTAATCTAGCAATTAAATCATGCTGATATAACAAGTCATAAGTATTTCTTTAATATATTAATATTAAGAAGTACTACATCATATTTGGCATTGATTACAAAATAGAATTTTAACATTTTAAATTGGTAAAAAAAGATGAAGTGGAAGAAAGAACAAGCAAGGGAAATAGGCGAAGGTTATAAAATAATATACTCAAGTAAGTTTAAAACAAAGAATAGTGTAGAGATAATAATGGATAAGGAGATGAAAAGTAAAGTAGTAAAAGTAGCTAGGAAAGTGACAGAATTATAGTCTTAAAATTAATTTTTGAGGAAAAATGGTTAAATATAATAAGTGCCTGTGCAACACAAGTAAGATGTGATAAAATAGACAAAGAAGTGTTTTGGAGAGAGATGAATGAGATGATGCAAGGAATACCTGGTAATAAAGATGTAGTGATAGATGGAGATATGAATGGACATGAGAATAAGTTAATACTTATTTTAGAAATAGAGAAGAACATTACATAACTTATAAGAGTGGGAGTAATAAATCACAGATTGATTGAAGAGAGAGTATAAACGAGTAAAAGATTGTAAAGTTATCCCAGGCAAGAGTATAACATACATTGATGGTAATGAAGTTGTGGTGTAGTGAGAAGAGAATATACAAAAACAGAAAGAACATAGGAGGAAAAACGAGGATCCGGTGATGGAAATTGAAAGGAGAAACTGAAAAAGAGTTTTTAAAGACGATAAAGGGAAGGACAGTGTGGAATGTCGAAGGAGACATAAATGATATGTGGAATAGATTTGCTAAAAGAGATTGTTGATGAAAGTAGGAGTAGAATGCCAGGAAACAAAGGACTGGTAGATTTAATTCATGAAATGAATTAAATGAAAAAGAATAATGCAGTAGGGCCAGATGAAGTACCAGTAGAACTATAGAAAATATTAAGTAGTGTTGGCATAAGGTAGTTCAAGATCTTTTTATAAAATCATATTAAAAGGAAAAATGCCAAAAAAAGGAGTGCACCAAGGTTCTGCTATATTAATCCTTACATATTTTCTATAGTGATGGAGGAAATTACTAGAGAAATACAAGGAGAAGTGCTGTGGCGCATGTTGTTCGCCGATTATATAGTGGTTATAGAACAGTTTTATTAATTAATATAGAATATTGACATAGTTTTATATTATATAGTTTTTAAAAACTTATGTACTTAAAGTCCAATGTAGCTCTAAAAGAATATGTTTTATTTATATTTTAAAATAAATGAGGTTTATACATTATTTTATTTTAATTTGAACGATTAATCTAATAATTTTCACTAAAATGAACTTTGTCATTATTTTGCATTTTGAGAAAAAAAAAACGGTTAAACAGTTATTTAGTTATTAATTTGTTTAATAAAAATTACTTAATACTAACTTTTATATGAACTTTTACCATGTTGATGGGGTAAGAGTATGCTTTTATTTCTCATTTTATTTCAGTTCAATACTCATTAAAGTTCAATAAGAAAAATCTGTGTACGGTATTTATAGATTTAGAGAGAAGTGTTTGGTGTGGTAAGTGATAAAAGAATTATAATGAAGCTAAAAGGTAAATTCTATAAGACTGTAGCGAGACCAGCTATGATGTATAGTTCAGAGTGTTGGGTAGTTGACAAGAAAGTTAAGCAGAGAATGAGTGTAGCAGAGATAAGATAGATGAATGAGTGGAGTGACTAGAGAAGATAGGATAAGGAATGAACATATAAAATGGAGTATAGATGTGACATTAATCGTGATGATGAAAGAAAAGACTTAGATAGTATGGTCATGTTATGAGGAGGAAGGAATCGGAAGATGTAAGAACAGTTATAGTAATGAATATTGAGAAAGAAGAGGTAGAGGAAGACCAAAAATGAGATAGAGAGATGTAATTGAATGCATTATGAGGACGGCTGATGTGAGCGTAGATGATGTGGGTGATTGTATCAAGTGGAAGTTTAAGATAAAGGTGGCTGATCCCAAGTAGTTGACATTAAGGCAAAGAAAAAGAAGAATCAAAGAAGAAAATTATAATTTAATGTATAGTAGCATTTTATACTATACAAGGCGATCAGTTTATCATAAACCACTTAATTACTCGCAAAATTAATAAAATATTGGAAAATAAATTATTTAAAGTTAAATTAAATTATTAATAATAAGTAAATTATTATTTATTAGTTGCATATATTATTTTAATTATCAACTAATAATTACATTTAAGAAACATCTTTTAAAACTTTAAGGAGTGTCAACTAAATTTATAAAGGGCAGTATACATATCTAATTAGTTAATAAAATAAAAAATGATCTAATTAAAAAAATGACAGGTCAATAACAACTTTTGAACCAGTGTTTCAGAAGTTATTAATAATTTAAAATAAAGACTGGAAGTGAGGAGATGGTGCTCATATTTTGATTACGTCATTTCCCTGCTATACTCTTTGTTCTTCATATTCTTTTTTATAAAAATATAATTTTCAGATTAATTATTTACCAACATTCATTAGTTTATTTACCTAATTAAATATTTAAAAAGTCAACTTTTTCTACATATCTTTCATTACTTCTTAAAAATCTTATAAAAATTAGGAAGTATTACTTGACAATGGTCACTTTTATTTAATTTTGGAGCTGAATTTTGGAACTCCAAGGTGAGAAATGATGCCAACAAGCATTTTGGTTTCTAATATAATCAAGCATGATGAGTTAACACATTTTTGGGAACAACTATTAGAAGTTTTCTTATAATTTTTTATAATTTGTTATCAACAAGAAACTTGAGAGGTAGCTCACTCATATTGTGCCTAAAGAGTAAAATTTTTTTTTTCATTTTAATTATGTTCTACTCATTTTTTAAAATTAAAAATTCATACATTGTAATGTATTATATTAATTCATAAAATTTCTAGTTTTGGTACTTAGTAAAGTATTTATTTTTTGAATCGAGGAGGTGGTCCCAAGCCAGAGTAAATTAAGAACAAATAAAGTTAAGTATTCAGGATCCAATGAAGTTATGATAAGCAAAGTGAGTATTAATTAATACTTGAAAGTGATTAAAATCACTGTCTTAAAGTATTTGTTGCACATTTGAAACAATATCACATCCACCAAAAATTACATAATTATCAACTTCACAATTAATTAATTATAGGACAAAAAATGTTGTAACATCTTCCTTCTTTTTATTATATAGTATATTAAATAAGATTTAATTTGATTTAGCTTTGAATGATGTAGATGTTCTGATGTTATGCAAAACACTTCAAAATCGATCATAATTGTGGAAAATCGTGTAATTTTTTGCTTGAATAATCAATAACCAATTATTAGATCATTTTTTTTTTATCATCTTTAAATATATTTTATTAGCTTGAATGTAATTAAAAGTCAAGTTTTTAAAAACATTATCAAAAATTGAAAACAAAACAATATTGATATGACTTTATCACCACAGCAGTACCTTGATTAATGTCAGCAAAATAAAATACTTAAGTATTATCAATAAAAAATTTGTAAAGATCCATCCATTTTTCTAAAAATTTTGATAGTTACAATTGTATTTTTTGGGGAAATTTCTCTTAACTATGAGGATTAAAGGGAATTTTTAAAAATGTTGGCTTTGAAAAATTCAACTAGATCAAATTTGTAATCTTTTGACATTTATTAAGCAAACTCAGTAATAGTGGAGTATTTTTATGGACAGGCAAAAAAAAAAACATTGCAAAATATCAATTACTTCTAAACTATGCATCAAAATTTTAAAAATAATATAATATAAAACTATAAAAAGAATTACTGTATGTTTAGAAAATGAATTCAACATACAATAAATAATAATTAATACATTTAAATTATCTTAATATAAATAATTTACCTTAATCACTTTTAATGCTTTGACTTTTCCTGTGTTTCGTACATGAGGTCCTCTACATAAATCAATCAATGGTCCACAACGATATACAGTAGTTGTTGGAGTTTTTACCTTTTCCTTCAAAATTCTTACTTTAAACTCATTGTACTGAAACACAAAAGATAAAATGTTTTTTTTTAGGGGGAGGGGAAAGATCATGCTTACTTTAAACATTTCTAATAGATCTTCTTTCTTAACTTCTAATCTTTCAAAAGGCTGTTTTTCTTTCAATATGATTTTAACTAAGCTTTCCACAACAGGAAAATCAAAATTTGAAACCTATTTTAATTTTATAAATTAAGATTAAATTAAAAAATAATTGGTTGGTATTTTTAAACAGAATGTTTCATGGTTGATTTTATTTTATAATCTATATAGACAATAAACCCAATTTGTTAAATAATTGGGATACTTAATAACTTTTTAAAAATATATTAGAATAATTATTTCACTAATATTACCTATTTTCATAAAAAAAAAAAAAAAAATTCATAAGATGTTTTATTACAATTTTATAATTTATATTAGTCATGCAATAAAAAAAAAAATTAATGTAATTTTACTTGTTTATCTTCCATAAACATATCATAGTAAAAGCCTTCTTCAATGGGTGGTCCATAACATAAGCAGCCACCATAAATTCTTTCCATCGCTTCACCCAAAACATGAGCGGATGAATGCCAAAATACTTGTTGAGCTTCTTCATCCGAAAATTTAAGTAAACACAGTAAGCTATCTTTTTCCAAAGGTCTATCCAAGTCCCAAAGTTCTCCATTAACTTTAGCAATTACAGTATTATCTGCCAGTCCTTGACTAATTTATGATTTTAATTTTTACTAATTAAGTATATGATTAAAGAGTATAATTAACAAACCTTATGCCTTTTGCTAAATCATAAGGTGTTGTTTGCCATGATTTAGCATCAATTGTTCTTCCATCTGGGAATGTTACAGTTATAGGTTCTGGAGTTTTGCTAGCCAAATCATTATTATATTGCTCTTTAAGTTTTTCCCATAGTTTCAAACGATCCTAACAAAAAATATTCATATAGTTTCATCTTAATTATTAAGAACAAAAAGTTAATTTTTGTAATAACTCAAATAAGTTAACCAGTTGTATAAACATTAATTAATATATTTCATAAAAATTTGATGTTATATCAAGAAAATAATATTCCAAATAAAATTTTAATAAAACTAACCTCAATATAAGTTGGCCAAGGTTTCATTTCTGAAACTTGAGATGTTTTACCTTCTTTTAATGACATTTTTTTTTTATTTGGCTTCTAAAAAGAAATTTAATACATAAATTATAAGCAAAATTATATTTATTTAAATAAGTAATATTTTTATTAAGTTATATACAACTCAATTTGTAAAAAAATTATTTGTTCTTTTACTTTATACAAATAGAAGTGTTAATTTTAATTAATAAATTTTTGGATATTCAAAATACGTTTTCCTATAGAAAATGTTTATTACTTGATATAATGGTAATCTTATTCCTCGTATTGATTGTATTCTAAACAAAATATTCTGATGATTACAGAACAATAATTTAGAACGCATTAATCTAAAACAAAAATATTATCATAAATATTTTAGGGTATAATCTTTTGACACTAGTAGTATCATAAATTTAATAAAAATAATGTTTTTATATAATTTAAAAATAAAAACAGGTTTATATTCAAGCTGTACAAAAATAAATAACTCTTTTATACAATTGTCTAACAAGAAATAAAAGTGTAAGAGATAATTATTTAACAAAATAGGAAATTAACAAAATTTATCAAATACTAATATAGAAAACTAAAGCACCAAAATTAGTAATTAAACAGAATAATGGAGAACATTTTTTAGTTCCTAAATATTTCAATTAATTTAATATAATACTTAATTTCTTACAATCAACAATTTAAACAAATAAAGTAACAACATTTGTTTTAAATATCAACAACAGTATAACAATTAATAAAATAAAAAAGCTAAAAAATTTAGAAGAAACTTAAATTATAATTTTTAATTATGCCTTCATAATAAATCAGACTCGGGTTTCAAATAAAAAACAATAAATAATTTTACTCAGAACTTTAAAATATGAATTTTTAAGATTAAGTACATCATAATATTTATGTAGAAACGTCTTGTACATGAAAATTAGAAATAAATTAGTAATACTCAACTTTAAAACAGATGAATTAAAATCTTTTAGGCTAGAAAAAAAGATGTTAAATATTATCAAATAACGTGTAAGCGGCGTGTTATCACTATAATAATCGATGATCAGTACTTTGAACATAATGAGCTATAAGTAAAAAATTATTTATACGTGGAGCACTTGTTAGAAATATTTGTTTCTATAGATTCTATTCGTATAGTTACATAAAAGTAACGACTTATATTTCATAGGTATTTAGAGGAATGCCTAGGGCCTAAACCGTCTCAAAATTATGGCTTTTACATATTAATTGATGGTTATTTTTTTACCATTATTAAAAAATAACGATCACTAACATCTATAAATAGAAAAAAATATGAAAAGTAAAATAAAACTCCTTTGGACGGATTAAAGATTAATTAAATGTGGATTTTAAAATAGTCCTATTGGTGATAAATTTCCTAAGCCAAATATATTAAAAAGATAGTTTTTCTCAATTTTAATATTTAATTGAAAGTTTCATGACATTCATTTTTTTTCATTTTTACTTTTTTCATATACGATTGAGTCTACCCTTTTTTTGAACATTTTTATCATATAGACGATTGCGTCTGTTGTAATCACAAGGTTGCAGTGATTGCCACAATCTGATAATGTTCCAACATTCATATACTCCGACAACACAACAATTACTAACTTTATGAAGTCTCAACTTAATTTTTTAAATGGCAGTATACATATCTAATTAGTTAATAAAATAAAAAATGATCTAATTATGAAAATGACTGGTCAATAACAACTTTTGAACCAGTGTTTCAGAAGTTATTAATAATTTAAAATAAAGACTGGAAGTGAGGAGTTGGTACTGATATTTTGATCATGTCATTTCCCTACCATACTCTTTGTTCTTCATATTCTTTGTTATGCGAAATGAGGACAGCTGATGTGAGCGTAGATGGTGTGGGAGATCGTATCAAGTGGAAGTTTAGGATAAGGGTGGCCGACCCCACCAAGTAGTTGGAATTAAGACGAGAAAAAGACTCATTAAAGTTCAAATCTCACCATTAATTGTTTTATACTACAAATTTATGTGCTAGAAAAAAAGTGCACGCTTTTACCCCCAGGTTATTCTATTGTTTTTCGTTTTTAGTTCGATGAAAGTGTGTCATCTTTTTTTTTTTCACTTAACGATATAATTTAAAGAACAATTCTATAAAAAAATCGGAGTCCTAAATTCCATAAGCCACTCGACGCCAATATCTTAAATACGGAACTGTATAATAGAGACTCTATTTAACTATTTGACAATTTTTTAATGTACTTGTTCTAGAATGTTTGACAAATCAAAACCTAAACCAAATAAAATCGTTTTGAATGTAGGAAATGTTCCTGCGGTTGTACTATTATTTGAAATCGGTTGGAAAATAAAAAAACAAGTTTTTCTTTTATTTTTTATTTTTAATAGTTATAAACTTGATTTTTATAAAAAATTAATTTTTTTTCAAAAAAAATCAATAATAAAGTATAAGTATTGTTTGCAGTTGACAGTGTTGTAATCTTACGCGGGAAGGCTATCAGAATTTTGGGACCTCTAATTTTTTCAGGGTTAAATGGGTATAAATGTTACTGATGAACAAAAAAATAAATCTTCGATGTATGGAATTAACATGCTTAAAATTAAATATTTTCGTCGTGCGACAAAGTCTTTTTTAGTTTTTCTTTGTGTATATTAAAAAAAATGTTCAAGTTTTTATCTTATCAATTGTTTTAAACATATAGAAATGATAATTATTATATAAATAATTTATATAATTTTATAAAAACAACGCTCCTTATATTCATGATTGATTTAAATAAAAGTAAAAAATTTATTGGTTAATTTACAATATTTTTTATTTGTGAAATGTTATAACACTAAGTGTTTATGAAAATTGATATAGCAAAAAAACTATAGGAGGGACAAGATCACTTTTTTGCCCCCTCTCATATTGTTTTTGAGGGTTATGTCGCCCCCGTACAGTTATGTCTTATATACAGCTTCATTTGTAGCTGTTTCCTAATTTGGACATATAAAATAAATTGTTCTCTATTGGTATTGGAACCCCTGGCTACTGTTATCTAACGTTAATGTTTTGTAATCATGCATCCAAATAGATAATAAGTTGACAGTTTGTTTTGCTTTACTTTTAATGAAAATATTTTATGATAACTTCGTATATTTAAACTATTAACGTATAACATGTAAAAAAAAATTTATTAACTAATTAATTATTATTAACTATTTATTTTTACTTAGAAAGGACTTGAAACATATTTCATTCCGACAAACATAATGAAGTAGCAGGTCTGAGAAATGGTAAGTGATTACACAAAAATATTTGTAAATACTATACTTAGAAGTACTGTTACCTTGTCTATATTAAATTTAAATGTAGTTATTAAATTTAATTTACTAATCAACGAACTATTTTTATTTTAACGTTATGAGTTGTGTTTTTAATTATATAGCTTATATGAATGATTTGATTTTAATTAATTGAAGCCTATTTTTAATTTGAAAAATTTTACTGAAATTTATAATTCTTTATCATGATTCAAGAATTGTTATCATGTGATATAAAAAATAAATTAAGATAGATAAATATCACAAACAAGGTGGATAAATTTACCTTGAGTACTAAAAGTATACTCAATTTATTTGTGTTATTGTTGATAACAACTATTTTTATGATTCCAAGTTTAAAAAATTGTTTTTGCCATATATTCTTAGGAGAGCCAACCAAAAGTTAAAGTTTCAACTGCTGATCTCATTGCTGCAAGAAGAAAAGAATTCTTACAAACAAACATGAACAATCGTAATATATATGATCAAGTTTATGATAACTATAAAAATGTAAGTTAAATTCAAGATAATGAAGTATGGGTATATAAATTTTTTCTTTTTTATGTCTTTAAATTAATATGTTTAATACTATACATTTATTAGTTTTGAAGTGGTAAAATTGTATTATTTGTATAAAAAAAAATTAGTACACTTAACATAAATAATAACTGTAAATGTTTATTAGTCTAGACATTATATTGATAAAATTTGTCAAAATACTGGTATTATTTATGATGACAATTTTGCTGTTCATTCATGTGTGTGGGATCAATCTTATCCTGAGAATCCCCAACGCTATGAATCAATCATTAAAAGGTACTTTTTATGAGGAATATTATTATTATAACATCTTATAAGTTTATTCAATTAATATTATAGATGTAAAGAATTAGGACTTATAGAGAGATGTGTACATATTCCATGTAGGAAAGCAACTAATGAAGAGTTAAGAATGAAACATTCTCAAGAAATAATTGATTTGTTAAAATCTACTACAGATTCTATAGACTTTGAAAATTTAGAAATTTTATCATCTAAATTTGATGCTATCTATATTCATCCAGTAAGTTAAAAATAAAGAAAGAAGTTTGTAGTTCTTTTAACCAATAACCATTGTAATAATTAATACATTGATAAATTACATCAATTAATATGAATAATTAATATAAATATAGTCAACTCTCGATAATTAAGTAGTTAATGTTCAGTCTCTTGAAAGTCTTTTGGTAATTTGAAGAAAAATAATGTATTTTACTACATTTATAATTATTAATAGAATTATAGAGTTAGCCAACCAACAATATTTAATAATTTGTAGTTTAGTCTATACAACATTTCACAATTTAAAATTATTTTAAAATATACAATGAATGTTAATAACTAGATTGTTATTGGGTGATAATGAGAAATTTCATCTTGTGTTAAATTATTACCAGTTGGTTTGTTTATAAGTTTTATCTTAGTTTGGTTTTATTTAATGCTAAATACACATAATCAATCATCAGTGTGTTTATTAAATATAAATTTTTGACAATATTAGAAAAAAATTGATTGAAATGGTTGACAGAGTTACAAAAAAACTATCGTAGCTAAGTCTGAATACATTATCTATAACTTTGAAAGATAAAATATTGGCTACACCATCAAGTGACAAGAGATTGGGTGGGGTTTATTTCTCAATAATTCAAACTTTCAGTAATTCAAACTTTTTTTCTAGTCCCTACAATTATGAATTATCGAGAGTCAACTGTATATGCAAGGTACACAAAAAAGACAAGGTAAGTCAATTTTATTAAAAATTAAGATTTTTAGCAAAATTTTGATATGTAAAAATATATTCTTTAAGCCACCGAACTAGTGGATAAATTAGGTTATTCGAAAATAATAGTCCTTGAAAGTTATGGTGTAATGTAAAATATTGTTAATTTTCTCAGCTTATAAAAAATTGACTTGCCTTGTTTTCTGTATACATTTCATATAAATAATTTAATTAACTATTTTTTAGGCTACCTATAATCAATCATTATTAGCTACTGGTAGCTCAATTGAGTTATTAAAATCTATTTGTGAAAATAAAATACAAAATGGTATGGCTTTCATAAGGTACTAAATATTTTATAAATTAAAAAATATGTAAAAATTTTTATGATTATTTTGATTTTTGATTAAATTGATTTTTTAAATTAAAGACCACCAGGACATCATGCCATGAAATCTGAATTTTGTGGTTACTGTTTTTTCAATAATGTAGCTATAGCTGCTGAGTATGTTCTTCGTCATTATTCAGTTTCTAAAATTCTTATTGTAGATTGGGATGTTCACCATGGACAAGCTACTCAACAAATGTTTTATGATGATCCTAGGTATTTTATGTTTTAATCCAATAAGTTATTTAAAAATACTCTATTTTAAAAATAAATGTTGTTTGATATTTTTACAAAAGAAATTATATACATATTCAAGGCAAGTTACAAAGATATGATAAATCTAATAACTTTTGATTATTATTTTGTTGAAATTTTTTTAAAAATATTTTTTACATATGTTATAGTATATTTTTTATTAGTTATTACTATTAAGAAGAGTATTTAAAAAAAAATTTTAAATAGTTATTTTTAACAAATTTATTACAAAATATTTTTATGGGTTGATAATAATTTTAGGACGAGTACTTATAAAATTAAAAACATTTTAATACATAAAGTAGATGTTAGTAATGTGAGTACAGTAATATACACCTGTATAAGCTGGGTATGATGTATATTTAAAATGTATACTCCACCCGCATTACACCCTTGTTACAAAATGCTTGTAACTAGATAAGTCCTAAGATTATCATCAATCCATCTAACAATTGTATAAGATAAAGGCTAAAAATAGCTGTTTAAAATAAATAAATAAAAACCAATTTTTCATTCATTTTTTCTTATTAGTAATAATTAATAAAAAACTGTGCTTTGAAAATAGTCTGAGAAAAAAAATTTAAATAAAATGATAGTTGAGTCAAAAATTATTGGACTTGTAATATCTTTATCACTCACCCTTTCTGTGTTATATATATTTAATAGTAATAAACATAATAAAATTATACTTATCAAGTTTATTGAATATTAAATACTAATATTTTGCTTATGCATTAATTAACATATATATTGTGTAATTTTTTACTAGAGTTTTGTATTTTTCTATTCATCGTTATGAAAATGGTCAATTTTGGCCTAATTTACGTGAAAGTGATTGCGATTTTACTGGTCAAGGTGACGGTCAAGGTTTTAACATTAATGTACCACTAAATAATACTAAAATGAAAGATTCAGATTATCTTGCTATTTTACATCATATATTATTGCCAGTTGTATCAGAGGTATATTTAAAATCAAAATTAAGTTTTGACAAGTTCATTAAAAAAAAACATTTTTATATAGTTTCAGCCAGATCTTATTCTTGTATCATCTGGATATGATGCTGCTCTTGGGTGTCCAGAAGTATTATAAATTAACTAAAATAAATTATCTAATTAAATTATAATCTAATTAAATATTAATTATTTAGGGTGAAATGGAAGTAACTCCAGCTTGTTATGCTCACATGATAAATGCTCTCATGGCCCATGCATGTGGTAGAGTTGCTGTTTTTTTAGAGGTATAAAAATTACAATTGATTAAATAATAAATTGATATAATTTAGTTATTTAATTACAGGGAGGTTATTGCTTAAAATCGCTCGCAGAAGGTGCAGCTCTAACATTAAGAGGTTTACTTGGAGATCCATGTCCATTACTGGACATGACAACCAAACCTTGTGATAGGTAAAAACTCAAATATATTACTGTTTCTTTTTATCATTGTGACAGACAATTTTATACATATGTGTAATACACACATGTATAAAAAATAGTTATTAAAGGTTATATACCTTTAATCACTATATATGTATATATATTTTTTTTTTTGAGAAAATGGAATTGTAATTATATTTCAAAACTTAACTACAAAATATAAGGATAAAAAGAGTATTAAGGTTTTTACTATATTATTATAATATATACCAGAGATTAAAAATATTATTTTATCAAAAATTTTGTTTCATGCAATAAATAAAGTAAACATTTTTATTGTAGTAGAACATTTATTAATCTGATTGCTGACACGACTTGCGTCGCAATAATGTGGTTGACACTGGTTTTGAGGGTAGAGATCTGTGGGCCGTTTATTAATAAGAAACAACAGATTATTTAAAATAAACAAACAAACTAAAAAGACGAACATAGTTAATAATAGTCTTTGCACAATATCGCAGCACTTTCGCTGACATAAAAAAATTAGCAGCGCTGAAGGCAATGGTACGGATCAGTTCATCGAGTCCGGTCGTGCGGCATGTCTGTAGCCGGTAGCATACATCCTGGATGTTGTCACTTTGACAACAAGAAAAAGACTCAATGTATCATTTGCGGTGGGTTATTGGCCATGCGGCACTTGCTGGACTTTGCACCGTGGTGTATGGCACGCGGTGTTGGTCAGTCAAATACTCATAGTAGGACCACGGCTGATAAAGGTGGCACAAGTCACGGGGCATTGTGTTTAATCAAGGGATGCAGGGCCGTGTCATAGCTAAGACAATTTTAGAATAAGATGTTTTTTTTAATATCACTTCGAGACTAATATTTATTTATATTAATATTTATGGGATAAGTTTATTTATGTTATTAATAGTACATCAGTAAATTTTTCAATACTTGCATTATAACATGATTTTTCTTAAAATCTATTTTTATTTTAAATAGTGTTGAATAATAGTTATTTGAAATTTTAGTATTGTTCAAACTATACAAAATGTGATAAGTGTTCATCAAAGATTTTGGAAATGTTTTCAAAATGAGTTATTGGTAAATTCTTCCTATAAACCAATATTAGTTTATTTATACAATGAACAACCTTTAAGTGTTTTTCCGACTAGAAATTGTTATCCACTTCAAGATTTATCTAAAATTGACGACTTTTCAGTGCTTCAACATTTAATATCTGGTAAGATGTATAATTTAGTAGTAATTGTTCTTTATTGAAAATAATTATCATTAGTTTTAGTTATTATTATTAGTTATTATAATTAATGGCTGTTAACAAATTCTTTTTTAAAAATAATTGTTAAATAATAGTTACAATTTTACAATAACTTTTGTAGTAAATGATAAAACAAAACAGAACTTTAAATATGTAGGATACAAAATATTTATTGTAAATGAAAATTGTTGATCAACCTAAATAATATAAAATGTCAAACATAATTAATATTAAAAATTAGATCATGGTAATTGGCTATATTTTAGTCATAAAATAATTAGTAAATAAACAGTAATGGATGTAATTTGACTGCTCTTAAGTATGAAGATAGATGTAGTAATTTTTATTTTTTAATATTAAATTTGAATTAAATTTGAACATTGCAGGTCTGAATTTTGTAGTATAAGTTTCTTAGAAGTTGTAATTTATATCAGGGACATTGTAAGCATTAGGGTAGTTTGATATAGCATTTGAATTCTGATATAAAAATTAGAAATCAGTGTAATAGATTTTTAAATATTTTAAACAGAAACGAAATTGGTAATATGAAGTAATATTATATTCAGTTCTAAGGGTAGCTAGTCTTCCTAATATGATTTATCAATAGTTTTTGGAAATTTCAAAGAGAAAAAAAGGTTATAAGAGAGTTGTAGATTTATACAATTTATGTATAAGGATAATGAATGATTCTATTTATAAACTAATAAAATACTTATGCTATATCTCTTCATTTGTTAAATCTCTTCTAACTCTTATTAAATGGTAATTATGGTAAATGAATAGGGAATAAATTATCCTGAGAAATCATAGATATTAAGGCCTTCATTAGCTACTAGTTAATATCTCTATATTTTTTCTATATACAATGTATTAAAATAAAAGTTGAGGCCTAGTTCAACCTTGTTTATTAGTATTATTTACTTGATAGGTTCAATATAAATGATCAATCATATTTCTTGTTTTCATTTAGTTTAAATTTATTATCATTAAAAGTTCAATTTAAACTGATGAAAATAAAAATTTTTTCTTTGATCATGAACATGTTTAATTTTAATTAAGATATTATATTACAAAGTGTTTGGTTTTCTAATTAATCCAAATTAAAGTTGTGTTGTTAGTTTCAGTTTAATAATCGAACAACAGGCTGAATTTTTTTTAGTAGTTATTAATTAATTAGTGAAATTTAAGTTGATTTTTATAATTTTTAACAATTATAAGTACTTAAAATAAGAAAAGATAACTAAATATGTAATAAAACTTTCAGTATAGGCTTGACTGAACATTTTAATAGATAAATTCAATTATGTTTGAATGAAAACACAGTATGTTTAGTTTGGGTTCAATTTGGTCTTAAAAATTAAGAATTGCAACAACATTATATTTTTTATATATTATTTTATTTATCTTAGTCGTCCTCTCTGAAAAGTAAAGCTTGTGTTAGAGAGGACGAAATATCCTATGTAGCTCAGTGCAAAGGAACCAAACCTCGGTAACTTATGCATCAAGGAACAACATGTTCCCAACTGAGCTAAATAGGTGGCATCTTATATGTATTATTTTTTCCTTAATGGATTTTATATTGATTTTAGAAACACAGCTTTTAAATATAAAAAACAAGTGTGCTATTTCATTTGATTTGATAATGGACCATAAACATGAAAGTAATGAAAGGCAAGTGAATTAATTATTTATTCAGTTATACCAATTTAATTTTATTGTATTTCCTAAAGCATGCAATGATAACTCGTACATTTTTTTCAAATATTAATGCTGTATTCTAATAGTTATATCTAAGCTTAAAACTTTACAACACAGATTTATATTGATTAGTTAACATTTTCTCATATCTTTCTCTTCTATTATTTTGAATGGTATCAAAATACAGTTGTTATTTTAATTTAAAAATATTTCAATATTTAAATTAAAGGTACATATCAAGAGCAAAAAAGTGGTCTGCATATTTTTGCATTTTTTGATGAGAACAGTTTTAATTTTTTTGTATTATTGCTTTTTTAATGTAATTTAGTGACTCAAATATTCATTTTTTAGATTTTAAATTCAGACTTAAATAAATTTTACTCTAATTTATAAGAATTATCCAGTTAATTCCAGTTATGATTCTGGAGTCATACAGTGAGTGTTTAGTGTTATTTATGTGTTTTTATCTGTTAGATAAAGTTAATAAGCTTAAAAAAATGAAAATATAATTAATGTAGCTAATCAATCTAAGTTAATCATTAACATAATCAATGAGTGCAATTTAAAATCCTTTAGTTTAATATTCTACAGTAATTCTGAGACTTGTGCTGAAGTCAACTCAGCTGATAGAATAACAGATGATACTATTCAAGTGTGTGGTGTTATAAATTCCATTAATGTGTTAACAATAGTATTAATAATCCAACCATGTGTTTACTGTGGGAAAACATGAACCTAGTAATACTCATCCAATTAAGGCTATATTTAATTAAACAGCTGATGAGTTTCATATTTTAAAATCTAAGAAAAATGTATTACTTCTATAACCACATTCATCCATTTGTGTCAATTCTGACCAAACTTTGTATCAATAAAATTATATGAAAAAACTTTGGGACGAATTAAAATGTCATAAATTAAATGGAGAACTTGATTTAATTATTAAATATATTGGAGAAAGAGACTGGTAATCATTTTCAAAAATAGTTAAGCCAATACTAATAACATTAACCAAAAGATTAAAATGTTTTACAGTAAATTCCTTTTATCGAAATGTTTGTGGTCTTTTAACAAAAAAATTCCTTTTTATAAAATACTTTGTTAAGTATAAATTTTAATATAATCAGTTTAAGTGAATAATTATTAAATAGTAATATTTTGATGTGGAACTAGGTTTTCAAATTATATTTTATTGATTTTGAATTTAACTTAGATGTTAGTTTATCTAATGAAGCATTGGTTGATAAATTTTATGAAATTATTTACCATTGTTTTCTTTATTTGTATCTTAAACAAAAATTTCTTCAAAAATAATTATTCCCCTGTTTGAGAAAATTCTAATCTTAAGAAACTTATTATTGATAAAAATTTGCCCACAAAAAATTTAAAATTTATGATCATTTTCATAATAATTATATTAAAATATTCAAATTTTTAATTTTTACTTATCTCAACTTTCATATGTTCCTTCAATAAATAATATTAATATTAATTTTAATTATTGGGATATAGATCACAATGAAATTTATGATTCCAAGTAATTAATTTAAATAATTATAGATATCTATATGGGTACAGACCCTGACGATATATCGTCAGTATTTTTTAAATTTTGTAGCTTAGGATTAGTTAGACTGTTATATCTTATTTTTAATAAGATCTTTGAGTCTGAGTTATTTTTCTGATATTTGGAAAAAATTCATTACAACAATACTTAAGTCAAACGATAAAAAACATATAGTTAATAATTACAGACCTATTTGCAAAATATTCCTTATCAAAAGATTTTCAAAGCAATTATTAAAAAAAAAAAAAAAAAAATAATCAAAGTATTGTCTCCTCATATTGTAGTAAATAGCTGAGGAAGTATTGAATAACGTCGATTTTAGTATAATACAAAATTTACAGCAGTAGTAAGCAATTTTTGAAATCTCAAGCAATATAATAATGTCATATAAAAGGGAAATCCAGGGTAAGCAAATTAATAATAGTGGGAAAAAAAATATAAAAGGGAAACATAAAAAGTATAGGGGGACTGGACGTTTTGACAAAGAAACGTCGAGTTACGGTTCAGGACGTTTGATGCGAGTAACTTTGTATTTTCTACGATTTAATTTATTTTGTGTTACATTTTTATATTAAATTCTGATTTCGTGTTTATTTTGTTTCTTAAATAAAATAACTATTTAAAAACCTGCACTTGGCTTAAATATTTTATATCCACAGTGCTATTAAAATTGTGTGTGTGTGTGCAGCAAGAGTCGAGGTTGGACTACTGGCCCTTTAGTTGATCTTAATTATTAGTGTGCGTGTTGACTAGTTTTTGGGCTTAACCGTGCTTTAGTAGTAATAGTGAAAAGGTAGTTATGCTGGTGGCTGACGAGGAGCCACCCTTTGTCTGCTACTTTTGAACTAGACTGTGTTGACGAGTCTAAACTCTACCCCTTTAGTAGTTCACTAATTTGAGGGATTGGGGCTGAGCAGTGATCCAATGGGAGGACTCGAGAAGAGCTAAAAACAAAGAACTCATCATCAAAAACATTTGTTTATTTGTGTACTACATTTTGTATCTACATCAGGGCATTACTGACGTACGACAAATATATAAGAACTAGAATAGATTTAGACCCCATATGTAGTACTAATTTACACTTTAATTCTTCAATCGAACTCAGAGAAATTTGTTACTTAGTCAGCAAAATCACTTACCAATAAATATAAACAAATGTAATGTTATTATTTTTTCTTTGTCTAAGAATATTATTACCTATAATTACAAAATTGATAATTTTGTGTGTTACGTGAATGAGAGATTTAAGGTTTTTCTTTTACTATAATTTGTCTTTTTCATTTAATATTAATATTATTATTAGTGTTAGTCCGATGACTAACAAGGCGTTAGGTCATTTTAACTCCCTCGATTTCAGTTTAAATTCATATTCGGCTGGACAGCAATATCTATATTATTTTGTAATTTTTTTCTCATAAGTGTAGTACTCCACCACCATATTACATTCTTGTTTGCCCTTCACAAATATTTGATTTGCGTGTGTTGGGCTCTAACTTTAAACCATCCGCAAAGCCAAACTGATTTTTTAAAACCAATATTAAATGGTTTTATTGATTTTGTAGATTTATTACATATGATTGTGTTAAAAATACCAAATCACTGTTTAAACAGAAGCAAAATATTTCTGTGAAGCAAGAAATATAAGTATAGATTATTCATGGAGATTAGAACATATAATCTTCCACGTCATTATATCATTATTGTTAATCAAATTTGATTACATGTTAAACATTTTGTAGTAAGGTTGAAATCCCTTCTTTCACCAAAACTCCTTGAGGGGGGGGAGGTATTTTACTATTTCTGTTAACTTAGATTCATTTTTAGAAATTTTAGCTAATTTTAAAGGAAGCCTTCTTCTACTTTCCTTCTTGTATTTCTGGCTAGTTTGAACATATAAAAGATTTAAGCATAAACAAAATCTTTCTAATTATAAAATTATTATTTTTCTTCCAAAATTGAAATCATAAAAATAGTATGTCATAAAAACATAGTGACATCAGGTAATTTTTCAACTCTCCTAATTAATGATGAAAATGTAGATTTGTAGTATGGTGTTACAGTTTATCTAATAAATTTTATTTTTTATAGTGGACACCCAGAATGCCCAGGTAGAATAAGTGCAATATTGAATATGTTCAATGAATTTCAGTTAACATCTCGGTTTTTAATTTTACCTGTATGTATTTTTACCATGATAAAGTAATAATTTTAAATTAATCACTGAATTATTTTGAGTTAATTAAATTTGTTTTTTAGTCTAGAGAAGCAGTTAAAAGTGAATTAAACTTAGCTCATGCTAAAGAATATGTTGATGAAATGTCTCTTTTACATCAGTTGTCATCAATAGAATTAAGTGAAAAGGAAAAAAATTATGATTCAGTATACTTGACCCCTGACACATACAAAGTATCAACCCTAGCTACTGGTTGTTTATTACAAGTAAAATATTGAGCTAATAAAAAAACATCAATAATTTAAATAATACTTTAATATTTTGTGCCATTTTAAAGGTTATTGATTCCGTTATGTGCAATGAAAGTATATCTGGTGTTGCAGTAATAAGACCACCTGGCCATCATGCTGAAAAAGAGCTTGCTTGTGGATTTTGTATTTTTAATTCTGTTGCAGTTGGTGCAACCTATGCTTTACAGAAATATAGTCTTAAAAGGTAAGTTTGTTAAAATTTATGTATCAATAAAATATTTTATCAAAACCATGCTATTGTAAATTTTAATTCAAAGGATTTTAATTTTGGATTGGGATATTCATTTTGGTAATGGAACAATGAGAGCATTTAGTTCGGATCCAAGGGTTTTGTATATATCTATTCATCGATATCAAAATGCAAAGTTTTTTCCGTGTTCAGAAGAAGGATCTCATAAAGTAACAGGTTATGGAGAAGGTGAAGGATTTACAATAAATATACCATGGAATAAAGTATGAATACAAAACAATTTTCTTTTGTAAAATTGAAAATTTGTATTTTAAAACATTATTTAACAGGCTGGGATGGGAGATGCTGAATACATATCTGTAATGCAAAACATAATTCTTCCTGTTGCTTATGAATTTTGTCCTGAACTTGTAATAGTATCAGCTGGTTTTGATGCTGCTATTGGAGATCCACTAGGAGGTAAATGTGAAAGTAAAATTAAATTTGATTTAACATTGAACTGATGTAGATATTTGGTAATGAAAAAACTACCGAATAAGCCATTTTTATTGAAAATTGTATGATTAGTTTGAATAATTCATTGAAATCAATTTTTGTTTTATCATTTTAAAATAATTAGTCAAGTTTGTTAAAATATTTTCAAATATTGAAAAGAAAAAAATTTGGTATAATTTTTAAGTTACCCCTCAATATTTTTGATAATGATAAATTTTTTAATAAAATTATGTCTGAAATATTATCAATAAAAAATTAGCATTTATCTATCCACATTTCAAAAAGTTATTTTTATATAAAATGAAAATTAAAAATATATCAATATTGACAACTGTAATTTGTTGAGAAATTTATCTTTATAATCGAGACTAAGGAAAATTTTACTATTTAAAGTTTTGGGGCTGATAGTTTCAACTAAATATGTTTTGTGATATTTTGATATATTATGGAGCAAAATTAATCATATAGAAAAGGAGTATTTTTAAGAACAAGATAAAATTAACATGGCAGAATAAAACCAATAGCTTCTATGCTATGTATAGCTAAAACTATATTTTTTTTAGCATTATGAAAAATAAATTGTATTTTAAACTTATTATTTTGTTAAATAAAGAAAGCAAAAGTTTAATGTATGACAATTAAACTATATAATAGATAATATTGACTTTATTGTTCTGTTTGATGGCATTTGAGCTGTCCAGATGCAAATGTCCTAAAGAAATTTGTTTGCAATTTTAATTTTTCTTGGACGAAGTAGCTTATAATTAGACATAAAAATTTGAAGTTAAAAAAAAAATTTTTTTTGACATGTGTCTTTTTGAACTAGGCACTGATTTGGTACTCAATTACTGAATTATAAAAACATTTTTTTAAGAATTTAAATTATTTAAAAAAGATTTATACATTTTTAGTTAATTTTTAAAATTATTAAAATAAAAAAAAAAAAAATGCTATTTGGTTTAACTTTAGAGTTCTAGTAATTAATTTTTAGCAAAAAAAAATAATAAATGTAAAGGTTTAATTTAATAAGTCAAATTTATTTTATAGTTATTAATCCTATAAAGAAACTTTGCAAATTAATACAATTTGGTAAATTTAGATACTTTTAATTTAACTAATACTACTAATAATTCATTACCAATTAAAAACTTAAAATATTAAAATTTAATTTAAGTATATTGTAATAATTATGAACTCGCTTACTTGAATAAGCTATGCTTATTGGGAGAGTATCAAAGATTGTTTATGTATGTATTCATTTTTATTGTTCATTCTTTATTTTATTAAATAAAATTATGATTACTATTTAATAGTCTAAAAATTATTGATGTATGTTCACAAGTTAGATGGTCATTTTATAGTAAATTTTAAATTTTATAAAGTTTAATTTGTAGTAAATTTTGATTTGTATACAAATGTAACATCCTTTATAAATTACACTTATAATTAATTTCATTTTAAAAATTATTCTTCTGAAATGACAAAAATTTCTTGCTATTAACTTAAGGCAATTAATAAAATAATAATCAACATTTTTTTATTGTAGGCTGTAAAGTAACTCCAGAATGTTTTGGTCATCTAACCCATTGTTTAAAGTCATTAGCTAGTGGTAAAGTGATAATGGCTTTAGAAGGAGGGTACAATATAGATGCAGTTTCTTATTGTATGACTATGTGTACAAAAGCTTTGCTTGGTGATCCATTACCATCATTGCAATTAGAATTTCCAATTTCTAAAAATGCTCAACTTACAATGAAAAGAGTAGTAAATGTTCAAAAACACTATTGGGCTTGCCTTAATTGTTTTAATTATGATAGATTAAGTAGATCCTCAAAGAGTAACAGCTAATAAATAATAAATTATTTTCCTATATGATTTTATACATCAATTTTTATAAATTTTATTTAACATCATTGTAGTTAAAATTTGCTTGACTAATACTTGTATTTATGTATTATAATAATATTGTTATTAACTTATTGTATATCCTCATTTTTAAATGTTGTAATTTTGTTATTATTTATGTTAGTATTTTTTAACTATAAATTATTAGTTGTAATACTTTTCTCTATAAAACAAAGTTTTGTTATTGTTACTTTTTTTTGTTATGTTATATTATAAATATTAATTTTGTGATATCTGTCCGATGATATAATTTCTAATTATATTAAATTAAAGAACAAAATTAACCAATTGGTAACATTAAACGTATTAAATAAAATATTAAATTACAAAAAGTTTTTAAATTTGTATATATTAAATAAACTTGACATTAAAAGTTCACATGTTCATTGATCATTTTTTATTCTATCAAATGTAATATTAAAAGAATCAAGAAAAGTTGTTACCACCTATGTAATTTTCAAAAAGGCGACTCATTTTATTTTATTGCTAGTATCCCAGTCTCTTGAAACAAATTTTGACTTTATTATCGGTGCGACACTTGAAAAAATTAAAGGTATCCTTTTATACATTTTTACTTTCGATACAAAGCTAAAAAAATATTGATTTTAATATTATGTATATATATTTTTTGCTTATCCAAATGCTGAGTGTTCACTGATCCGAGTTTGTTGATTTAAGCATCAAGCAAACCTAAATTTAATTAAGTTGATTCTACAATATCTAAAATTTATTTTTAAAAAACCATAATTAGATATTAAAAAAAATATCTCTAAGTTAGTTAATTGTAAAAAATGATAAATTCAGATTTTTATTTCTGCATTTTAAAACTTATTTCAACGTTTCGGATTATTCCCAAGTAACACGATATAAAGTAGACACATTATAAACAGTAGCATATTTATAGGTGCACTACGTAGCAGATCTAACGCAGCTTTATTTTACGGTATGAAATTTTTATTTTTTAATATTCTTTACCTAAAATGTTTGAGGGGTATAAAAATTTATTTTGCCTACAAATCGTAGTCTACAGTCGTTAATAAGTTTAATACGTCACTACTTATAGATAACATGTGTTTACTGAAGTGTAAGAAGCATAGAGATGTATTATTTAACATTACTCAAGAACAGAGACGGATTTTAATGTTTTCATTCATAATATTGAAAAAACTAGCTAACTATGGAGGTAAGGGGCACAAACAAAGAATTCAAAACCGCATCACAACATTTTATAAATTTTTATCATAATTTTTTGAAGGTTAGTATAAAAATTGCTGAAAAAGCACGTGTTTAAAAATATATTGATAACATGTTACACAAAATTGATAAGATAATAAGTAAACAAAGTTTAAAAATTTAATATAAGAAATTTCAAATTCACTATGAATTTTGAAGCTATTGTTGGTTATAGCAATGGAACTCTTAAAGGTAATCTTATCAGTAAAATATATGAAAATTTTATGAATATATAATCAAATTTTAATCAATAATGATTTTCCAAAAACTGAATAGAATTAGTTCCATTAATATATAAAAAAAATAAAGTATCCATTGAATATTATAATATTAATTGATGACCATATAATTATTATTAGTTAAATAATTAAAGTTTTATTTATATAATAAGTTTATTTTACAGTTTTATGTATTCACAAAATCTGTACTCCAAAATAGTTAAATTGGAAATAAAAAAATAAATTCTCAATATTTTTATTATTTTATAATTAATAATAATATGTAGGACATATTGTAATAAGTAGAAACTCAGAAGTGAAGTTCTGAAGTAATTTGCAACCAAGTTATCAGATATATTATTACAGCAGTTTAATGAGTAAAAAATACTATGATCTGTTGTAAAGTATTACAATTTTTTTTTATAAGTTTTTAAATAATCTTTTAGTACCATTTATAAAAAAAATTGTGTAATAATTTTAAAATTGTTCAATAGTATAATATTTGGAGTATAAAAAAATTTATATATTTAGATAAAAAAATTACAAGTGCTGGTTTATTATTTGATGTAAATAATAATTAGGATTTTAATGTTACTTTTATTAAATGTAATATGCAGACAGAATTTGAATGGTAAATAAAAATTACATTTCAATATAATATTTAAAACTTATTATGTTTTAAATGATGCTTCATATTCTATGATATTCATGTACAGCAACTTTTAAATTGTTATAAATTTTTAATGTTATAAATACTCTGTACTGGCCAAAGTAATTTGACCCAAAAAAAACCATTGGCCTTTTTAGGATTTCACTCATTTTAAAAAACCTTTTGTAAGTAGGAAAATTTATTTAAGTTATAAGTAAAGTAAAACCACCTAAATATAAAATAGAAAAATGACCAACAATACAAGTGGTTATATTTATTTTATTGGGTTATAAATAAAAATATAAACTCAAAAAAGCTAATTTTATTGATTATTTATTTTAAATAGATTTATTTCTTATAAATTATTACTGAAAAAAATTTACACCTAGATTAGGAATTCTTATCTCTTAGTCTTTCATAAATCAAATAACATTTATATTAATCTATAAATAACATTATTAAGTGTTTTGAATTTCTCATATATAACAGTGGTAACAATGAAAATTTAGATAAATATTAGGGTAACAAGGGTGAAAAATTAAACTAATAGACTAGGAATACTTTTGTTTTTAAATCACTAAATTATCAATACACATCAATAATAGATTAATATTTTTTGAAATATTAAATTAACATTAACTTTACTAATAGCTTAGACTAGGAACTTTTAAGTTTTAAAAGTAATAAATAAGGTTATTTTAAATTAAGTTATTGAAAAAAAAGTGAAACCTTTAATACTCAACAATAGAATTATCGTTTTAATACTTAAAAAACTGCAAACTTTTATAAGATTTTGTAACCTTTTCATGTCCTAATTTATATAGACACAAAATAATTAGACAATTTGATAAAAGAGATATAATTTGTATAAAATACAATGTAACCAAGATGTAAAAAAAATATATAAGGAAATTTTGTATGGATTTAAATGAATAAAAAAAAATAACCAATGGGTTAGGGTTGGTTTGATAAACCCTCTGTTTTTCCAATTCTGTAAATATTATTATAATTTGATGTAATATATTTTATTTTTTCAATTAATTCTGCTGAGTTTAGTTTTAGTTTTAGTTATTATCGAGGTGGATATTATACCCATGTACTTAGACCTGTTGGTCCATTGTGCGCACTTCATACCGATTTGTCTTGATTCGGTTTACCGGCCTAAGTGTTATCACCAAAGTATTAATACATTATACTAATCATTGTATAAGGGTGGACCCTAAAGTCACCCCTATAGATGACCAAAGAGTCCTGTCTTTACGGTGAAATTAAGTATCTCTCTGGGTTTTAGGTTTCTAATATCTTCCTTTTCAGGAAAAGGTTTACTCAAGTAGTTTGATCTTAATGTGGACAAGGTTTCACATTCGCACATAATGTGAAATGAATCTTCCTTTCTACTCCACACTTCCTGCACAATGATGAATTCTGCTGAGTTAATAATTTATGTAAATATTTTTATAGGAGTTGAATTAACAAAGAAAAGGAAAAAAGATAACTTACTTTGTTTTAAGTATACTAAGTTGATTGATGCAATAAATAATGGAATTTCATGTTTAAACTCTTCTGATGTTAATAATGAAATTCTTATTGGTTCAAAAAATGTTGTTAGAGTTTATAATTTAGAAGATAATAAAAACAGTAAAGAATTTTTTATTGAAAATTCTAATTCAATTGTTGGTGTTTTCAAAAATAAAAAGTAATTAAAGTTAATACATTCTTTTTAACTTATAATCTTATTCTCTAGTATTAACTAATTGTTTTTTTATTTAGTGCTTTAATTACTGGAGTTGAAGATGGTAGAGTAATAGTTCAATCTTTCAATGATGAAGAAAATCTTTTAATTAAAAGTATAAATGTGGGTTCGAATATTTCATGTTTAAAACAAGGTCATTTGTTAGAAAAATTTGCCACTGGTGGAAATGAAAATCCATTAAAATTATGGGATTTAGAAACTGGAAAGGTTGAATTTATAGCAAAAAGTGTATGTATTCAAAATATCTGCTAAAGTTTGTAGATAAAAATTATTTTTTTATTCATATTCTGACATATTTTTTGTAGCCTAAGCCAGATATGCTGCAATTGAAACAACCATGTTACGTATCTGATGTTGGATTTTATAATAATAATAAAATTGCAGTAGCACATAGACATGGAATTGTATGTATATATTTTTTTATTTTACATTTTTGTGAAAAAATAGTTCTTAATTCTGTAATAAAATTTTAACGTTTTTTTTTTTTAATAGAATTTTGGTTTTTTTAGTCCTGTAACTAAAGATTTTTATAACTACATAATTTAAAATTTTAATATTTATTATTATATTTTGTTCAATATTTTAGGGAGAGTATTTACTAAATAATAAAGTATGAATTATATATTTTTAATGACATAGGTAGATTTACATGATCCATTGTCAAATCAAAGAAGACCAGTTGCTACATGTAAAGTAGTGAATAATGGTTTTGTGTCATTAAAAACAATTCCAGATTATAGTGATTAGTAAGAATTTCATTTTTTCTTTTTATAGCCTTGAAGGATTTTCTTTTAAAATACCACTGCTTTTAAAATTTCATTTCATTAAATGTAAAATTTTTAACATAAATTAATAATGAATAATTTGATATACTCTAATAATATTTTAAAATATTTTATACTTTTTTTTTACTTGTTAATAAAAATGGCTACTACAGTCAGTCTTTACTTTGTAATTGTAGCAAAATATTCAAGACTAAACCCATTTAGCTTAATAGTATTAATAGTATTATTAACAGCTTAATAACTTAATAGTAAACATAATACTTAAAATATAATTTTTAAATTCAAAATTTCCTACTTTTTATGTTATAGTGAAGTCATTGTAGGTTCTTCAAAAGGTTCAATCTACCATTATGATTTCCGAGGTAAGTCATCATTACCTGTTAAAACATTTAGAGGTTGTACAGGTTCAGTCAGAGCAGTAGATTGTATTACAAGTTTGAATAAATTATATGTTTTAAGTATAAGCTTAGATTGTCATATAAGGATGCATAACTTTTCCATTGGAGACATTACTGTTCAAGTAAAATACAAATTAATTAATTTGTTTATTTATGAATTTTATTATTAATTGTTAATATATTTTACTTTGAATTACAGGATTATATCGTAGGAAAACCTTCAGCATTGTTAGTGATCTCCGATACAGATTCATAAATTTTAATGTAATTTTATAAATGTTAATAATAAAATTAATTATCTGTGATTTTGTTTATTACTTATTTTATTTATCTAGAATATATTTTCAGTAATACATAATTTCAATTATTTGTATATAAAAATATATATAAAGAGGTTCTGAATTTCGTGTTGAGAAGATATTTTTTAGCTTTGATGCGAAGCTGAGAAGGTATTGGTTTTACTATGATGTGTTTTTTTTTTTTTTTTTTTTTGTCTGTTACCACCTTTTTTCAGCTCACACCGAACGGATTTCTTTCAACGATACGTCAAAANTTTTTTTTTGTGTCTGTTACCACTTTTTCTCAGCTCTCACCGAACGGATTTCTTTCAACGATACGTCAAAAGATCACAAATCGTATCTAGTCGAAGACATTACCCTCAAAAATTGAAAAAAATTCCCTCGTTCTCCGTAAATGGAGAANTTAACTTTATAATGCTATAACTTATTGAAAAGTTTATGGATCCACACAATTTTTTTATGAGAAATAATATTTTTTAATAAACCTTTTTTCATTCGACATACTTTATCTTAATCGAGATATTAATAAGGAACCAGCAGATCAAGTAGCTTTTGGAATAAAACACCAATTTTTTTAAAATTAAACACTATCTAAAGATTTGCATCGAAGCGTTTATTTTTGATAGTGATTTTAATCACTGTCGGATATCATTATACTTGATCCAACTATGCCACGTCACCACTGTGCCGCGACCCCCCTGTGCTGGGTTTTTTGAACTTATTTTATGTAAATAGCTTTTAGATTTATTTTTTTTCACCTATATAGTTTAAACTGGGGATTTAATGTATCATAATATGTCATACTATTCTTTGAAAAATGGAAAGTTAAAAAAAAATACATGTTAGATGTAAAAAATAAATGAAATAAAATTTCAATTTCAGCGATAAATATTGTTAAAATTATATAAGTTTCTTTTCAATTTAAGTTAGAAATAATGTGATTTAACAAGTTTTTATTACTAAGTATTCAAAAAAAGATAAATGCAAATCATATTCTTACAATGCTTACTGAAAACCAGGAACCAAAGATTATGTAATTTATTTAGTGCTTATAAGTGAAATACATAAGATTTTTCAAGAAACTATCACAATATACAGGAGGATGTAATGCTTTCCGTTTTTTAATCATCGTTTTATAATTTGTATAGATTCCTTAAACAAATAAAAAAATTTGTAAATAATGAATTTAAGATATTGTTCAAAGAGGGTGACTGACATCCCCTAACCCCCTTATAGACACTATGAAAAGCAGAATAAGTTCAGAGTCGTATCTATAAATATTTTTTCGTGGGAGGTTAAAATGTGTGTGTCATTTTTCGATTCTATTTTGGCCAAAATGTTTCTAAAAATATCATTTTCAGTAAAAATAAGACATGGATTTTTTATAAGGGGATCGTGCTTCTCTTAATAAATATGACTAAATTGGTTGGTCTTTAATTTATTTAATGATATATAATTAATTAAAATTTACAAAAAATTACCCTGTAATAGAGCACAATTGTATAACAGAAAACATTTATTTTATTTAATACAATTAAAATATACATATTATACATGATATATAACACAAAATGTGATTTACTACTAATTATTTTAGTGATTTTGTAATCTATTGCACGCTCCAGGCACGGTATTCTAAATAATTATAGTAGAATTAATTAAACTAGATCAAAACGTGTTACACCAACGAAGTATTCGTGTACACCCTTATTACTATTAAATAATTATTTATTTATATATTTGTTATTACATTTTTAAACTGAATAACCTAAATGTATGTAACAATTTATTTAATAAGTTTAATTATTGTTTCATTTACGAATGTTTATTAATACAATTTGTATGTTCATTAATAATTAAACAAAGTTTTTAAATTATTTTTTTTAAATAACGTATAGAATTTACAAAATTATATGTCAAATGGATAATTTTTAAAATTGCCATAAGTAATCGTACAAAAAACTCAATTTTTAATATTAATTTACTAAGACATTATTTAAAGGTGCTCAGCCTAACAAAAGAATAGAAATTTAAATTAAAATGCAGTTTACAGAAAAAGCGAATTTGGCATAACATTTGATTTATTTTAAAATATACTAATGACGCATCTTTAATAATTAATAATAAAAAGCAATATAAACAAGATGTGAAATTAGTGTATAAAATTCATTATTTATGTACTGTACAGTATATAAGGTGGGCATTTTTGGGAAAACTAGATTAAATTCGATAATTATGAATGTGATGCAGCAGTCGTTTGAGGTATCGACTGAAGCATTTGATGGTGATGATGATGATATAGATTATTGAGATGGTTGTTGTTGTGGTTATTACCACTACTGTTGTTATTGTAATGATGATGGTGGTTATGTTGGAGATGATGACTTTGGTAATCTGTTGGCGATGGATAACCAGCTATATCGGCGTCAGATGGATATCCTGGGGCGGCTGCTTCAGATTTTAATGTTGTGGCTGATGGACCCATCTTGTTAGAAGCTGCCAGAGCCATGCTTTGATAGCAAGTCATTGCTGGTTTGATGCTGTGATGAACTTCAGTAATTTCATAATGTCTGCTATCCGAGCTGCCAACACTTAGTAGGTCACTATAGAATTAATAAAATAATGAATTTTTTTATTATAAGTTGTAAAGTGATTAAATAAACATTTAAAAATAAGTTATTTGCAGTTAGTGTTATTTTCAAAGTAATTAGAAATTTTATACTTATATCCTAACATCGGAATCTTTATTAAATGGATTATTATCGTGTTATCAGTCTTGTAGTTCTAATTAATAGAACCTCCAAACAATTAATTTTAGGCCATAAAAATTATATTTAATACTGTATAATAAGTATCATTTTATTTTGTATAATATAACTTTGTAACAAATTATTAGTTGAATAAATATTGCAAATTTCGTTCTATAAATAATAATAATATTTTCTATAATATTTAATTAAGATATATAGTTTAGCCGTATTATATACTAGATGTAATATTTTACTATGTAAAAAATGAAATTATTATTTTCATTTATATAGATATATTTATTTTAGCAAGTTTTTATTACGACTTTACTAAAATCTAGTAAAAAATATTAATTTCACTACTATGATTGAGTAATATTTGCATATAACAAGTTTAACAGATTTAATTTATACATTTAATTATATTGGTCTTAAAATCACAACCATGGTTTAAAAATAAACTTGATAATTTTTGATTTTGCAAAAGTTTATTGTGCATTGATAAAAATATATAATTTAGTGTTTTATAATATATATTAACAAGTGATTTATTAAAATTTTAAGATTTTTAAGTTTTAAATTCACTTCTATTTAAAATTATTTGAGGTATCTAAACTAATAGATTAACATAGTACTTTATTTATATACAGTGGCGTAAGTATACAAATTTAACCTCAATACGAAAAACATAAATTCTAATTCAGTTGAAATGTAAAAAAATTAGTGTTTTAATAAATTAGAAAAGCGCCCTAAAATTATGGGCCCTAATGCAGTCGCATTATCTGCTATCCCCTAATTATGTCTTTGTTGATATATTATGTATATAAAATAATAATACTATCACCGACTAAAATTGTGGTAAGAATTAGTATAAGTTTTATCTTATACCTAACTCTCTGTAACAATAGTTTTATTATACGCACTATTTGTTGGATTTATCAGTTAATATTAATATAACAGAAATAAACGTTCTCTTTAGTTGGTTGACATAGATTTTGAGGATATTCGATCAAAGGAGATATTTAGGTAATTCGATTATATGAATAATGGAAGTATAAAGTCATAATATTAAGTATACTTAATATATTTAATAATATATGTGTAAAAATGTTGAGGTTGTGATGAAAGCGAGTAGTATTTTTTTTATATTTTAAATTATTTTTTTTCCTAGATTTAAATAGGATTTTGAATTTTACTCTTCAAAAAGTAAGAAATTGGGTTATAAGCTTTTAACTATAGACCTTTTTGATAAACTATAATAATTTTGTGTTAAGTTTTTATGCTTGCAGACAGTTCAATTTTCAGTAGACTTTAATTCTCCAGCGGTTAGACATGTTATGTTATTGTAAAAAAAATATTTTGAAAACAATCCAGTGTGAATTACGCTATCGGTCAAAAACAAATAGGCATTTGCTAAAGTGAATGAAACCGAAAAAAACAAATAACGTTTGTATTTTTAATTTCAAGGTTAAATTATGAAAATAACTTTAATCCTCTTCATGATTATTTCAATCAATCCACTTTTAAAATATAAATATTTTAGAACTACGATTCACTACATAAGTGAATTTTTATTTAACGAGTTAAAAGAAATGAGGTTATACGTCAGACCAAAATGCTAGAAATTCTGTTCACAAAATGTTTTTAGTCTGTAAATTAATAACAAATTTTTATTTCTTATAGTACAGAGGTAATTAAAACTTTCGCGGATCTATCAAAATAACAGTTCTTTATATTTTAACCTTAACGTAAGACCACCACGTCTACGAGATAGTGGAAACATTGACACACATGTTTTAATAAATCATGAAAGGAACCCTGCGTTTTAGAATAATACTAGGAAATGAGAAACCAGATTTTTCAAAAAAAAAAAAAAAAATTGTCCACTTATTAATATTAATGCTAGACATTCCAACGTAATTCGACAGGATAATAGTATCTGTTATTTATTATGATGTAAACACTACTTGCGGTACACATGACCTGTATTCTTGCATTAATAGAAAACTAAACACTTTTAATCTGAACTACACTCAGTGCAAATTAAAACATATTTATTATATAGAACAATTTTTAATTTTTTCTATTACTACATTAGCAAAAAAGAATTTTAGTGATAAAAAAAACTTTGTTTCATTTCATTAAATACACTAATGAGGTTGTTAATTTTATTCTATCAATAATAATTATTTTATTAGTTTATAAATAAAAGGTTAGTATTTTTTAAATAAAAATTTACATTTAAATTATTCAGAAATGAATTTTAGGGATTTTCATGTGTGTGTCCTAATTATGTAAAAATTGCTAAATAATCTTGTATTAGTTTTAGCGCTGGATTTATAATTAAATCTCCCCAAGGAATTTTTTTCGGGGGCTTCTTTGCAATTGAGAATTACTAGATTTTTTCGGTTATTCCTAAACTATTCTATGCATGTTAAAAAAAATGGATACTCTCAAGATAAAAATTAAAGTATACTTAAAACACGAATTTTAATATAACAATAAAATAAATCCAAAACAAATCCAAAACAAATGTGTATTAGCTATTCACAATTCAATGAAGAATTAAATATTGCTTTGTTATCATTCTGCATAATATGATTACTACGATTATGGAAACATGAATCATTTATTAAATAGAACTCCACAAAATTGAGGAATCTGAGCAATTGATTTTAGTTATCTTGTAAATAATCTAGAACTGATTATTTATGTAATAAATAATTTGATTTGGCAGTTGTACATTCTCTTAGAGTAGCGGATCTAAGGGAATTGGTTGTAAATCATATAATTACATTTTATGTATAAAAATCTGGATTATTTGTATACTTTAGTGTTGTGTGATGAAGCGAAAAAATGATCCTACTTCGGTACTAAGAAATATTTGTACACATTAAAAATTGGAAGGGTCACCCGTCGTTGCCGGTCGATTTTAGAAGGAAAGAAACAATAAAATAACCAAAGAATGTGTTTACCATTAAACGCGCATGCATATAATAACATAATAATATAGAGCTGCCGGCGGCTTGTATGAACCTGCTAGTAAGTGAAAGAACGGTCAGCTCTGCAAAGAGGTCTCCGCGTTTACGCGACACACAGCACATGGTGCCGGTAGCGGTCTAAAGACTGAGATAGAAAAAAGGATAAACGGTTCATATACATATGAGTAGGATTTAGAGAAGGAAGGAAAACAATCAGTCCTATACCATTATACAGTGGAACACGTGTTCGCTAATCAGGCATTCTTGTATTTCGGCGTCCGTGACAAATTACCCCTCCCGGTATCAACTCCCTCGCCTTGACCCTTCATGATGAACAGCCCCTACGCTTTGCTTTTAAAACAGGTCCTTTTTAAAAGAGACCTCAATCCCACCGTTAACATACATAATGGATTGCCAATATTGCTATTACTAACAAACAGTAGAATTATAAATATTTCAGTCACACTTTTATTATTGTTATTTATAATGTATAAAAATGTAAATATATGGATTTAAATTACCAACCCTAATCATTTGCGTAGTTTGCATGGGAGCTTTAGCTCTACAGAAATATTCAAAGCTCCCTCAAATTAATTAAGTCTTTTTGAGTGAAAAAAATGCTGGTAAAGCAATGTGGTGTAAGTTTCTCATCAGGTTTTTTATTAAAATCTATAAAATATAATAAGACTATAGCCCCATTTACAATTTTTTGAAACTATGCTTTAACTCTAATTGTACACATGTACTACATTCAAGTTCAAAAATGTATTTAAAGAGTTGGAAGAAACAACTTTGCAGATGGTCAAAGTTGTGTCATGTCAACATTTTTTTTTATAAGCAGATCATGACAAAATCAAAATATTTTTTTATTACAAAATAAGTATTTAAACCTTCAAAAACGTCTCAGTTAATGTGCACTTTCTACCCGCCACTTTTTTAGTTTAATTTATGTTCAAAAATATATTTGAGTTAAAATATAATGAGTAATCATTTCTTTAAAATAATAAAATCTCTTTTTCATCAAACGTTGCTCATTTACTCCTAGATAGTCAACGGCTAAGACTTTTAGAAATTTAAAATGTGAATTATTTTAAGTTGAAATTTTCTAGCTTCATTTTATTCTGAATGTTTTTGCTTAAAAAAAGATTTCACAGAAGAGGATTTTTTGATTTTTGAAACGTATTGATGTCTAATGATATTAAGTCGGATTATTTTTATAAATAATAATCATCCATGATAAATCCAACAAAATGGGCTCTTACAATTCATTTGCTGTCAACACAAACAATACACACGTGTGACAAGAGTATTGGGTAATTATTATTACTGTAATATTATAATGCGAAGTGCGACTATATACATATACGTACGTTCATTGTAGTATATTATTTGCACAGGGTTTAATCAATGGCTTCGGCTCAGCGTGTAGTCAATGACACGCCTAAAAGGATTAGATTCGCTCGAATTGTTATAATTTGAAAAGTTTACCTTTACTATCCTTAAGCAGTAAAATAATTAGCAGACGTATTATCGGAACGGGCGATTATGATGTAGTAAGCAGGTGCTTAATTATTATCATATTATATTACAAGAAATTTTTAAAGTATTGTATAGAATAATTGAGCAGGCGTTCTTTGGATAAAGGACCTGTATAGATAATTTTGGATTTAGAAAAATTAAAGTTTTTAATTTACTTTATTTTAAATATTTTTTTGCCATTGTATTATATTGTATAATTGTTAATTATATAATTTTTCATCCAATTTATATGATATAACAGTTATTTTTTATTTTAAACTTTAAAATATACAGGAAGTTACGTGACCTTTTTTAAAGAATGTAAATAACACCTAAAAGTTATAATACGACAATTAATTCAGAAAAATATTTTTTAAGTGAAATAACAACAGAACAAAACTTTTTTATATTTTATTTTTAATGTAAAATAGTAAATTAGTTACTATTTTACTAACTTTTAATAAACAATGAAATAATAAAATAAATTGATTAACTTATGTTTTTCTTTTTAAAATGTTAAATTTGTTCCAGTTGCACTATTAGCATGTAGACAGTACTAGAGAAGGACTTGAGAACACATGAATGGATGTTTAAGCTGTTACGGGAAGTTTCAAATTAATGCCCAGGAATTTCGAAGGAAGGCAGAAAATTGTATATCAAATGTTAAAGAATGGGTAATTTTGGGGAGTATTTTATGGTTTTTCATTTACTACCACTCAAAAGATAATGTAAATACTTGATGTAATGAGTTTGATAGTACTTCATTTTTTTTCATTGACTGATATTGGGTAGCTTTTAATTTACGTATCTTTCCACTAGGACAGTAATCAGGAACTACCAAAGAGGGCTTACGCTAATAGAGGTAACGTTTAAACTATTATATTATAATTTTATTCCTTTTGAATTCATGGATTTATCTTCCAAAATTTTTTAAACCAATTAAAGTTAGAAGTTGACATAAAAATAATAAGATGAAAACATGTGTAATAATAATAATAACAATGATGAATTATGATTATGAATAATTATAATTATTATAATAATAATATATTATAATAATAATATATTATAATAATCATAATTATGAATTATGATCAAAATAAAACAAAATTTTTATCATTAATACATTTCAACATTCATTGTTATTTTAAATCAATTTTCGGAAAAGGGGCCTATTTTTCTATATGCCATTTGTCTGGAAGGGCGTTAATTAATGAATATTAGGAATAATTATAAAGTTTTATATTTAGGAAAATATAGCATTGTCTACAAATCACTAATTGCGATTTACTTATCTGTGATGTTGGAATTTAAACGTTTAGCAAAACTATATGTATTCTAATTAGTAATAAGTATACAAATGGTCGGTTTATCATTAACCACTCGATCATTGCAAAATAAATAAAATATTGGGAAAATGATTTTTGATTTCTTTTAGTGTTACATATAATTCTTGATTTATCAGCTAACAATTACTTTTTAGAATGATCCCTAACAACTTAAAGAGGTGTCAATTTTATTATTTTAAACGGTAACATACATATTTTACTAGCTTATAAAATAAGAAATAATTTAATTAAGAAAATGATTCGTTGATACTAATTTTTAGACCAGTAATTCAGAAGTTATTAATTTAATAATTTAAAGTTAGACTAGAGGTGAGGAGTAGGTGCTGCTATTTTTATCAATAGTAATTTCTCAGCTATACTCTCCGTCACGCTTAGGTATAAACATGAGACCTAAGTACTGGTCCAAAAGTTGTTATCGATCTGTCATTTTTTAATTACATAATTTTCTATTTCATTAGTTAATAAAATGTATGTTACCATTTAAAAAATAAAATTGACACACCTTTAAGTTATAGTGGATGAATATAAAAAGTAATTATTAGCATATAAATCAATAATTATACATAACTAAAACAAATTAAAAATTATTTTTCCAACATTGTATTTATTTGCGTGTAATCGAGCGGTTTGTGATAAAACCACCTCTCTGTTCAGTATTTTTACTAATAAGTCATTAATTAATATTTCTACTATTTATATCCTTAACTTCATGCATTTAAATTTTCTGCGTGAAACTTAAATTGCAATACGAAAAGATTAGCTGTAAATTTATTGATATGAATTTAGTTCGTCGTGTTTTTTTTTTGATAATTAAAATTATAAGTATGTGAAAGGTATAAACGAAAGTTACTACTGAACTAATCCCAACTTTAAGTATTAAATAAAAAAATTGTTTATACACCAAAATTACATTGGTGCGCACAACAATAAATATTTTCAATACAATATGAATTACACAAACACTCTTATACAAGTGTATAATGATAGTAACTGTGGTAAGCCTACGTCAGTAATAATATTACTATCAACGTTTATATTATTTATATGTACAGAAAATAACAATAATAATATGACAGAGGTGTTAAAATGCTACGTTCAATTATTACCTAAGCATTTTCTGGAATGAAGCGCGTTAAACACTGACTGTTATTTTTCGTTTTTTTCTTTTGGGTTTTAATTAATTCCTCCCAAAACAATAAATGCATACTTCCGGTTTGCGAAATTTCGTTGTAAAACCAAGAATTTGTCTGTATCTATTTTGTTTTGCTTCTTTTTTATTATTTCTTTTAGTTTATTTTTTGTTTTTCAGTCGTTTCCGGTTGCTTGAATTAATGCTAGCACGCGTACTCATTAATACTAATATATGCCTGTGTTTAAGTATATGTTTGCATGTTTATGTTTTTATTTCCAATGATAATTATGAGGCGCCAGAATGTCTAGCTTGTAGTTGCCGATGCGTAAAGTACTAGGTAAAATATTTTTTAATCATGAGTTTAATGATAACTTATTAACGTAGAAAATATAATTAATTTAAAACTATTACTGAACTATTGATATCAGCTTATTTAAAAAATGTATTTTTTGAAACACATTTTGATTTATTTTTAAATTAATTGTACAAAATTAAAAAAATAAAAATAACGATTCACCTATTTAATAAATGTATTTGTCACAATTATTTGTGTAGGAAATCTTAAATCGACGATTATGACGGTCAATAGACTAAGGCCATAGTTAGAGTTTTTAAAATAAACACTCATAAATTATTTTGTTTACATTATAATATGATGTACCAAAACTGGTGCGTTCGGATGAAAAAAACTCTCTGGTGAACAGAAATGTTTACCATTTTTTGTAAAACAATTTATTATAAATGCGGAATCGATTTTGTACTTCCTCGTGGTAATGTTTTTTTTTGTGTTTGTATATGAAATACTTTTGAATTTGTTGTTATTAACTATGAACTTTTTTGATGTATGTGCATTGTCCACTATTGGTTAAGGGCTCGCAGAAACAACCAAATGTTGCATGTGCATTTGAACACCAAGGTCATGTTTGTTCCCTGTCTATTCATTGGGTTTTTTATATTGTTTTCAAATAAAATCGTTCTACAATATAGTAGCACGCAATTTTCGTTAAACGATTTTTTGTGATTTTTTTTCAACTTGTTGACGATTTATATGTTTTGTTTAGTCGAATAGTACTTTGCCTAACGATAACCGAATAAAATAAATATTTTCCCTAGTACTTGCAATAGAATTACCGTATTCAAAAATGAGGTCATGTAATAATAATTATTGTCTTATTAGGTGAAAGAATAAATGCAGAATGACATAAAATGTGTACTGCAATCATTTAATGTTAAAAATTAGTCTAGAGAATTCTTTTTACTGTACGTAATAGCGGAATTAATCTACACCGATGACGCAATAAAATATAATTGTTAATTAATTCCCGGGAAATCAAATTCATTTCATTAATTTTGAATTCTTTTGCGGTTAAAATATTACACTTCGTAACACTGACCTGTGTTGTTGGGGCGTCCGATCGCGTTGCCGACGATTTTTGAACCAATTGCTGACTTGGGTTAGCGTCAGCCCAGTTCGCCTGGCGAGATCACGTTTTTCGTCGGGCGTAGGGTATCTGTTTTTAAGGTAACAGTCTTTTAAAGCATTCCTCGATTTCTCCTTGAAACAGTACACAGTCTCTTCGCCGTCCCATATGGTTTTGGGTAGCGGATATTTTTTCCGGAGTCGGTACTTGTCGACGGCGCCCAATGACCGTCCACGAATCTTTTCTGCTTCCAAATAATGCGCTTTGAACCATAACTGTTGGAGCTGTACGTGGTGTCTGGGATCGAAACTTTGACTTTCTAGTATGGCGTAAAGCTCGTGAAATGCGCTTCTGTAAATACATTTAAAATATTAATATTTTTATAGTTAATATTGAGCATAAGTTTATTCAATGTTATTGACGAAACATAATAAAAAAATTTCACTATGTGTTACATATACTATATACTTTCTTTTTATTAATTTTGCTAGGATAATATTCTTTTGTGTTTTAGATTTATTTTTAGGAACTCAATAATATTTGTATACCAACAATAATGTACTACAATTTCGAAAATGACAAAATGATTTTTGTTAAAAGAGTTCATCAGCACGATGAAAACGAATCTTTGTTTGTACTTTATTTCAAGTATATTAACTGAAATTGGCGGAGTAATGTCTAATTCGAAGGTTGAATACCTATTATGATTATTTACACAGTAAGTCAAGGCTCATAAGTATAACAGTTTGCTTTTCTAAAGGTTTTTAACCTCATTTTCATCATCATATCATCGCGTTAACCGTGGTCGTATTTCACTACAAAACAAAACATAATCTTTTGCACGCGTTGGGTTTCAATAATAATTATTACGATGTAAAGTATGACTATATTCATTAATAAATCAACAGTCCTTCATAATATTTTGTATTGCTATTTATTAAATCTATAATATCACGATTCTCACTATTTAAATGGTTTAAGATTATCATATTTACTACCAAAAAGATTTTATTAAAAACTTGTTGTAATAAAATTGACAACAATATTTGATTATTTTAATGGGAACTATATTCTTTATCACGTCGACACTATATTAACGGTCTAAACAACTGGTCCACCGTTAACGAAATGAATGTATGACATGACATCTTGGTTTATATCGTTTGAATATTTAAACTCACCCAAACGGGATGTGGGTTTATATACACAGACATTTATTTTTTATCCACTGGTTTATTTTGTTTCCCTTTCATGGCATTCCATTTAGACGCGTCAAGGAAGACGTGTTGAGAGGGGTTGTCTTTTTCAGTTTAACAATTGCCCCATTTCAAGTTTTTTTACTATACAATAATTGTTCAATGGCGCTTTGCTTTTATATCAATATAAATTTTTCATGTTTAATGCTTCTTTTAGATGTTCTTGTTTCATCCTTTAACTAAACCTATAAGTTTTTATCAGCTTAATAATATTTTTCAATTTATTATAATTTTCATACATTATAATTTGTGTTTAATAGAAAATATCAGTAAGTACACTCATTTTATTAACAAAAATTTTAACACAAAAAAAAGGTACTTGATTAATTGAGTATTAAAAACGGTTTATATCAGCATAAAATTGAAAACAAAAAATAAAACATACATATCAAACGTGAGAAATAAAAATTAAAGAAAAAAATGTCTATCATGCTAATTAGGAAATAATATGTCAATATGCATATATATAATGGAATATGGTTAAAATAAATGTTATTATTTACAACTGATTTCTGTTATTAACAGAAAGAAAATTATGTAATGTGTTAAGTTTTAGAATTAATTATAATATACCAGTGAATATTATTGACAATTTAAAATTTATTACAGATTTCATAATATTTAAATAATTTGTGTCAAAAAAAGTTTAATTAAGATCATTTTGTCCCTCCTTTTCTTATCTGGTGTTCTCAAAGCCAGTGCAGTTTCCAATGATATTAGTAACTCGCTTTTATAACTTTATATTTGATTTTAAGACTAGACATTTTTACGTTTGATAAAAATTTAGAAAAAGCGTTTTTAAATTTTTATATAAATCAAAAGATGCTTCATTTTGCCAAGCCGTGCTGATCAGATGTTTAAAGTGTGTAGGAACAAGGATGTCATTAAGATGTAAATAAATCTTTTATTTCAAAATTATAAATGTAATAATTATCAAAAAAAAAATAAAATATTTTAAATAAACTAATATCTATTGATTGAAAAATTACAGGGGTGACTAACTTATTTTTGTGCTAGGATAGCCCACGGATAGCGTCACGGGCCTAAATGTTGTTATATTAGAAAAACTCTCAGTAACATAACCAAATTCCTATATTTTTTGTTTATAAATACTTATAAATATTTTAGTAGTATTAAGACTTTTTTTAGCGTATAGGTAAACGTTTTTAATAAAACCAGAAAAAAAAATCTAAAAATTGTTGAATATGATTATTGAACTCCTATTACCAAAATTTTGATTTAGAGTGGGCTTAAATCTTTTTTCAAATTACTTGTTTAAAACTTACAAATTGGCTACTTTCAATCTAAGATTTCTTATTATTTATAAAACAGTAAACAAAATAATGCTTTCACTTCAAAATTACATATTTGATTTTTCAGAATTTTTAAGAAGATAAAAGAATGTACATTTTTTTAGAGTTAACAATGGAAAATTATTTTTTAATAATCAAATTTATTAAAAATAGAGATTTATCTAAAAAACACTTAAAATATGTTAATACTCTATGTAACTATAGATATTATGAAAAAAAAGTCTGAAAATGTCAAATAACTATTTAGGATTGAAGTGGACAAAACCGATATAAACAAATGAAAATAATTCAAAATATTAAAATTAATTAAATCGTTAAAAAATTTAATTGGATGAGTTCTCATAGTTTATGCTTTGAATAAATAATTATGTTATGATTTTTCTTATAATAAAACTAAGAATTTGTTGTACTCAATTCTAATAAATATTGCATTTTGTTTAAATTTTATATAAAAGATTTATTTATTTAACAAAAAAGTTAACCTATTGATTGTTTGATAAATGATTAATTTAAAAATAGTAAGAACGTTTAGTTATATTTAAAAAGAGGTATTATGAAATGGTGTGTAAGAATTTAACACACAAAAATTCATTTTTTATTGGTTGTGTAGTATAATGAACCGTCGAGTTGTAATGAATGAATTATATTCATTCGGCAGGTCACAATTCAACTCATTGACTACTAATAGGAATCGCTAGCCTTAGTTTGTAATAAAATGAGAAATTTTATTTATATTTTTAAGATTAGTTGCCTGCATTTTCTCCATATTATACATTCGATATTTTTTCGGTAAAAAAAGTTAGGTATAAAATGTATTATATATATTTATATGTGTAATGAATTTGTTATTTTTAATAATATTTTACTAATAAAATAACTTAGTATGATTTTGGATATTAGTTTATACACACAAAAAGTTTTATGGTTGTTAGTTGTAATAATTCTTAGTTTTAATAATACAATTATATTTAAAATTTATCCATACATTTAAAATGATAAATTCATAAAAAGTTATTAAATAATATGAGTATTTTTTTCTTCGAAATTATAATTTCATGTATTGAAACTTAAAGTAAGAATTTTATGCAAAAAACTCTACATTTTATTGAAATTTTTTTTTTGGTAATCATTTATAATAATCTAAATATATTTAAATAATTTTCAATAGAGTTGTATTTCTGATCATACACAGAGCTGTATTTAGGCGTTGTGTATTGCCCGGGGTATCAAATTTTTAAAGAATAATATTGAGAACCTAGAGTTTTGAAAACTAAAATTTCGTTTTGCTTTTCATTTTTTAAGTGATGAACAATTATAAAGGTTTTCAATGCACAAAATTCATATGTTTTGCTGCTAGTCAAGTGGCTTCATGAATATATTACATTATATTCTCCATTGTCGTCGAGGGCACGTGCTTCCAATGCTCTTTTCCCTTGAATCTAGTTGTGTATATAATTTAAGCTTATTTATCTATTAAATTGTTTAGTTTATGCCTGGTTGCAATTATAAAATATAAACTAAACTTTTAATTATTTGCATTTATTTATAAATTACATAAATTGTATTTAACCTTGAAAAAACAAACTTTATTTTTTTTGTTTTAAAGATAATATAATATGTATATTCAATACTCCTTTGTTATTAAAATAAACTAGGAAACACTTGTTATTTTTTTTTTTTGAAGTTATATAAAAAAAAAGCAATAACTTAATAGCATTCTTTTTTTAGATTAGTAAACCTTTACTATACCAGATATTAACTTTTTCGCTTATCCTGAATAATGAAAAGCAATAATAGTCCATCAATTAAATTTACTTTTCTAAAAAGTTTTATGTTGCAACATGTAATATGTAATTATACAATAATATGAGTGTGGGGCGAATAGAAAATATACTGAGTATCAATTTCTTTGACTTAAAATAAAAAAAATGTACGTTATTAGTTTATTAACTATTAATTCAATAGCACGTCGCTTTTACTTTAGTAATTATTTGCTAAAAGTTTACCTGTGAAAAGCCACAAGTGCTCTGGCTCGAAGTACGGCTTCTTGACCGCGTAGTAACTCGCTAGGTGGCAAATACCAAAGGAACTGGGCCAGTCTGTCCACATCTCCGGATTGTTGAAGGGCTTCGCACATACACGAAACTTGTTCCGAAGAAAAAGATAGACTTCGCTTTGATTGCAAGAAATCAGACACAGTAACTGTACCACTCGGTGCACCAACGCTAGATAAGGAACTTTCACTGAGAGCTTCTATACAACTGCTCGGAGACAGGCTGACGCTGCCGCTACCGTTCATATCGGCTCTTGGTGACAGGTACGACGACATGATGTATTTTTCAAAACTTAAAAGAATATTTACGCCATATGTATAAAAACCGAAAATTGAAAATAATAAACACTTTAAACGCACAATAAGTTCAACAATTTTATTGCATAAAAATTCATCGTTAAAGTAAATACAAATTGAAAACGGGATTTATGAACAATTGGTATCGTCGAAAACGTTTCGTCGTTGATGGCTTGTGCCTGTACTCGGTGCCGTGCAAACACTGACACGGTGGGCTGTGGCGGACGCATTCGGCAGCCACGCAGTAGGAGGGTCCGGGTCGATTGGTCGCGCCCCCCTTGTAAATCGGGCTAGCTGTCATTGGCCAAATGTAAGGTCCTGGGTAATTGTAAATCAGTGTTCGTCGTGGTGGACTTTCTCGATGTCTTTTCACAACTTTGGGTTATGCTTTTGTATTTTAGTGTAACCCTTGCTAGCTGATAAATCATAATTGGCAATTACACAATTCGATTCTCACAATACAGTGATATACTTTGACTTCAGAGGAATAAATTAATTTACAAAACGTATCTTGATCACATTCTAAACGTATTCTGTAGAAGTTTTTAAAAGTGGGTAATTAACTTAAGAATGTAGGATGGAAGCATGTAACTTAGAATTTTCAAATTCAAATGTAAAGAAATCGTATATTTTCTAAGGAAGATGTATAATTTTTTTCCTTTGAGAACTTGCAAGTTCTTCAATAAAATAAACTTAAAATATGTATAAGCTGCAATTTGTCTATATTGTATCTATTTTAGTATAATTGTATGTTATATTGTGTTCATTTCAAAGGTGTAAATTGAATGTGGACAAGGTTAGAAGTTTATGCCCTCGCGAAAATTTTGTTTCCGTTTATAGCAGTTATAATTACTCATAGCATCACTGGCGTACGCAAGGGGGAGGGTTGAAACCCCACAAAATTTATAAGCTAAGCGACAATTTTGGACGATAAACAATAAGTAATAACAATAAAAACGATCATATCATACTATAAATATTTCCACGATAAAGTAATCGAAAACAGGAATTTATGTGAGCAGTGTCACATCTAATTTTATTTTAATTACAAAAAAACCCCTCCAAATTTAATTTTTGTGTACGCCACTGCATAGTACGGACATTTTTATTTTTTAATTGCTAGAACTAAGAAACTGAATAATTATTATTCTAATAAAAAGAAGTGTATTATTAGACAGCGTTAAATAGTTTTTAATGATGAAGTTTTTTCTAAAAAGGTAATGTTTGTATTTAGTAAAATTTATGGAAAGCAAAGAGAAAAAATGTGTTTTTTGTATAAAAATTGAGCAGTTTCCTTTTATTTTTTAATAATATATTTGCTTCTCTTAGAAAATATTGAAATGAAGCTACTGATTGATTTCGTAACTATTAGTGTATATAATATAAAGGTGTTCAGTAAGTAAGGGAACGGGTTTCTATTATTTGTAACAATTTACCTGTTTCCTTACTTACTGAACATTCTGTATATCCTTATAATATCAAAAAAGTTTAGTAATAATCCAGTAAAGTGAAGTTGAGGTATTTTTTAAGTTATTATTGATTGATAATAGACAGTGATGAAAACATTGTTAAACAACATATCAAAAAAAATATTTAATACATCTACCAAAAATTACGTGTTCTTTTACTTTAGAGGTTGATTACTCACAAAAGAGAAGTAACTCTAACGTTTTTATATTCTTATTACTTTAAAGAAGCTTAAATTAAAAATAATTTTGAGTATTCTGTTACTATGCAGAATATTACAAAAAAGAACATTTTTCAAAATATTGTGTGATTTTTTTCTTTTACGGTCGACAATTTCTAAAAATTGAAATTTTGAATAGTTTTTCTAATTTTATCTTGAAATAAATTTTATTATCTTTAATATGATATAATTTTTAAGAAAGTAGATTTTTTAGAACTGTATAACGAATTGAAAATAGAATAATGACGATTATGTCCCCCTCAGAATTTTGATAAATTATAGGATTTTAAAAAGCATGTTGGTAGTAATGTATTTATTCTTTTAAATATTGTTACTAGAAATCAAAATTTCGGATTATTTTTGTTTTTTTATTTACATGTAAATTGTATTATCTTTAATTTTGATTAAGATAGGCTTTTTAGAACATAATATCAAAAATTGAAAAGAATAAATGTTGATGTAATTTTAAGCCCTCACTGTATGTTAGTATCTTAGATTGAATTTTCAAAAAAGCTGTCGTCATTAAGGCAAATGTGTGAAATATTATCAATATCGAAGTATTATCAAACTTTCTCGCATGTTGTGCCGCTGAATTATTAACAATATTTATTTTATTTTAGGGAAATTATTTCCCTAAAGTTAATATATATTCATATGATATATATATATATATATATATATATATAAATTGTTGAACCCAAAATGATGGCATTTTATCTCGAGGGATCTTCTTAAAATTAATGTGCGGTAGAAGCTAAAATTTGGTCAATTTTAGTGAAATTTACTGTCTTTTATTTTTTTTTATTTGTTGTGGATGAAAAGTCAATGATCTCAATGTTAATGACATTGTGATTTGCTGACAAGCCTTATAGATTGTTTACGTGTAAAGAGTCATTAACATTTTATCTGTTAAATAGAATAAATAATTTAGAAACACCTACATAAGACAACACGTCACCATTAGAATTTTTGCCGAACAAGACTTCATCGACAGACAAAAGCGTAGACGCCACCACCGCACGTGAAGTATATTAGTTAGCAGTGTTTATGCAATCAACTGTATATTCAGCTGAAATGGTTTTTTTAATAACCCAATACTAAATAAATAATATTTAAAATATTTGTCTTTTATCTTCTTGGCTTATCATTGTTTAATATTATTTAGCTATATTAAATACGATCGCCTTTTCATACAAGTATAGTCATTTTTACTATTAAAACATTTAAAAATACGCGTGCATTTGATTTGTGAACTTTTTCTCGAAACATTTATAGGCTTTGTAATATTCCGATGGTCGTCCAATTAATGGCAGCTGTATTACAATAATAATAATAATAATATTGTGTTGTTATCGGTACAAGTCGTTAAGTTTGGTGAAGTAAATTGTTGTCGTCGACAGCAACGAGTAACAATTGAAGGGAGAGTGTCGTAAGGGGCGTGTTTTCAATAGCTCAGCATAGAAACCACCTTAAAGCTACGCGATGAGGGGACAAGAGTGGAAGTGTGGAGAAATACACGGAGAGGACGTTAACGGGTGTGTCCCCCGTCGTCACCAGCATTGCCATCGTCATCCTTGTAATCTGAATCGCCCAAGGGTGTCATTCTACCTGTTCGTCTTTATTGTCTAACGAGCTCCCTTATATAAGTTCCTGCGCGATTTCTCTCGTTTGAGTTGTGCTTGTATATATAATCTTCCTCTGCTTGTAAACACCGCGCTTCCTCTGTATGTATAGTTTCTATCTTTTTCTTTATACTCCTGTTCTTCCTATCCTTTGGCCGTTCCCTGTTACGTTGAATCGACGCCTCCACGGGTGAAAGGTATGCACAAAACGTAATAAATACATTTTTAAAAATATAAAAGAACTTTTAAAGAACAGGTGTCGTTCAATTATTATCGTTATTTTAATTTTTAATACATGATTTTTTTGCGACTTTGTGACATAATTGAATTTTCGATTTGATTAGAAGTGACGTACTTGCGTAATAGGCGTTGAATCAAAGTTAAGTTTAACACCTAGTGGTTTATTCAGTGATTATACTCAATGATTTTAGAAAACAGCTAGTTTCACTACTTATGGCATATACACTGCATTTTTCTGTATTGAAATATCAAAAATAGTATTTATTACCAGTTAATAACTATGAAAAAATGTTATACATAAAGTAAACTATTGTTATAACATACATGAAAGTCTTTTCCCCGACTTAATAAAAATGTTTGTTCACTCAACTTAATACACAAATCGTTTTGATTAAACAGAATGGCTAATTCGATTAATTAAAAAGTTTTTCAACTACATAGAACAACATGGTTCTATAGTGCGAAACTTGAATTGTTTTTTTGATTATTTTCGCAATTGTTAATAAAAAAATTAACATTTAATAATTATGAATTTTGTTTCGATTTAATTAGTTTCAACTATAAAATTTAATTTGTCAACCAAAATATTTTATTATAGGCTTGTTTGTTACATATGCTTTTATAATTCTTAATTTTAATACATCAAATAAACAAATGTATAATATGAGTAAATAACTAACTAAAGAAAACTTAATGATTATTTGATATACACATTTTTTACCTACTTTTATTAGCAATAATAATATTGTCCACTAATCGTTCTCTCACGAAAATTTATGATACTCGATGATTATCAAAAGAAAATAGTCATTGTTTTTTTTCTTGCAGAATTCTTAATGATGTGCAGAACTAAACTGCAATGATGCATTTTCGCTGTACAATGCACTATTTTATATTTATCACGGTAACAGGTTTTCTACGAAAAATGTTGCTGCGGGCGCCACGGCAAGATGTTGCTGATTTTGATTTTTAAGGGCAATGCTCGATCTAAAAATTATTCATTGAATATTGTTAATTGAAACACGGTTTCATCCTTATTAAGCCTTATGAAATGTATTTATTTTATAATATTAATAATATATGAATTTATTATTATGTGTACAAATATAACTTAATTAAAGAAAGTAAAGTTGCGATACACAAGAAGACCGTAGTATAATAATTTTTTAATCGAGAATCTAAAGCAAGTGAAAATGTATAAAATGGGGTATGATAGTTTATATGGATGTGATTCACTACCATAGTGTTATGTACCGTCGTCTCTAACAGTTGGAATAATCTGCAGACATAGTGCAATAATCTGAATAACAATTCTTGTATAATATAATGTTAACAGTTGTAATAAACGGCTTTTTCAATGCAACTTTTTTAACAATGTAATAAAATAGTTTTTTGGTAAATGACCAAAGTTTTTTTTTAGGTTTGTAATAAATATTGAACTTATAATTACTATGGTTTTTAAGCTGTTTGTCATCTCAACTAAATAAATTTATACTCTATGTTTCGCAATTTATCAAGGACGCTAGACTTATGTTAAGGAATTGATTGAATAGATCTTATATTATGATAGAATCTTAAATTTTATTTTATTCTTTTGTGAACTTAATTTAATAAGAAACATTTCACTAATAAAAACGTTTACCGCAATTAGTGTAGTGTGTGTTTCCACAATTAATTATAGTATTCTGTGTCTACATTATATACATTTTCTGGAAAATCAGAAAACAAATGATCTAAGGCAATTTATTGTTTTCTAAATTAATTTGCAATAAAATTTTTAGTTTACATATTGTACGATTTAAAAAATGGTAATTTTGTTGCACTTTACATACAGCCAAATTTTATTGTGATAATTATTACTATATCGCAATCAAGAATCTTATGAGATTGCTACACCAAGTAAATAGATTTTGAGAGTAATTTTAATATATTGGTCACACATTTGTTTGTTAAAGTAACAAATTGGTATAAGGATGAAGTATCACGTAAAAAATATGTTATGTTTTGATCAATATCTTTCAAAGATAGATTTTTTCAGATAGTTGATATATGTTCTATTTTAGATTAATATTAATTTAAGAATTTGATATCTATAGATATTGGATGGTATAATAGTTTCTTAGAAATTTTAATTAGTTAATAATAAAAAAATATTTTATTATTTTATCACCGCTAGTTCATACAATTAATTATATATTTCTATAATAAATATTCAAGTATGTATAATTTAACAGGTAAAAGGTGGGGGAAAAAAACTTAGAGCTGTTTTTTAATATAAGGTATGGTAGATTTTATTAATTAGATAAAGTATAAAAATTTTTATTTTAAAAATATTGGTAAAACGTAGCTATTAACTTAAATAATGAACCATATACTTGTGTATCTACTCTATTATGTATTTTTATGTTTCATTATAATTATACAACTTTGTAATTTACAATCTTTTTTCATTAAAAGTATTAATAATAATACGTTAATTATATATATATTATTAGAGATGTATTCTTAAATCTGACATATATTTTCTAGTATGTTGAAAGGAAGACACAAAAAAAAGAAAAAATATAGCTGCTGTAGCTTTGCTTATCATCGTGGGATTTGCAATATCAACTCATAAGGTCAGTGGTACTTAAAAAATAATAACAGAAAAAAATGAGATAAATTTCGCTCATTAAATTGTTTTTTTTTGTGGTCATCTTTTTCTAGAGTTGCAACAAATATTTAACAAAGATGTTTAATGCAATACACAATGTGTTTTCTTGCTACGTTGTTGGTTTTGTGGGATCGGACTAATTTCTATATTTGTATTTCGACAGTGTGGTGTTAACATAAGGTATTTAGAGGTCTAGGGAAGAGAATAACTTCTTGAAACTATCAATTTTGTTAAAATAATTATCTATAATAATCGTTGCAGGAAATATCAGTATGCACGGTAAATTTTAGTTAGTATTATTTGAGTCTGATTTTCTATTCTTTAACCTTTTATTTTAATGAAAAATTATATCAATTTATAATATTGAAGCTATATTTTATACTTAGTATTATTTTAAGATTTCACTTTTGTAAACATAACTTTCTATTGTGTATTCTCTTGGGGCGAGTTTTGCTATTGTTATTAATGTTAATATTAGTGTTAAAGGGAGCTAGCAATTTATCATTAGTAATATTTCATTTTGCGTATTTTTAAATATTAATTGGCTATAGAAAAATAAAACACATTTATTTACTGATACTTTCTACCATATAAACTTCCCTTCTTAAAAAAACCTAATACAATTAATGATCGATGAACCCCTCTCTTATATTATCTGTTGGGATCCAATTTAGGGTTTTATTTGTCCAATTAAATACAATTATTGTACGGTGACGATTATTTTTCATCACAGACTGAAGTTTTTTCTGTTTATTATTACTTTAATCTCTCCAGAGAATCAATCGTGATTCCGTGGTTAGGTTTGTATTACTAATATTTTAATTTGAGTTATTGTTATTATACAATTGTCAATGGTGATTTTTGAAAATAATTTTTTCCATATTAAGTACGACAGGATTTTTCTCCAACCACATGTATACGTGTTACATTTTTTTCATTAGAACAACTATAATAGTGATAAGCATTAAAAGTGCTTAATAAGTATCAAAAATATAAACACGTTTATAGCCTTTTAAAAATAAATAAATGAATTTTTAAGTCTAACAATATATTAATAACAAGTCCTATTTTTCAAATTTCTTGTTATGTTTTGTTGAATATTACTCAAGTAATATTGGTGAACTGCTAAAGCTTTGTAAGAAAAGTAAGGCTTAACTGGATTTTAGGAATTTCTGACGCGTAATAAGAAATTTGACTCTCAAAGGACACGATAAAGACCGTGACGAGTAATGCACTAAATTGAGAAAATAATAATAACACCTATACTCTAGAATAATTTGAGTTATTTATTAACAGTATTTTCACGAATTGTTAGGTTGGCGTAGTTGTTGAATTTACTTTATCTTCAAGTACAAATACTTGAAATGATCATGAATTGTGCAGTTTACAGCACTACAACAAAGTTCATCGCTTTTTATAAGATCATTGACAACGAAATTAAAGGTCTAATGTTAACTTAAATTTACTTTAAAAAGAAAAAATAATATTATTAGTGAGTTATTTAAAATGTTTAAATATATTTTTAAGAGTTTTCTGATTTATAAAAGTAATAATCTAGTATAACTACTATTAAGTCTAATTGGGACATTTTAAAATCTTTATAATAATTTTATTAAAAATTGATTTACTTACATTTCTATGTCATTTTTCTATTTTATAAAAAACAATTTATTGGTAAAGGTATTTAGGATTATCAGAATTAGATCTAAAGAGAGTTTGGAGAATTTTAATACAAGATTTACATTTTGTTAAATGTTTTTGTATTTACTATTGAAAGAAAAAATTTGGTATATTTAAATTTGTTTGCGTTTTTTTCCAAATGTTTACAACTCAAAAACTTCGAATCCTGTTACATTTAGTATGTTATACTCAATACATTTATTCCAATACTGTTATCTTAGCTAAACGATAAATATTGTGGTGTACTCGATGTGTACATCAAGTGTGCATCTAGTGTGTATAATATTATTATCATTGAGTATATAATAAAAACACTGTTTATAGTGTTCACCGACTAATCTGTCCGCGTATAAAATGATCATATAATATACCTGTTGACCTGTTTTGAAGTGGAGTATTGTTCACTTGTGGACGTGGTTTCTATGCTCAAACTCTCACCTAAAGCCTTTTTAGAAAATAATAATTTTCTCCCTTTACTCCATTGAAAAAATACTACAAGGCGGATACCAGTGTTCCAGGGTATATCCATTGTTACGTTTTGTGTAAACAAGCTCATTGCAAAAATAACAAAATCAGCGGTTGGTCCATCGTTTTGTGGCGGCTACGTTAGTTGTTAATGTGGCAGATGTCCTCAAAGTATAAAAGACTCATAAAATATTGAATTATCATTATGTCCTGTATCTGCAGTATGTAGTACAGGTGAGAAAAATTTATTTAATTTTTACTGTTGACAAGAAACGTTTAGTGTGAACTGTAAAATCGAATAAAAGAATATTCTCTGCCATTATATTATATGACAATGTAATAGAATGAATTATTTTGTTGCAAGAAAAAAACGAATTTGTACTTTACAACATACTTTCAAATTGTATCCTTCATTTCTCTATTTAGATTTCTTGATTACTGAAAATATAGGAGGCAGTTTTCCATTTCAAATACGCGTTTAGTTGAGTTTTTTTTATCAAATTAGCACTCAAAGAATATGGAAGAGTCAGTAATCACATTATTTCCTGTTTAACAAAAGATGATATGGTATTTGAATTTTCATATGCAACAAAACTATCCAACAAAAAAAAAAAAACTGTTGATGACATATTTTTTTACAACATTTTCAGTGACTGGTGCTTATAGTTACTGATAAGTTTCATTATTTATGATGAAAATACTGACATTCCTAAATTAGTTTCAGTATAATAAAAGTTGATCACTTGTGGCAAATATTATTCTTAATATAGTTTTAATTTATAATAGTTTTAGTAATAACATTAATATCCTTCAATTATGTTTAAATATGTTATATATGTGATGTAATATAATTGGTATTTATTTAAAAGCATCTAAATGCGTTAGTATTTTTTTTTTCTGTTCAAACATTTTTTTAATACAATACAGTATATATTTTTAAGTATAGTTAATACAATTAAAAATTTAGGAATTTTAATATCATCAGATCTTTTAGTAGTCATATTAAAGTTTGTGAATGCTTGGGTTTACAAATAATACATTTACTTTAATGATCCCTATTGCTTCAAAGTTGCCTGAGTGATTTTGTTAGGTAAACTCTTAAATGTGGTACTTTATAATGGAATCTTAGAAAAATTAGTTTAATTGATAAAGTAGATAAATTAAAATGTAACATTTTATGGTTTTGTGCTTATAAAATAAAGGTCAATAATGATAAAGTTGACGGTATCGCAATTATTTTGGGTTATTTAGTCTAAAGACTAAATGGATAAGATATAACTTTTATTAATTAATTGCCAAGTGGTATTTAAAATTAGTATTTTAGATTTATGTAATCAGTGTTCCTGTATTGATTACTTAAATGTTTTATCATATGATAAATTTAATGTAGTTTAATAATTTTAAATTAATTTTTTTTGTTGACATTTTTGTTTGCATTTTATGGTTTTTAATATCAACTATTTTTGGATTGAAATTACTTTAATATCCTTTATTTAAATTACTTATATTATATGTTGTACTTTACCTACGTATGTTAAATAAATAAATAAGGCTAGTCAAATTTTACCCCGTTTAAACATTTGCTTTGATAAATTAACTTTTCTATATTTATAATAGCATCAATTGTTTATTTCAATAGTATATTTTTCGATACTTTTTTTAATATGTGTATGAAATTGATTACTGTGGAATTTTAGAACAAGTGATGTTTTAAACGTGAAAGACGTAATTTATTTTTAAATATACACCATTTTTAAGGTCATGGATGTATGAATGGTTGTATGGATAAATCATTTTTAAGAACTTGAACACTCTAATATATTACTGATTATGATTATTGAAATACTTAAAATTGTTTAAGACAGTGCATGATACTAACGAGGTCACGAGACCACTAGTTTTTGTTAAACACTTATAATATATAGAGGCGATTGAAAATTAATGTAATTAAATTTTTTTTAATTATTTCAAAGTTAGGTTTTACCAATACCTTATATGTTTTTTTTATATCCGCCCATGAAAATTCTTAGCTCTCACTAGACACACAATATATTTTCTTTTGGTACATACATAATGCTTTTTATGAAAATCCAATAAAAAAACTAAAGTATACGCACAAAAACATGTGTGTTCCAATTTAACTTTTGAAAATATTAATTTAAAGCTTTTGATGTGTACATAATATTTATAAAAAATATATCATTCTAATATGGAGAAATCGATTATCAAAATAAAAAATCGTAATTTTTATAATAATAAAATTAATTAAAATATATAATATAATAAAATGTATTAAATTTTTGAGTTATTTTACTTTAAAATACACTAGGTCATTAAAAAAATTATTGAATTTGGATGGAATCGCTTTTAATGATAGTGATGTTAATCATTATTAGATATCATCTATACATACTTATTAAAGTGAGATGGTCATAAAAAATTGTTCATATGATAATTTGTAATTTATTATTATTCAGTTATGTGTTGTGCTCTAACTGTTATAATATTAATGATAATATTGATGTTCTAACATGTGTTTATATTTCATTAGAAATGGTTCAATATCATCGCATTGTACTAAAAACTGAAGTGGAAGATGTGTAAATGGCGCGGAAAGGAAAACTCACCCTTACCGTTCTAATGGGGTTAATAATAAATATGAGGTTGTCTGAAGTGTGATATTATGTCACTCTATTATGTGCAATAACATAATTATGTTTGTGTCTTGTTAAATGTATATGTACCTTTAAGCGCGCGGGTAAACAAAATGTTTACAGACAGACGCAATAAATTTGCCGTTCGTTAACATTTATTATTAATGTGACCGGTAGTCGGTCAACCGTGCACGTCGTCGACGATAAATTTTCATTTGAATGCGCGTAAAAAGAGAACCCGCTTTTTTTAATTGCTGTGCCGATATAAAAACGCAATACACAGACAAAACAAATATTACAAAAAGTGGAAATAAACGCCGACTTCTTAACCAGGGTAGAAACGAAATATGTCTGGGGAAAATGCTGGGTAAAAAAGGAGTCGTTTTTCAAATTTCAAAAATAGTGTGAAATATTTTGCATTTTGATTTATTGTTCATTTTGGTGGCTTACTAATTATTATTTTTTAACAACAA